GAAAGCGACGGCGATCCCAGATCACCGGGTGATCAACGTGCATGTGTACCGGCACCGGCACCAAATGATTGTCGCGGGAGAGCGGAACATTGGGAGTAAAATGATGGAGCTGTACCAACCTTTTTACACGAAAATGGAGGACTATCTGAAAAAGCACGGGTTTATGGGAAGAAACGAAAGCTCATCGTCATCTTCAACCGCGGCGGTCAGTAATGCGACGAGGAGTGCTAGTGGTTCAGATTCAGAAACTACAGCGATATCCGGTGAGCAGGATGCAGGAGATGAGATAAGCGACGTATCGGCTTCGAGTACCGACGACCCGATAACAACTGCTTTACTCGCCGCGAGAAAAACTGATCGGCAAAGAAGTACCGCGGAACCAACTACTGGAAATAAACCCCCGACCGAGATCGTGTTGCACGTCTCGCGGTTGCGCAGCATCTTGACGGTCATTCTCCGGGCGGCGGTGCAGAGGATACAGCCAGGACAAAATATCGGAGATAAAATTTCTACCTCTACGGCTCTGGATCTCAACGAACAATTCCGCGGTTTCGAATTCTTAGTCCCGAAAATCCTCACGATGGTGTCCGACGACCCAGGTGGTCCTCCTATAACTTTCAAAGATAGTAAACAAGCGACCATTCTAACCATGGACTACGACGAAAACAACCTGCAAGTGCTCCTGGACACCGAAACGGGCACGAAGCTCGAGCCGCACAACGCGCAGTACCAGTTTTGGAATACTCTTCTCCCGGGGATCATGCTCGATAACCCGGATTTAGCGGGGCAGTTGGAGCAGATGAGTTCTATGGGGGACGGTGATAGTGGCTCTGGCTCGGACCCGGACGCGAAGGGGTTCGCGACAAATAAAAAAAGTGAAAAGGAGTTGCAAAAGTCGCAAGCCTGGGCCAGTTTTCGTGATGCGGTGAACGACATTGTGAAGAGCGCAAGAAAGGCCGCTGCGGAGAGGAGGGAAAAGGCGGAGAAAGCCGCGATTGCAGCTTCGAAAAATGACGAAACTTCAGGAAATATTAAAACAGATCAACAGTCACCTACAGACGCCCAAGGAGGAGCAGCCCAACAAAACAAAACCGAGACATTGCGGTTCCAAGTGGCCACTTTGGAAAAAAGGAGAAAGGAATTGCTGAGCTTGCTGCAGGCAGATAGGGAAGAGGCGATAAAGTTAGAAAGGAAAAAGAGAACTACACGAAAATCAAGTAGAACATTAGCAAACACGAAACTTCTGCAACTCCAGAAGAGCAAGCAAGACCCGCCCGCTGCGGCGGGAGAGGAACCGGCGGAAGCTGGAACAGAACCGGCAGAAAATAAAGCGTCTCCAGATGAAGCATCAGAAGCTGACTCCGATCCTGACAGTTCTCCCAGTATTTCTCCCCAGCAGCAAATCAACGTCACAGTGACGGCAAACAACTTAACCTCCAAGCTTCCCTCCTTCGCCAACGTGGAAACTTTACTGAACATCACCGGCGCGAGTACGGGCGAATACTACTGCGAAAAGCCTTTTGTCTTCGGCAGTACAGCCCCCAGCCTCTTTACCAACATTCGCGCTCTCATGCACGAATGTCTATTGGACGAGAGTGGTTGCAGCGGGGTTTTCGTCAATCCAGAAAAGACCCTCGGCTACAAGTGCGGAAACGGACTGGATGAGGTTGTCTCCCCAGGGATAAAGAAGTGCGCGATGTACGAATTAGAATACGGGGCGCAGCAGCCGGACTGCAAGCAGAAGTGGTTTTTGGTACGGAAAACAACGGAGGAAGGAACGGAGTCCTTGGCCACGTATCGTACGAAAACAGTGTTTCACTGTGATGATTTTGCAAGTTTTGCATCACAAGTTCGTTACACGTGACGAAGAAAACTTGCCATGCGAGGATGCCAAGGGAAAACACGGCTAAAAATCACTTGTCTTGCAACATGTGTAGCAACACAAACACTGCTGCGATGCATTTTCTGCATTTTTACAAGTTTACAGTGAAGCAGTTTTTTCTTGCGATACCACGCCCAGGGAGATCAAAGACCCGTCGGAAATGCTGGACGCGGAACTACAGATGAACACAACAACCACGACAACTACCACGACCACCACTTCGACTTTGTCTTACCAGGAGAAGTTGGAACTCGCGTACCAGGAGCTATTGAACCGCGGTCCGGCGGAGAAGGAAGTGGAAAAAGAGGGGGAGGAGATTGTGGAGAAAGAACATTTAGCTACGCCGAAACAGCAAGACAAGTTCATCGCCAAGGTGGAATCCTGGAAGGGGCAGTTGATCGACGATTTGTTCGCGGATTTAGAAGCCGTGCAAAACGAATATTTCTGTGAGGATGATAGTGGCGATTCGGGGGGTTTGGCGATCCGGCAGAGTCAAGATGTAATCGGGACATTGCAAAAGTGTTTTTTACGGGGGAGGGGAGGAGGCTCTGCTTCGAGCAAAACAGAAACGACGACTGGAAGCTCCACGGAAGATGGAGGAATTACAGAAGAAGCTGCGCCCGCCACACTGCTTTCCAAGAAACATCAAACCAGAGAACTAGCACTGTCTGACGCGGATGCCCCGAAACTTATCAACCCGTGGGACACTACGCAAAACAAATTTTGCCGGGGGGTCTTCATCAACCGGGACAAGTCGCTGGCGTACGAGTGCAAAAGGAAAAAACGGTGCGACCAGGTGGACCCGCAGCCTGAGTTTTGCGCTTTTAACTGGTATATCCTGTGCAAAAGTATCGCACTCGTAGTAATCGCAGTCATGCATTACAAATCTTCATCCCAAGGTAAAACAGCATGACAAATCCCATTTGTCATGCTGAGCTAATTTGTCATGCGATTACTTATACATTATATTAATGCGAAAAAAGAGGTAGACAGAGGGTCCCAGAGAGGTGGCCGAGAGGTAAAAAAGAGGTCGACAGAGGTAGAAATGAGGTCGACAGAGGTGGAGAGGTGGCGCGGAACCCCGTTCGAGAGGGTCCGCGAGAGGGTGCGCGAATAAGGCCCGCAGTAAGGGCCCACCCTTAGGCGCCGCCTAAGTGGCACAGAGGGCGCAGAGAGGTCAAAAAGAGGGGGCGCGAGAGGTCGACAGAGGTGGCGAGAGGTGGCGCGAATAAGGGGCGACCTCTCGCGGACCCTCTTGGCCACCTCTCGGCCACCTCTGTCGACCTCTACCTGCGAGTATAGCCGGATTATTAGCGGGGACCCCCAAAAGAGGTCAAAGAGAGGCTCTGCGAGAGGTCTGCGAGAGGGTAAAACACAAAGAAGCGGGCGCGAATCCGCATGGCACTACCCATATTTGGCACTGCAGGCCATTCGCGGAGCTGTTTTGTTCGGCGCCTTGCCGCGCCACCCTCTCGCGCACCCTCTCGCGCCACCCTCTCGCGCCACCCTCTCGCGCACCCTCTCGCGCCACCCTCTCGCGCCACCCTCTCGCGCACCCTCTCGCGCCACCCTCTCGCGCTACCCTCTCCCGCCGGGCGGCTTCTGTTCGCCCCCGGTGTTCTTTGCAGCTGCTCCCTGCGCAGAGCGCCCACAGGCGCGGGAAGCGCGCAAGTGGTCCTGCGGGCTGGCGCGGCGCAATATGTTTCGTTGTGCATAGGCCCGCGGGGTTGTGGTCCGATCGGTAAACAGTCTTGCCCCGGCCCAACAGCCTTGCGCTCCGGCGGCAGCCGGAGCATGGCTGGTTTATACTAGTGCGATACTTTTGCAGTTCATATGGTACTACATCAAGAACTTCGACCCGAAGCGACCGGCTTTGAAACCGTTTTCCTTAGCAAGAAACCCGAAGGACATGGCGCAGAAATTCTCGTTTTACATGGGGGAAAACAAGACGGAGGTGCTCACTTTTCAGGTGGAGACGGGGCTGTAGAGTAGCTACTGGGCCGGTGGAGGTAGGGTGGTGGGACGGAGAAAGAGGAGGAGAGAAGGAGGGGTTTTTGTACACTTTTTTCAATAGAGGGGTTAAGGGGTCTCAATAGGAATAGATACACTTATTTTACAACTCGCAATCATTTAGATTTTCAAGAAGAATGCTTGTAGTCACACCAAGTTCGAATCGTATACAATTTTCATGTAGGATTTCAATAGCCGAGAATACAGGATCAAATTTTATATGTTTGTCATGCGACACCACGAAAAAGCCACACATGAGCACAGCTACGCTACGCAGAGCGGAGCAGTTGCTTTGTATTGTGAGATGGTTCGGAATGGTAACTGCGTCACATTGCGTTTCAGTTTTTTTCAATAAATGAACATGAACGTCTACTTTCATGAGGATAAATCAGCAGCACGCTAGCCAGGTGTGCGAAATAAGCAACCGCTGGCCAAGTGATCGCAGCTTGCTACTTCCATAGTAGCCGGTGCCGGTCCCGTAATCTGCAGGCATTTTTGCCGTAGAGAGCAGAGAGAGTAGACGGGACAGAGACGGGGCAAAGTGTAAAGTGTACTGAGACGGACGAGGGACAAGCGCAAGTAAGGGCTTGAGGTTGACCGACATAGATTTGCGTCGATCTAGTGTGTGAAGCAGGGAAACTGCAAGTGTCTGGCTAGTATTCAATAACGCCGACCGACGCGAACAAGGCAGACGAAGACTGTGGCGGGGGTGGCTCTGCACAGCGTCGACCGGGGCTGCCGCCTTGGTCTCTGCCCTCGCGCTGCTCTCTTCTGTCCGTCTCCGCAGGACAGGAGCCGCAAGCTTGCGCGACTGCGCCACGCCCCTGGAGGTTGCAGGCAGCCCACAGCGAGCCTGGTGGCAGTGTCACCGCCTCCGGAAGCACGGCGCCGGATACGGACATTACACCGGGCGCGGCCGCGAAAGCTGGCGCTAAAGTCGAAATTAGCCGAAAGAGGAAGCCCCGCTTGCCCCGCCCGCCCCTCGGTTGCCGCTGGCTTTCTTCCCTGGGCGCCCCGGCCTAGTCGCGTGCGCGTGTCCCCCGGGCCGCGGCGCCGCCGCCGCGCGCCCTCTGCATGTATCCGCGGGGTTTGCCTGTCGTAAGGCCGGCACGGCTGTCGCCCTGGTGGCCAGTGGGCCCTAGCCGGTTAGGTTTGCGCCGGGCCCCCATTCATGGATGTGTGGGCCCTCCCAACAAGCGGGAGCACCTTCGGCGGCGCAGCGGGCGGCCCTCCCGCACACTCGGCGCGCAGCCACCGCCACCGCCGCCGGAACTACTTATGAAGTTAGCGGCCGTGCTGTCAATCTGTGTGGCTGCTGTGGCTCATTCAAAAGTGCATCCCAACCGGCTAAGCAACAGAGGTTGCGTTCCCGAGGAGGATCTGAATTGTGTGTGGTCGTCTGTCTGCAGTTTTTTCCTTCTCATGATACGTACAAAGGAGCTGAGGTGGTCATGTGTTGCAGTGTCGAGAGCTAGTTTTGAGTGAGAATGAGGGCGCAGAAACGCCGTGCGGCCATGTCATTCTCCTGCACAGTCTCTACGTGATGCCATTTCTGGAAAGAGAGGCAGAAGAGAGCGGCTTTTTTGCAATGTCAATCTTTCTGGGGCAGCTTGAGTGTGTGCAAAGAAAATGAACGCGCTGGCGCTTTTTCGCGCGTTCGCCCTGTGTAGTTTGCGAAAAAAGATGGCGGCGGAAAGATCGCGTGGGCGGGCCTTCGCTTGTCGGCGTCCGTCGCGCAGGCCTTGGCCTGCTCTTGCTTCGCCGGTCGGGGCAGGATGGCTGTGCCGGCGAGGTTGCCGGCGATCCCACCCAAACGGGCGGGGGGGCCCGGGGCATATTCGGGGCCGCGCGCCTCGCCGAGCCGGCTCATCGGCGTGCTTTTGCCGGTGAAAGACTCGACCCGAAATGACGGCCGCCGAAGGAACACCGTCGCCGGCCAAAGCGCCCCGCTCGCATGGATCCAAGCGCCCGCCCGGGCCGGCGAGCGCTCTGCCTGCTTGCTTTGTGCGTGTCTGCCAGACATTGCGACGCCGCGCGCGCCCCTTCTCCCGCCGGGCCGCCCGCCCCATGCATCCCCGCCGCCCGGCTGGCGCGTCGGCCCGCGCGGCGGGCGGGCCCCGCAAGGCTTTCGCGCCCGTATGTGTGGCAGGCCCGGGCGCGGCCTGTTTCACGGCCCCGGGCCGGCCGTAGTGCGCCGGCCGGCCGGCCGGGCCTGCCTGAGCATTGATTTATTTTCGGCGCCGCGGCACTGGGCCCGCAGACGCACTCCGCGCGCCGCACTTGGCGCCATGGCCATTTGCCTAGCCAAGTAGCGGCCGGCCTCACCTCTGAGTTTCATTTCTCTCTGTCCTTTATGCAGACAAAGCAAAAATGTTGTGCTTCCAACCCTAAGGTTGGGCTCAAAGTCAAAGCCTGATGCCGTGTGTCCGTCTGCAGTGAGTAGCTGTCCTTTCCATGGAGAGCGCTTCTTGGATACACACCTGGTGCCAGCTTCGTCGAGAGATAGTGTTTACTGTGGATGAGAGCAAGGGGCAAGCATGTGCGGGCCGTCGCCGCCTTTCGATGCTTGTCATTTCTTTCGTGTATACAGACACGCCATTGCTTTTCTATTCTTTTCTGCCATGATTTCCCGCGCAAGATAGAGCGCACGACTGGCCAAGGTGGTCTCCTCTAACTACAAGGGAAAGGGAAGCTATTTGATCTGCGTCAGGTCGAAGATGCCACCATCACTCCTCCGTCGTGCTCGACTGCTACGGCTACGATCCTCACAAACGAAGAACATTGTCCGCCACGTTTGCACGACGTTTTCCTACTTCTATTTCTTCCTGAGCGCCTACGTTGAACTTGAAGATCATCCAAAGTTGACTACTGCAGAGCGGTTGGACAGCACCGCCGCAGCTGCGCGACGATTGGCCACCAGCACACGAAGAACTACGAGTTCTCATCTTCGGGAACATAGGAGTAAAACAACAACCGAGTCCTCCGCCTCCTCTTTTCTCGCGGACGACGACGACGACAACATCCCAGTGCAAATCATGGCCGCCCGTCGGAAAGATGAAGCCGAACCAGACCCGGAACCAGACTCGGACAGGCCAAAACAACAACAAAATTTCGAATTCACCGTCGCTCCGAGGGAAAGAAACAGCAAGGTGAAGATCCGCGCTGCGGAGGAGAATAAAATCTTCAACATCTCTCCGGATCAGAAGAACAACGGGATTAGAGTAAAGCCGAATAGGAAAAGTTCAAAAGTGAAGGTTCACGACCCGAACTTAAAAAAGCATACGGATTCATCATCTGGATGGGTCTCCCGGCCGAAGAACGCACCGACCGACCGACGGGAGTTTCAAATCTACCCGAAGAACCAAATGAACGATCCGGGGGCGACCGTGAAAATAGTGCCGGACGTCAGAAAAAGTCACATCAAAATCCAACCGGTTGTCGGCAAAGCGAATTTTGCAGTGTCAAGTGGCGAGGAGAAGACGGAGAAGTTAGGATTTCAAGTTGGGGAAAAGATAAAGAATAGCGAGGAGCTGGCGTTTGAGGTAGGAAAAGACGTTGAAAAAGCGACGGAAGAAGTAGAAGACGCAGCAGGCACCGACGCAGAAGCAGGCGCCGATGCGGAAGGAGGCGCCGATGCGGAAGCAGGCACCAACGCAGAAGCAGGCGCCGAGGGGGAAGCAGGCACCGACGCAGAAGCAGGCACCGACGCAGAAGCAGGCGCCGAGGCGGAAGCAGGCGCCGAGGCGGAAGCAGGCGCCGGGGCGGAAGCAGGCGCCGAGGCGGAAGCAGGCGCCGACGGCGAAGAAGCAGTCGCCGACGCAGCAGGAGGCGCCGACGCGGAAGGAGGCACCGATGCGGAAGGAGGCGCCGATACGGAAGGAGGCACCGATGCGGAAGGGGGCACCGACGCAGAAGCAGGCACCGACACCGCCGCTGGTGCCGCAGATGGTGTTGAAGAAGGAGACGCGGCTGCCACACCTGATGGCGGGAACAACGCCACAAACGGTACAGACGGGAGTGCCAATGGCACAGAAGATGCTGATGTCCTCTCCGGTGCTGGCAACGGCACTGAACTAGCAGGAGCTTCCGACGAGGAACAAGGAGCTGGGGGTAACAACACATCAGCCGGTGCTGGCACATCAGAGGAGAAGTCCGTAGTTCCCACGCCACGCAGTGTGAATCGTACCGAGCCGAGCGCGGATATGGTGAAGCAAAAGTACGACGAGCTTCGTAGTATCGGGGAACTGCATGCGGACGGCAAGGATGACGACGGCAAACGGGATCCGGCGGGCACGTGTTTGAGAAGAAAGCCGCCCTGTTCCATCAGTAATATTGAAGAGGGGAAGTCGGACAACTGCGACCTAACCCGGATAAAACCCTGCGGTTTTTACGAGCACAACGCGCTACATAGGAAACTTCTCGCGGGGAATAACGTTTGCAGCGCGATGAATGGCTACATTGACCCGCACCGGGATTACCACGAAGGTGTGGAGTACATTGTACAGTTTGACGGGGCGCAGCTCGGGATGCCGACGAGTCAGGAGGGGTTTGAGGCGAATTCTTTTTACGATGAATCCGACGGAAAGTGCGAGCGGACGGAATTCACGAAGTGCGAGAGCAAGTGCTACGAAATTTTGATGTACGCGGGCGAGTGCTGGGGAGAAGCACAACTGGTTTTGTCCGGCGGCGAGGACTATGGATTGCAAAAGCAGCGTAAATAGTAGTAATTGCAATACAATTTTTGCGTCAGCATTTACAACAAATGGAATCTGTCATGCTGGTTTAGCGTAGGAACGAAAGGGTGGATCTGTGTTGCATGACTGCAATTACTACGAGCACGGTGCTTTTGCACTGGATAAGGACTCGCCCGATCATTCTGAAGATGCGAAGTTGGCCAGAACGTACGACTGCATGGGTACTTGTGGCACGGCACCCGGTATCCAATGCAAATATGTCTGGGTCTGGAAGTCATGCTGTTTTTGCATGACGCAGAAGGTCTGTCATGGAAGCCCTAGCATCACAGATTTCGAGAATCTTTCGCATTGCCTACTTAATCCGCATGACAAATCCCGCCCCATTTTAGTGGTAGGAAATGGGCATCTTTTGCTGCCTATGCATTAAAAATTTGAGTGCGTAGTTGTGAAATGCGCATCACAGGTTCGCATTCTTTCAGACCCAGATGACCTATTTACAATGCATACCCGGGTGTGCGGAGCACAACGGTGGGGTGGTGGGGTACGCGTCGGATTGTCTGCGGTATCGCGTTTGCCACTACATGTATCCCATGCAAATATGTCTTGGTCTGGAAGATTGGGGAACTTGTCATGCAGGTTTTCCATGACCCATGAGGTCTGGCGTGCAGCGCATAGCATGACAGATTCTGTGAGATCTTTCTCATGCCTAGCCCCCATGAGAAACTTCCTCGCAAATTGGTCAAAAGTGGACAAGTTTTGGCAACAATGCAACACAGATTTTTTCACAGTCCAGAGTCAGCATGACAAGTTGCAACCCGGCAGACCCAGACATATTTGCACTGCATAACATGTACGAGGAAGCAAAGTTGGAAGCGCCGTTGGGCACAAAATTGCCCGAGGAGTCCCCGGATTGCGCAGACGAGCTCACGGACATGGAGGATGACGCGGCGTTGACAGCGGCAGGGCTGGATTTCATGAGCGGGAGCATGGTTGCGCCGGCCTGGGATGTGAAGAAGCCGCGTGCGAGCTGTGATAACGGGGTGCAGCTGAAATACAAGGAAACGCGGTTGTTGTGCAACAAGGGGAGCATAACCGGGTTTGGCCAGCTGTATTGCGATGAGGTGGCGGAGGACACGGAAAAATTCACGGCGTTAGACGAGGAAATGGAGGCGATGCTCGTGGCGATGCGCCCGGTCGAAACCATTCCGGTATAACCCGCTCAGGTGTTACAATCTCAAACGTTACAATAGAATCTGAGACCTGTCTTGCATGATGAGCATGACAGAGTCGCACAGCGTTCCACTTTCTGCAATACAAATTTTGCCGGATTTTTGTAGTGGGGTTTGGGGCTCCGGAACTTGTCATGCGCAATCCTATGAGAGTCGGCTAGATCGTGCACTCCTGCATCACAGATTTCCATAATTCTAGTGTAACGTTTGAGATTGTAACGTTTGAGCGGGTCATACCCGGCACTGGCGAATTTTACCACGACCGCTGCGCCGGGAGAGGCGGCGGTGGAGACGGGAGCAGAGGAAGAAGGCTCGGAAGCAGGTTCTGGGGAAAATGCCACAGAAGGTGGTGACGGAGGGGGTGGAAATAATGCGACGGAAGGTGGTGGGGATGGTGGCAATGCGACAGAAGGGGGTAGTGGTGGAAACGAAACGGAGACAGCAGAAGGCGGTGGGAGCGAAGAAGCTGCGGACAACAGTACCGAGGGGTATTTGTTCGCGAGAAAGCGTGGCGCAGGATCAGGAAAAATGCGAGATGTTGCTGCGAAAACAAGCAGAAAACCACAGCAACCCGATGCTACAGCAGCAGCAGCTCCAGAAGAAATACGTCGCCCTCCGCATTTTAGTAATCCGGATCCGCAAGCGGGGGTCATCCGGCTGAGAAGTACGGAGAATAAGGCAGCTAAGGAGGTTGGCGTTGGAGTTGCACCAGCACGAGAAGCAATCTCATCACCTGTTGACACAGCAAAAGCAACAGCATCTCCTTCTTCGCGTGACGAACTGAAACGGCAGAATCCAGAAGAGGTAGAAGACGGCTTTAGCCGCGGAAAAGACCACCTCCACCATAAGGTCAGCACTCCGCTGAAACAGCAAGAAAACGACCATAGCTCATCGTCATCTCTGAACGAAAAGAAGGTGCTCGTCAAGAACGACGCAGAAGCTTCACAGCTTTCTAGGCGAAGTAGTGAGAACAAGGAAAAGAAAACGACGAGTGTTCAAACTGATGACGATAAAGCGGAAGAAACTGAAGCTGCAAACGCAACGAACCCAACAGCAGCAGCAGACACAGCTGCAGAAGCTTCCAACAGCACCGAAGGCGACACAGCGTCTGTCGACAGCAACGCAACCGCAGAGGCTGCCGCTTCAAGTGCTGCGACTGCATCCTTTGACCTTCAACAGAACGTAACTGCGACTGCGTCCTTTGACCTCGACGGCGGGGGTGCACCTTCGAATGACACAGCAGCAGCCGGCGCAGCTTTCGAGGAAAATAGTAATGCTACAGCCGCTATTAATGTATCCGCAACCTGGGGCGAGGGGGAGGACGTACACGTAGAGGTGGAAAAGCTAGCCGCAACGGAGAAGGAAAACGGAGCAAATGAAGTGGACACAGCAGATAAAAAAACGTCGAAAAAAGATGACAAAGAAGCTGCTGCGCCTGCGTCGTCTGAAAAAGATGAAAGCGAGGGTAGCGAAATAAAACCGAAGAAAAAGAAATCAGAAGCAGAAGACGATAAAGAGAAAACAGCAGCAGGCTCTGAAGGAGATAGCGCTTCTGCAGATGAAAAGAAATCTTCTTCTGCTGACGAGGTCCCCAAACTCGATACGTCCCAAGATCCAGTTCTGCAACTTGTCGAACTTGCCATCAACTACGCATACGATAAAATCGCGGGCATTCACCCAATCGCAAACGCAACTTTGGACTGGCTCTCCGGGAATGTTGACGCGGAGAACCCGCAGGATGAGGAGTTTGGCGAGAGTCAAGTGGTGATGCACGAGGCGGCGCTGCTTTTGCAAAATGAGAAGAAGTCTCTTTCTACTTCTTCCAGGCGGGGGCGGAGGAGAAATCAAAACAAAAACGAGACCAACGAAACAGCTTACGATTCGGCGGCAAGTTATCAAATGCAAAAATGTCTGGGTCTGGAAACTTGTGATGCTGGGTGGCGTCTCATGATGAGGCCACAAATGCTGGCTCAGCATGACAAGTTTCTGAGATTCCAGGTGTTGCCTATTCTGCATGACAAACTGCGTTTCTGCATCACAGAAAAATGGAGCTCTTGGGTAACGTGCATAACAGATTTAAGAGTTATGCTAGACAAGCATGACAAACTTGCACTCTTCCAGACCCAGACATTTTTACATTTGATACAAGTAGCGAAGACGCGGCAACCCCGGAGGAATCGGGAAACGTGGATGGGTATCAAATATAAAAATGTCTGGGTCTGGAAGATTGCAACTTGTTATGCTAAATCTGCAGCATGCAAAAATCTGAATCTGTGTTGCATGATTACCAAAAGTCGTCCAGTTTTGACCAAGTCGGGAGCGAGTTTCTCATGCAGGATAGGCATTAGAAAGGTCTCGCAGAATCTCACATGCTAGGTCCTGCATTCCAGACCCCATGGGTCATGGAAAAGCAGCATGACAAATCGCGCACTCTTCCAGACCCAGACATTTTTACTTTTGATAACGGGACTGGGTTAGAGGAAAGTCTAGACGGGGTTTATCGAGAAGGTGTTGATTACTACGGAACAAACGGATCCGGGGCACCTTTTAACGACACCAGCGGAGGAACGCCGGTGATGCACCCGGTGGACCGACAACACGGGACTTTAATAGGGATCGACGGAAAAGGACCTAGTAATGGGACTGGGCTGTTTGTTCGGGAAAAGGAAAAGCGAAAGGAAAATGGAAAGAACGCTGGAGGAGGAGGTGGAGAAGAAGACGATGTTCAGAAGAGGAGGGGTTATGTCGGTGAGGCTGTAACATAGTGATGTCAAAGAAGCTGAATTTTCTCATGCCTGGTTTCTGGCTACTGAAGGATTTTTCAACTCACATCTAACGACCACGGGTTTTTCCTGTTTGGAGCTTCGTGAGGATGAAGATTTTTTTGATCGAAACCAAAACAGTTTTACCTGAAGATGTCTCTAATTGTTTCAGTTTCCTAGAAAAAGACCTTTAGTTCCGAACGAAAAATTCATGTTTCCTTGCGGAAGTGAAGGAGATACTTACGTACGTAAGTATCCCTACACATCACGGTCTGCTTCCCGACGAGAAGTTGCGATGGCTTTCGTGCGACTTTCTGCTCCCAGTGACGTGATTGCATAATTTCGTAGTAGCCGGCGCCGGGAGCAGTGCGAGCGCAGAGTGCCGCTAGTTGTGCCCTAGAGATCAGAGTGGCTGGACGGGACAGAGTCAGAGAGGACGGCGTAAAGTGTACTGAGGCCACCACAGACGAGAGAACAGTGCAGGTAAGGACCTGAAGCGGCCCGCCTCTTTTGTCAATTTAGTGAAGCAGGAAAGTTAGTGACTGGCTACTTAACAATGTGGGCCCCCGACGTCTCTGATCTCGCAGGCGGTGCGAAGGCGTGCGAAGACTGAGGGTGGTGGGCGGCTCTCCATGGCATTTCCCGGGACTTCCGTCCCGCTCGCCCCCGTTTCCTTTGTGCCTCTTCGCCGATGCGGGGCGGCGCGCGCGTTCGTGTGTTTTGGCGTCTGCGTGCCGCCTTTGGTGGATTCCTTTCACTGACGACGCCCCGCCCCTGGAGGAAGGAGACGAAGATGCGTGGCGACCTTGCGCAGAAGGTTAACGGGCTGGCAGTGTGCGCAGCACCCCCAACCGTGGGCCGGCCATTCAGGGCCCTGCCCAGCGCCGCGGGCCTCCTGCCAGCGCCCGCCCGCACTGTGGCGCAGAGTTTTCGGGCGCCGCCATGCGCGCGCCCGGCCGCCGCGCGCCCCTCCCATCGGAAGGGGGCGCGGGCGTGGGACGGCGGCGCCCGCCCTTGTGTAGGCACCCCGTGCGCCGGCCGCGCGCGCTGGCCCCGCTCCTTGCCATACCCGCCTCCCCGGGCGGGGCTTTTTGTTAGTTGCCCCGGGGCGGCAGGGCGCTGCTGGTTCCGCGTTCAGCCACAGCCCATTTGCGCCGCGCAGGTCCTTGTGGCTGCATTGCCCCCCCGAAGCGGCGGCGCTTTTATTGCAGCGGCGCAGCAAGCTAGTGCAGTTTCCTCCTTTCGGGGTATCAAACAATCTAGTGGCCGGTCTCGAAAGCTCTGCCTGCCCCCGGTTTCGTTTGGCGATGCTGGTCAAGCAACAGAAATATCGTCCCCGAGGGGGGATATGCTTGTAACCTTCAGCAGCTAGTTTTCGTTTTCGATTGCTCTGAGGACCCACGCCTGTTCTACTCAGCTGGGAGTAGTAGAAGGTGCTGAGGAATCGCCTATCACCATTCATCGTGCGAGCGGTACCTGATAAGAGCGACATGACATATCAGAAAAATAGGTGCCTGCGCCAGCGGCACTCCTCCTGATAGCACATTGCGAGTGAAATAATAATGGGACAAAGCAGGGTTTGAACACCAAGCGAAAACGAGAGAGCAATAGGGTCCTGCTGTAGATAATTCACGAGCAGCACCACAAATCACAAAGTTTGACACAGATTTTTATCTAGGGCTACTTCTTCGGCACAGGACTAAACGATGATGAAATGAAGGCTTCCTGTCGCACATCTTTCCCCTTTTGGCAGTGGGGCTGCCGACCACGGTGTTTATTTCTTTTCGCAGTTTTTAGTTTTTACGACCCGAAGACCACTCACGTAGCGGCGCTGCGAAGAGCCTCTACCACGACTTTGCAGTTCGAGTGGCAGACGGGAAAACAGAAGAATTACGTCGACAGAAAGAGTAACATAGGTGCAGCAAAGACCACAACAGGAAATCGAAATCACGCGAAAGAAAAGGAACGTGAAGCAGTAGATCACGATAGCACGACATCGGCGAAACGAACAACGAATGTCAAGGGAAAGCATAAAGATAACAAGTTTCTGAAGCTGCAGCACTCGACGACTGGTGACGAGGACACGACCCATGATGCACAAGCGCTGGGTCCGCTTCCAGAGCCAGAAAATGGAGAAGAATTTTTACCTCCCAGCGTCGTTCAGGACGAGAACGAGGTCTTCAATTACTCGGTCGAAGAACAGCGGGAGGCTGTCCGGAGGTACTTCGAGACAGAGGACCGGAAGAAGAAACTATCACAGGACCACGTCGAAATGCTAGCGGAAAAGGGAAGAGAGCTGATCGAAACGGAGGAAGATGCAGCAGCAGTAGCCTCTTCGGGGAAGAAACTACACCAGCATGGGAAGAAGAAGAAGCAAAAGCAGAAACAGAAGATGGTTTTGGTCACCAAGACATTGCAGTTCGGGATTTTTGACGGGTTTTTTGACTTTTTCAACTTCATCGGAAACATGCTCGGGCTCGGTTATGCGTTGCAAATGCATCGTTATCGTGTCAGTTGTAGAACTAGAACTAGCATTGCAAATCTTTCCAGAAGGAAGAGCGGAATTTGCAATGCTGCATTGGCTATAAACCAGATTTGTCATTCTGTAATATAAAGAAAAATACCAGAAGATTTCTTTGTCATGCTGTACTGCAATTAGTACGATACTTTTGCAATGCATGTCACCCCCGAGGAAACAACCTCGCTGCCAACTAACAACACCGACAGCAACGAAACAGCAACAGCGAACGAGACAGCAACAGCGAACGAGACAGCAACAACGAACGAGACAGCAACAACGAACGAGACAGCAACAACTACAAACGAGACAGTATCGTACGAAAAAAGGGTAGTTTCGCTGTAGAGATTTTGTAAGTTTTGCATCACGAGTTTGATCTACATGAAGACAGAGAAAATTTGCCCCTTGGATGGGCAGCTCCTAAGGCAAAACACATCTAAAAATTCATTGTCTTGCATGTGTAGCTGCAAGACAAACACTTCTGAGATACTTTTTCTACATAATTACAACAAGGCTACAGTGGAACTACTTTTTTTCTTTCGATAGACAGCTGACACGAACTCGAGCGGCCTGTTTCGGAGAGGAGCCGAAGACTTGGAAGGAGGAGATACAGGGGGATCATTCCAGGCCGATGAACTAGAAGCGTTTGAAGACGAGGATAATATGCCCCTGGTGGATCAGGACGACGGGGGTGCTGCAGATGAAACGCTTCACTTTGCAGTGGCTGTCCACGACAAAAATGCGGATCCTAAAAAACCTGACGAAGATTCTCTTGCTTCGGACAACGACGATGAATTTCTCGGTCTTAGAAAAAAGAACGCAGCGGGGAAAACAGTGTCGGAAAGAGGAGAGGAAAAAGAAGAAGCGAAAGCTACTTCCAAAAAGTTCTCCACCGAAATTGCATCCCAAACGGAAAAGGCGAAAGTTTCCGTTGCAGGGAAAACAGCGACCGCGAAGTTCGATATTGCGCCGGATGAGACTGAGGGGAAGAAATTGCAGGTAGAAGTAGTAAAGGGAAAGGAAGAGGAAGGGGTTACTGCGCCTTCTGGTCCTGCGGCCGGAACTGGGGCGGCGAGCGGACCATCAAGCAGCACTGTTAATGAGAAGCCACTCGTAGCAACCTCCAAGCCTGATGACGCTGCAGAGCCTGCACAAGAAGAAGTAGAGGAGGAGGATAGCACAACAGTGGATCAGGTCGAAACCCTTTCCGGCGAAGATATCGAAGAGCCGCTACCGGTGGCGACACTGACGAGGAAGAAATCGTCTTCCACGGCCGCGGAACATCATGCTGTCCTTGACGCTGGGTGGTCCGAGAAAGAGGTTGCAGAAATGAAGGAACAAGTGCAGGAAGAGTTGAAGGAAGAGATGAAAGACGAGCTGAAAGAAGCGTTGAAAAAGGAGATAACAGAGGACTTGAAGCAAGAACTCAAAGCGGAACTTTCATCTTCGAATAAACCGGAAATGTTGAAGGGGGCGAAGAATAAAGTAGACAACGAAGAAAACGATCACTTTTCCGCGGTGTCGGCGAAGAGACTCGTGCGGAAGGAGGACGAGCAGCTTCACCATCAACAGAGGAAGGTGGAAGTAGAGAAAAAGAAGACCACAGCTACATCCTCTACTGCGTCGGAAGCAAAAACATCAGTGTTGAAAGACAAGAAAAGCATCGCGAGCAAAAACACCAGTCCGTCTGGCTGGGTTTCGTTGCCCAAGAATCTAGCGAAGGAGATGAAGCAGGAAGGAAAAGAGAAGAAAAGCGCCGCGGTTGCATCTTCTTCTACTGCACCAAAAACTACGGTTTTCAATGCGAAAAGTAGTAGCGCTACTTCCGCTTCAGCTTTAAAGGAAAAGACGTCCTGCAAATACTGCGAGGGGGATAATTGTGTGAACCTTTCTTGCACAAGCACATCATCTACTTCAACCAGCGATAAAACAAAAGCCAGTGCGCCGGCAGCTTCCTCAAAAGGTAAAAAAACCGATGCTGCCAGCAGCAGCAGCTCCGCGACAACTTCTACGGTGGCAAGAACTTCTTTTACAAGTGGTACTTCAGGCCTTTACTGTGAGGGTGACAATTGTGTGAGGGTGAGTAAAAACGGTAGCAATGAAAAAGAAGCACCGGCTGAGGAAGTAGTAGATCAAGATCTTCCTTCTTCAGCTTCAGCAGGAGCAGAAACAGAACTGGAAGAGAGAAAGAAGAAAACTGCGCCAGAGCATACCGATGCAACGACAGCAAGCGACGATGCCGCAGAACAAGCTCCTGCACAACCGTCGAAAGAGCGTCTGTACTGCGAGGGTGACAATTGTGTGCACATCCAGTTGCCAACCGACACAGCGCCGCCTGCAGCATTAGAAGAGAAGAAAAAGACCACCAGCACAAGTACATCATGGACCAGCGTGCCTGAAAAATTAGCTTCTGAAGAGGACGGGGACGCCACATCATCCGATGGTGTTAGCACAGCACCTGATAGTAGTTCCTCTCACGAACAAGTTACAAAACTCTATTGCGAGGGTGACAGCTGTGTGCACATTCGACCACCATCAAGTGAAGACACAACTGGTGAAGAACCGAAAAATGCAGCGCCAGCAGCGCTGGAAAAGAGGAAGGAAAGCAAAGGCGGGTGGGTCTCCGTCCCGGCCGGATTGAAGGGGGCAGAGACGGAAGATGAAGTCAGCAGCAAATCATCGGTGGATAGCGAAGTTACTGCGACGTCATCATCGTCCTCTTCGTCCGACGAAGGAGCTACGAAACTTTACTGCGAAGGCGATAACTGTGTGCAGCTTGGGAAACCAACTCCTGCTGCTAGTGAAGATGTTGACTCCTCCTCCGCAGCTGCGCCAGCGGCGTTGGAAGAAAAAAAGAAGAAATCTGTCGATCTCGATTCTACTACGAGTACTAGCAGCTCCAAGACATCGGCCCCCGTTGAAATCGATGTCGCTGCTGCGTCCGCGGACTACGCTTCTTCATCCTCTTCCCAGGGTGGCAAGCTCTACTGTGAGGGCGACAACTGCGTGCACCTGCTTGTTCCGGCAGGTCGTGGAGAAAGTAGCACTTCATCTGCGGCGAAACCAAGACCAAAATCAACTGGCACGCCGGCGCTCGAGGAGAGAAAGAAGAAATCAGTTGCGCAGGAGCATGATTCTTTCGAAAAAGCAAGCCCGTGTCCTCGGAAGTTGTACTGTGAAGGAGACAACTGTGTACACGTGAACATTTGTGATGGGGAAAAAGAAGAAGAAGAATCGCCGGAAGAAGCAGTGGTAGATGCAACTCCAGCGTTGGAACAGAAGAAGAAGATGACTGTTGACAATACCAGTGAAGATAAGGAACCTACTGTCAGTGATGTAGCACCATCAACAAAACCAGAAGCCGCGGAAACAAGTCCAAGTGCGACATTACACAAAAAAGCAGGCTGCAAGATGTACTGCGACGGTGACAATTGTGTGCACCTCTGTCACGATGCTGAGGCAGCAGCAACTACACCCGCTGCTCGTGTTCCCGCTACAACCTCTACGAAGCAGGAAGCGCATGTAGAAAAAGACGAAACTCCTGCAGCGGTTGATTCCCCGGCAGCGCTGGAAGAGAGGAAGAAGAAGGTAAATTCCAAAGCCGGTTGCAAACTGTACTGCGAGGGGGACAACTGCGTACACTTATGTGCTGAAGACACACACCAGCTACACAGTTCCGAAACCGCTCTGGAACAAAGGAAAAAGAAGGATTTGCTAGCCAAGAACAGCGAGGATGACACGGCAGCCATGGATGAGAAGAAGAAGGAGCTGGTTGCGAACACAGCAGCATACGCGGAGAAAATGACATCAAAACTAGTAGACAAGAGCAAGGTTGAAACAGCCAAGGCTGCAAATAACCAGGCGGGTGCAGAGACCACGAGGAACACCGGATGCAAAAAGTATTGCGAGGGCGACAACTGCGTGAACCTCTGCGGAACTACCGGTAGTGCAGCATCAGAAACCTCCACCAATAGCGCAGCAAAAACCACCGCAGAAGAAGGGGTAGTAACTGCGAGTCCGGATAGCAGTACGTCGACCAGCGTCGAGAAGACGCCATGCAAAAAGTACTGCGAAAATGAAACTTGTGTCGACATCTGCGGCGAAGCGGTGCACAGCCACCTGGAAAAAACCGCGTCGCGGGCTGATGCAGTGCAAGAAATGAGGTCGGCGCTGCAGAAAAAAACGGGAGTACTAGTTACAAAAACTGCTAAGAACAACGAGGAGAAAAGCACGGGGGAACAAAAAGTAAAGAAACCGGAGAGCGCGTCGTCAAAGGCCACTAGTAAAAGTAGTAGAATATTGAAAGCCCCGAACCCGCACAAGAAGGCCGGCGCCTGGAAGTCTCTGCCGAAAAAGTTACAAGAGAAGTTTTTCGCGCAGGAGAAGACAAGCTATGCTGTGCAAAAGTATCGTACTCGTATAAATGCAGGTCTTGCATTACAAATTTCTTTGTCAAGGCAAATCAGCATTACAAATTTCATTTCTCATGCTGAGAAAATTTGTAATGCATTTACACGAGTACGATACATTTGCAGTTCATACAAGCGAAGAGAAAGCGAAAGCGTTCTTGATGCTGCAAATGAAAAAGGCGACTGCGATCGCCGCGAGGAACGAGAACGGTGGGGCGTAGTAGTGCTGGGGTGAAAATAAATTGACTAAAAGAAATCGTAGCGGGTCAGATGCTCAGTTTTTTCACTTCAACATTTCAGAAGAAGACAAAGAACACGGAAACCAGGACACCTCTCTACTTTCAGCAGAGCGGTTTTACAGTAGTTCTCGTTTTCAAATCTAGCGAAGTAGACAACGTGCAAGTCTCAGGTAGAGATCAAAAATCACAAACCTAGAGCAGTAGAAAACAATTGCAACTTCTATAACCTAGCACAGTCAATATTTTTACGAATTGCGTACTCAGTTTTGAATTTTAGCTTTTTTACAACCAAGAATTTCAATACAAAGTAAGATGGCCCTTCATCTCGGCGGAGGACGCAGATAGTTTCTCAAGGAATACAGAGCAAAAAGCGTGATGCTCGTTTCAAAGAAAAAAATGACATAGTGCATCGAGCCTGTTGTAGCGCAACACATTAGAAACTGCAACTGTACAACATACGACGACGCTGTTATCATGTCAGAATCGCAAATGAACTTCGTATACTTGTTGAGAAGAAAAAGGAGTTCAAGTGGAAAACACCAGAAACTCAAACTTCATCTTGAACGATAAAGTACACCTGGCCAACATCCACTAGCTCCGACCATCGCTCTCCGCATCGCGGCGCTCCCGCTCATCGATGCGATTTTTTCTCTTTCAAAGCTGTCAGAGGAGCGCATGGATGACTCGTGGTGTTCCTTTCATCTCCAGCTCGCGTTAGATTTCAATTTACAGATGATGCACTGAAGATCAACCTAATTTGCAGATAGTTTTCTTCTATTGCGCAACTGCAAGAAGATCCCAACAACGATAACTAACACATAGTACTTTCTGCCCTGCCTCAGCTGCGCAAGCTAGCACCAGCACGAGATCACAACTATTCTATCAATCTGAACAAGCACTTATTGTCCGTTACCTTTGCACGACTTCTGTATTACTTGTAACATCAGGCTGTACCAAAAAATGTTTCACCGCATGGAATTTTTGTGTCACTGAAATCACCTACGAATTTACTCTAGAATAGCGACACTCAATTTCATTTTCACCTTTCATCCACGAGACGACGACTAGTAAACTTTTCCGTTGAAGATAGAACTTCACTTCCTTCATCTACAGGAGTTGTACTCTCACTTGTTTAGCATCAGAAACCGACAGCAACCAAGATGTCTCGCAACCACGACCGGCAGATCACAATTTTCTCCCCGGAGGGGAAGTTGTATCAGATTGAGTACGCGTTGAAATCCATCCAGAACCAGGGTATTCTCGGGATCTGCCTCCGGGGGAAGGACACGGTGTGCACGGTAGCGCAGCGGAAGGTTCCGGACAAATTGCTCGATCCTTCCTGCATCACCAACATGTACAACATTACCCCCAACATCGGCTGCTTGGCCATCGGTTCCGTTCCGGACTGCAAGGTGGTTATCACCCAGGCCCGCTATGCATTGCAAATATGTCTGGGTCTGGAAAAGGACCAAGTTTGTCATGCACATTTTCCATGACCCATGGAGTCTGTGACGCGTGCCCGAGCATCACACATTCTGCGTCGAGACTTTTCTGATGCTCATACCGCATGAGAAATGTCGCCTTCGCGTGGCAAAAACTGGACCTCTTTTGCTGTTCATGCATTACAGGTTTTATGTAGAGTCCAAAGATAGCATGACAAGTTGCATCCTCCCAGACCCAGACATATTTGCATTTGATACCCGCCAGATCGCAGCGAAATTTAAGGACCAGAACGGGTATATCCTGGGCAAAAACGTCCCCACCCCAGAGTCAAGATGGGGATCTCGCAACACAGGTCGAGAAGTTTTGGGAATCACGCATGACAAGTTCCTCTCTGTATTGTAGTGCACTTCAGCAGGTGCAGCCGCATCACAAAGCCATCTGCTCATCCGGTTTACTGCATCACAAAGTCCAAAACGCGATTGGAAATGCTTCTCATCGGGATGCGCATTACAGATCTTCCTGTGATTGCAAAGCTGCATGACAACTATGGGGTGGGGACGTTTTTACTCAGGATAGGGTACGAGATCCCGGTGCACTTTCTGGCTTCGAAGGTTGGGAAGAAAGCCCAGATTTTCACGCAGCACGCCGGGGTGAGGCCGTTGGGAACCGTGATTCACCTGTTGGGCGTGGATGATGAGAAGGGACCGCAATTGTATTAGATTTTCTCTTTGATTTTCGCATGATAGAGAATCCAGCATTGTTGACTCTATTCCTGACTGCTCATGCAACGCTTGCATAACAAACAAACGTTCATATTGCAAGCATAAATCGCGTTGAAACTATCAGGTGGAAGATCGACCCGTCCGGGCACTACTTTGGGTGGAAGGCGTTGGCAACCGGACCGAAGGATCAGGAGGGCATGATATTACAATGAAAAATGCCCCCACCCCCAGCTTGGCAGCATTTGTATTGCAAACCTTTCCAACAGAAACATTCCCCGTCTTGCATATCTCAGCATCACAAATTTGCCATGCTGAATAGGTCAAATTTGTGTTGCGAAGTAGCCCAACAGCAGCCGGATCTGTTATGCGCAAGGCACCTTGCGCACCCAGATTCTGCATCAGAAACGCTCGCAATCCTTTTATGCAAGATAAAAAACTTTCATTTGGAAACTTTGCATGACAAACTTCTGCAAATTCCGGGTTGGGGGCATTTTTCATCGTAATACATGAACGCTTTGGAGAAGGTCGTGAAGAACGCAGAGTCCAGTACAAACCCGCACGAATATGGAATGCAAATATGTCTGGTGGGTCTGGAAGAATGTAAACTTGTCATGCAGGTTTCCCCTGCCCATGGGGTCTGCTATGCAGGCCATAGCATGACAGACGCTGCGAGGTCTCTATCATGCCTGATCTCCATGAGAAACTCCCTCTCCTGGTGGTCAGAAAAGGGCGTCTTTTGATGTTGATCACGCAAGACAGATTTTTGTGTGATCCAGAGGACGCATCACAAGTTCCATCCTTCCAGACCCAGACATATTTGCAACGCATAACGAAACGACTTTGACGAAGGAGCAGACGATTAGGAAGTGCATGGACGTTTTGTGCCAGGTCTTAGCGTATCCTGTGCAAAGGTATCGTACTCGTAGTAAAAATTGCATTTATGCATTACAAATCTCTTTCTCAAGGTAAATCAGCATGACAAATTTAATTTGTATTGCTGGGATAATTTGTAATGCAATTTTTACTAGGACGATGCTTTTGCAGTGCATATCGCGCAGGATTTGAAGGCCCAGGATTTGGAGGTTGGGGTGGTGTCGGAAAACGACCCCTTCCGCTTGCTTATGCAAGAAAAAAACTGTGTAAGTGGAAGTCTGTGATGCAAAGCATGCAACACTGTTACACTTGTCATGCTAGCCAGCCATTGAGTCCTATTTCATTTGTGTTTTCACTTACCAGCTGCGCATGACAGGCTTTGTCTGTCATGCAGAACAGATTTGTCATGCCGTTACCCCAAGACACCTACATTGACACAGTTTTTTTCTTGGATATTGCTCTCCGCGGCGGAAATTGACGACCACTTGACCGCGATTCACGAGCAGGATTAAGTGCGTGTGGTGTTTGTTTCAACAACCTTGCGGATTTTCAAAACAGGGAGGAGAACGAAGATTTTTTTAAACGGGAAGCTACTCATGCTTATCTGAAGCTGCACGTTAGATTCTGAGCCGTCGGAGTTTGATGTGTTGGTTGCTGCTTCGTGGCTAGGCGATGAAAAGGAGGACAACTTGAATATTTCGATAGTACTACCTGCGAATTTGCGACGAGGAAGATTTCAACAAATTTTTACCCACCATTTGTTACATTCACATTGATTTCCGAAAAGCGCTCCCCAATGATCCATGCGAGCAAGTGTCCACCAGCCGGTGCGACTGTGCAACGCACGCGCATGCTGTTTGTCTATAAAGATTCCTTTTTTCGGTAAAAAAAAGAAGCGTCTGCTCGGTATTTTTAGTGTCTGTACTTTCGATCATCTTGGCACTTGACGTGAAAATCAAATCTCGGTGTGCCGTTCCGTCCATTGCAAGGACAGCTTGGAAGCTGACTTTTCGGTTCGTGCTTTATGTTTTGAATCTCTTGCATCGGCAACCTCACCTTCCTCGGTATATCGTTCTCTCCTTCGCGTCGGATGATTTCGTTCAGGACATTGCCCATCATAGGCTGCGGCGTGGTCTTCGTGCAAGAATGCAGGTGAATAGAGTATGTACTGAAGTTTCAATACTTTGACCACCACATATTTTTTTCACATGCAACGAAAAAAACAGCCCCGACCAGTTAAAATTTGTACCCCAACTAGCATGCCATATCCCCCCATGTTTTCGTATGACTACGAGCATGTTTTGAATTCGAAAAAACTATCCCCCGCTCCCCCTAATTTACTTAAATGTATCGGGCAGCTTCCGCCTACTCTTTTCCGATGCATATCCGCGACGAGTTACCCGTGTGTAGCGCAGGGCATTGCCGGCGCGTAACTGCAGCAGCAGTCCTTCTCCTATTCTGAAAAGCAAAAAGGCGTCTTATCGTCGCGACAGCGTCCTGTCACTTAAGCGACCATGCTTCGCCACTCGCTGCGCAAGGCGAAGGAGAAGGAGGAGAAGAGAAACAATAACAAAGCAAATGCTTCCGACAGTGACCAACCGATCAAGCTCGCGAGGAATGCTTCCGACAGTGACCAGCTCGCGAGGAACTCTAGTTTCGAAGACGATAATATGCATTGCAAATATGTCTGGGTCAGCGTCAGGAAGGATCCAAACTTGTCATGCTGTCTTTGGATTCTAAAAAAATGAAAATCTGTATTGCAGCATGACCAGCAAGAGGAGCCCAGATTGTGCTACGCGGAGAGGGCATTTGTCATGCGGAATAGGCATCAGGAAGTCTTCCAAAAATCTGTGATGCTAAGTCATGCACTACAGGCATCGTGGGTCATGCAGGATCTTGGCGCAGGATTTGAAGGCCCAGGATTTGGAGGTTGGCGTTACGCATTACAAATTTCTCTTTCAAGCTAAATCAGCATGACAAATTTCATGTGTCATGCTGAGCCAATTTGTATTGCAATACTACGAGTACGATACTTTTGCAGTTCATAGCACTACTTTGGGTGGAAGGCGCTGGCCACCGGACCAAAGGATCAGGAGGGCATGAACGCTTTGGAGAAGGTCGTGAAGAACGCCGAGTCCAGTACAAACCCGCACGAAACGACTTTGACGAAGGAGCAGACGATTAGGAAGTGCATGGACGTTTTGTGCCAGGTCTTAGCGTATCCTGTGCAAAGGTATCGTACTCGTAGTAATTGCATTTATGCATTACAAATCTCTTTCTCAAGGTAAATCAGCACTACAAATTTAATTTGTATTGCTGGGCTAATTTGTAATGCAATTTTTACTAGTGCGATGCTTTTGCAGTGCATATCGCGCAGGATTTGAAGGCCCAGGATTTGGAGGTTGGGGTGGTGTCGGAAAACGAACCCTTCCGCCTGCTTATGCAAGAAAAAAACTGTGTAAGTGGAAGTCTGTGATGCAAAGCATGCAACACTGTTACACTTGTCATGCTAGCCAGCCATTGAGTCCTATTTCATTTGTGTTTTCACTTACCAGCTGCGCATGACAGGCTTTGTCTGTCATGCAGAACAGATTTGTCATGCCGTTACCCCAAGACACCTACATTGACACAGTTTTTTTCTTGGATATTGCTCTCCGCGGCGGAAATTGACGACCACTTGACCGCGATTCACGAGCAGGATTAAGTGCGTGTGGTGTTTGTTTCAACAACCTTGCGGATTTTCAAAACAGGGAGGAGAACGAAGATTTTTTTAAACGGGAAGCTACTCATGCTTATCTGAAGCTGCACGTTAGATTCTGAGCCGTCGGAGTTTGATGTGTTGGTTGCTGCTTCGTGGCTAGGCGATGAAAAGGTGGACAACTCGAATATCTCGATGAGTACTTCTACCTACGAATTTGCGACGAAGAAGATTTCAACAAATTTTTACCCAGCATGATTCGTTGAATTCACATTGACAACCTCCGAAATAAAGCGCTACCCTATCCATCCGAGCAGAGATTAAGAACACCTCCAGTTGTCCACCAGCCGGTGCGACTGTGCATCGTTCGCGCAGCAGATTTTCTGAAGGATATCTTTTTCTGCTAAAAGAAACGTCTCGGTTTTCGTGCCTCTACTACTGTCTGTGATGGTACTAGGGCTCCAAGTAAAGATTTCGGTCTGCCGTTCCTTTCATTGCAAGTACAGCTTGGAAGATGACTTGTCGGTTCGTGCTTGATGTCCAACCATCGTGCTCCTGTCGGTACGTCGTAGTCGTCCTCACTGTCACGTCGGATCATTAATTTCGTTCATACTTACCAACATAGGCCACTGTGGCTTCGTACAAGAATGTATTCGAATAGAGTACTGATACTGAAATTCACTTCTCGAGGCCGTAACTTTACCTTCGTACTCCTCGTGTATTAATCAACTTTTTTCACTCTCAACAAAAAAGCACAGCCCCGATGATTTCAAATTTGTACCCCAACTAGCATGCCATGCCTCCCCCCCACGTGTTCATATGACAACGAAAATGTTTTGAATTCGACAAACCTATCCCCCGTTCCCCTTGAATGTATCGGCTTTATTCGCCTGTTCTTTGCTACGAATGCATCTCAGCGATAAGTTCCACGTGTGTAGGAAAAGGCACAGGTGCGTGGCAGCAGAAAAAATCTTTCTCCTATTCTGAAAAAAGCCTTCTTTTTGGCAGAGCCGCGTCCTTATCACCTAAGCGACCATGCTCCGCCACTCGCTGCGCAAGGCGAAGGAGAAGGAGGAGAAGAGGAACAAAGCGCCTAATAAATCAACAACATCTTCATCCGGAAGAAGCATGAGACAACCTGAGGGAGAAGCAAATGCAAACAGCATGGCCGACAATGCGATAATATCAGCCGGAAATGCAAATGCTTCCGACAGGGACAGTGACCGTGACCAGGCGATCAAGCTCGCCCTCAGCTCTAGTTTCGAAGACGACAATCACGATACGATCCAACAAGGAACGAACAGAGCAACCGGGTCTGTCAACCTCTACCGCGGAACCACGTCGGTGCGAAGAACGAGCGTAGATGACGTTATTTCTTCCGATGTGGGAGATAACAGCAATTTCTCCTTCTCCGGAACGTCGAAAAAATCTGCTTTAAAGCGTGGTCCACGTCCATCCATCAACCCCTCCCGGCAAACCAAAACCGGCATCCGCGGGTCAAACTTCATCCCCCAAACCGAGGGCTCGATTGCGTTGATCAGTCGCGCGTCCGGGGAAAGTCTGATGCCACGTGGAACAAGTACTAGGGAGCTGCCAACAGCATCAACAACCTCCGTTGTACTGTTGCCGAGAGATTCAGCCGCTGTTGACTCTCGAGATTCACAGTTGACTATCGCGGACCAGGAAAGGATCAACGAATTGAGTCAAAGATTGAGCCGGAAGGAAAAGCAGATGGAGATGGGACGATCAAGCAAGAATGTTCAGGAAGACAACGGGATCGAGATTTTGGGTAAAGACTACAATCAGGTCGAGATTTTGGATAGAGACTACGGCCCGGTTGAAGAGTATAATTGGGACAACGCTCATCTCGCGCCCGATGTCCAGCAGGTGGAGCAGGAGTTCATGAAACGGATATCGCAGGAGAACGGGGGGCCAGCACCAGGACGAGCTTCTCAACTACAAGCTGGTTCTCCAGTGCAATTCCAGCCTCCCTCTAGGAAATCAAGGAAAAGTGCTGCTCCTGGTGTCATCCTAGCGGACGACAATACCGGTTTCGGTGGCGCACCGTTGCAATCTTCTGCGGAGAGCAAGTCGTCGACTTTGGAGCAGAAGGAGGAGGATTCTAATCGAGGGACAAGAAATAGGACTTCTGCATCAATTGTCGCCGACACCACGAGTTCCCTGGTTCGGCGGTCGTCGAGAAAATCTCAGTCCGCGTTGTCCGCTAGCAATGTGACGACACAAATCATTTCCAGCTCCGACGAAAGACGGCAAGAAGTAGCACCAGAATCTAAAGCGCAGCGCAAGAAGAAGTCTTCTAGTACAGTGGCTGCAACACCGACATCAACCGCCGATCAGCCCCCTTCTTTGCAGCGCATCAAACCCCAGCGACCGACCGAGATCCGGGAAAAACTGGATCCGGAGAGCGAATTCAACCAGCAGCCGCTTGTCCAGCCACAGATGCGGCCGAGAGCCAGTAAAAAGAAACGAAAGCCAAGTCTCGGCGATAGTTCAGGCTTATCCGATTCTCGAGAGACGCTGGAAAGACTGGAAGAGACGAAAGAAGTGAACCAAATCGCCTTGAACGCGTTAGACTTAACGGATAACGGCATGACCGACCAGCAACGGGCGAGGATGTTGAGGCAGCAGGTGCAAGCGAGTGTGTTTGGAAATAACTCTTTTGCAACGAAGAGTCAGCAGCAACAAAACCAAAAGCAGCAGCTTACCGGCGCGCCGGTCAATGATGTAAATGCGATTGGTGCGGATAGTAGCTCGTCCGCGGTTCTTGCTGGTGCGGACACAACAACCACTAGTCCGCTTCGTGCTCGCAGGACGAAAAAATCCATTTCGACGAATGCGAACGTCACAGGAGGACAAGCGGCGAACACATCGGTTCTCCCGGCGGATGTGGTTATCATCGCAAGGGAGGAATTAGAACGGTTGAAGAGAAAAGCGTCTGTCTATGACAAAGACTACAATCCGATGCAATACCAAAGGGATAGTACCAGTGCAGATGGAACAACTAGATCAAATGCGCCCGCGCGGTTACCAACCCAGGTTTTCCAGGAAAAGCAGCAGCAAGTCCGGCGGGGAGCCATGGCGGCTTTGCTGAATAACCGGAATAGCTACAACCTTGCAGCAGACTTGGCTTTACCCGGAGAGGATCAACGCTTTTCAACCGCTTCTGGGATGAACATCGCGCTTTCCCGGAACAGTACGACAGCAACTAAAAAGCAGCTAAACCTGAAAGAGGGCCTAGAGCCGAAGAAATCGAAAAAACGCAACCGGTACAGCATTCAGGGGGAATACGTGATGACGACACCGAGAGGGACGACTACTATCGGGAAGAAGTCCGCTGGGCGGGAAGGGAAGAATGCAAACAATCTGCTGGCTGCAGATAATCTCCAGGATTTCACAAGTCACAACGCCTTGGCCGCGGTTACGTCCACAACCGACAGTGACAACTTGCTAAATTTAACCGAGGCGGACAAATCGCACTTACACGAGCTCCGGGAATTGAGGAAGAACGTCGCGGCGAATGAACGGAGATTTTTACAAACAACGAGGGAATTAGCCCAGTCCGGGTCTTTTAAGAACCTGTATACGACTGCAACCGGTGGAACAAGCGGTGACCGCTTATTCCGTGGATACAGCAAGCAGAAGTCGAAACTCCTCTGTGTCGACTTCGACAATTGCCTTGCGAATTACACGACGAACAACGAGAGTGGCCACGGGATGACGGCGACGAAAAATGTCACGAACCTGGGGAATTCCCACCGGATCCAGTACATCAGAGAGTCTTTGGCGGTGTTGAAGCAGGAGTATGTGATAGTTTTGCTGTCGGGAAATTACACGGAATTCGTTACGGAGGTTCTGCGGAAGAACTATTTACTTTCTCTCTTCGACCAAATTTGCGGTGGAGATTCCTTCCCCTTTTCCATGAATAAAGGGAAGCGCATGAAGCTGCTGATTGAGGAGAAAGAGCAGTTTCGGGTGTACAATTTGATCGAATCGATATTGATAGATGATCAAGAGCACAACTGCATTGAGGCGGAGGAACACGGGTTTTGGGCCATGCAGGCGAATTTCACGGAACTACCAGATACTTTACGGATGTTGTGCGTTTGCGAGGCCGGGTCGGTGTTGGAATTCACGAAGAGGCTGGAGGAGGTGCGGTATGAACTGGGTAGTCAGTTCGGCTTCGGGATCTACAACGCAAATACGCATGGGAAGGTAGTGGTACAGACGGGGAGTAATAATGTGCAGTTGCAAGATTTCACGCGGAGCAGCTTGATGAACTATGCGACTACGGGCCGCGGTGGAAGTGCAGTAGCTGGCGGCGCAGCTGCAACAGCGGTAGTACCAGATGAACATATGAGCGCGACAACTCTAGTCCCGATCGTCGTGGATAAAGATGAGGAAGAGCAGTTTCAATACTTCGCGAAAGGGCAGGACTCCGTGCTGGATGACAATGATCCAAGTAGTCCCAAACTCATCCCGGACGTCGTCCCGGCGGTGGCGCTACTTTCCGAAAAAGCTGGCGCGACAATCAAAGCTTCCGATTTGAAAAACCTCGACGAAGAGAAATATCGTGTGCTCTTCGTCCCCTGGTCTTTATTCCTGAACAAAAACATGGAGGAGAAAGCGCCGATCATGATCGACAACAGAAGCGGGAAGCAGGAGCAGCGGAAGACCGCGGATGTGATAGGACAGGGAGGAATCATGCTAAACAACAATATGCCGACGAATAACCAAAATGAATTCCTACCGGAAGACTGGCAGAACTCCCCGATGTACAAGAAAATGATCGCGAATGAGCTGTTTCCACCGAATAGAGCAGCGGCAGGAGATGCGGGCATGGGAGCTACAAATCAGTTCCAACGGGTGAATGCGAGCGTCGGTCAGGCTTCTGTCGTGGTTGACCAGAGCGAAGTACAACTACAGGGAGATAGCGTTAGGCAACCAGACGAAGCCGGACAGCATGTTGACGACCCCAACAAGCCTTCCGACCCGGACGACGCCTACCTCATCCGTCGCAACCCGAAAAACTTCAACAAATTTGACCAGAAATTGCATGAGTTCAAATCCGGAAATTTCCTGGATTTGTCTGGGGATTACAATTTGAAAAACCTGTCCGCCATGCAGCTACTCGCGAAGTTACTGCAGAACGAAGAGATTGAGACTCTACCGGGTAGCAAGAATAAAACGCTCGATTTGGAAAAGGACGTTTTCCGAACGGTGTTTTTTGAGGGCTTGGATCACTTATCGAAAACCTTGGAATTGACTTCGGAGAAGAATTTGAAGAAAAATTCTACTTCCAGGGATAGGGAAAAGGGACACGACAGTACGACGAAAATTATTCGCGCAACATCAGGCACGACTTCCACCGAAAACAACACTAAGCACGACCCAAGAGTAGATCATCATTCCGCCAGGACCCGTGCCCGGAAATCCGCTGCGCAGAGGGATAGCAGTGTTAGGTCCGAAGGGAATGAGTCTGTCGCGTCTGTGGATGAGCAGTCTTTGAAAAAAGTGGTGATTTCCACACATAGTAGCCACAAGAGAAACATTTCCGCCACGTTTCCGGAGTTTAGACCACAAGAACGGCACACAGTTGAGGTTTTGTCCCACGTGGATTCATCCTCTGCGGTTGACGGGGCGAACTTGAACAGCTTGAAACAGCCCATCAAAGCGGGGGCGGTCGACGTAAATGTCGCCAGGAAGTCGAGAGAAGTCGGTGCGTCCGCCGAATTCACGCAGGCGCACGGGAAACTAGGTACGATGCCGAAGAAGGTGAAGCCTGACACTGTTCTTTTCCCATCCGCAACCACCGTGACGAATCAGATGGTCCCGAAAGCCGTGACCCGCATCGAAAGGGAGAGTGAAGCGAAAGCCGCCGCGGCGCGGGCCAGCGCGTTGGAGACGAAAGATGTTTCCGCTGGTGCTGCCACAATACAATCAGCCGCCGAAAGGCAAACGGTGCTGGAGCCACGAAAAACCGCGATCGAAAGGCAAACCGCGATAGTGACGAGTCAACCAGAGCAAAGTGATGTCAAAAACTCCATAACCGCTGCCGACACTTTTCAGGCGAACGAGACGGTCTTCGACAACAAAACGGAATTAGACAAAATGGCGGAGATTGCGCAGAAATACGGGGACAACCCAAAGAAGTTGAACAAAAGCGTTAGTTCTTCGGGGCGGAAGTCGACGAACATCAGAGCGAGTGCAAAGGCAAAAATTGAAAGCAGGATGCGGAAGTCCTCGAAATCCGGAAGGGCGTCGAAAAGCAACAATAAATCAGGTAGCTCTTCTACCAATGACCAGCAGTCGAGTGAGAATGAGAGGAGGAGCGAAGGAGGAGCTGCTGCCCGAAAATCTGAAAGGAAAACAACTCGGGCGACGGTGTTGCCGGTGGAGGCAGGAATAAATAACAGCAGTTCGAACCACGCGGAAACGGAAACTGCAACTCAAGCAGCCAAGAAAGGTCCCGCCCGGTCCCGTTCCCAATCTCCACCTAACGCTTCCTTCACGGCCGCTAGACAAATGTTTGAGCGACAGCTTTATCAAATGCAAAAGTGTCTGGGTCTGGAAGATTGCATGCTTGTCATGCTTGTCTGGCATGACTCTTAGATCTGTCATGCACATTGCCCAAGAGACGCTTTTTTCTGTCATACGGAGACGCAGTTTGTCATGCAGAATAGGCAACACCTACAAGGTCAGAAATTTGTCATGCTGAGCCAGCACTTGTGGCCTCCTCATGCTATGCCACCCAGCATCACAAGTTTCCAGACCCAGACATTTTTACATTTGATAAGCTTTCCCCTGGCATGGTCTCTTCTGCACCAACTAATTTCAGACCAGAGCCGCGCCCCTCTGCGGCCACCGCCACGCCGAAGAAAGTGGTGTCTTTTCAACAATTATCGCAAGGGGAGCTGAAGATACAGCCGGAAGTAGAGAAAAAACCAGGACAGCCGCGCGACAGACCGTCAATCGCACGGGCAGCGACGCCCGCGGCGGGGAAGATGGGTGCTTTGGCAATGATGAGCGCTATTGATGAAGAAGATGGTCCGGCAAGGATCAGCACAGGCGGAGCTGGTGCGAAAGGACGAGTGAAGGGGGAGGGAGCTGCTGTGCCTGGTTCTTTGAAAGGACCGAGGATGAGCAGCGTGAACAAAGGGGGGAAGAAGTGATAGTCGGGTGAGCCTAGGCCTACGTCCTTTGACTAAAGGAATCTTATCGCTTCTTTATTCCTACCTTGTTTTCGTTCCAACATGAAATTGAAAAACCACCTCACCCTTTAAGTACAATTAGCGACTTCATCCCCATACTTGGTCCCCACGACGAATCTGAGTCCTTAAGGACTTCTCTTGTTACACTAAGAAATCTTCGTCTTTGAAAGAAACAACTTTGACGATTGCCCCTTGTGAGGAGGCGTGCATGTGGTAGGACACGGAGCAGACACACCGTTGTCAGTCTTTTCTAAAGGTCCATGGTGTTCAGCACGTGTCCTCATCGCGAAACGAAAGATCCACTCTCATCTGAAGACGATAACGATGATGATGTAAACAAGATCCAAGCGGTGCGCAAAGCGATTTTTTTTTTCGGAACCAACAAACTCATTGTCATTCTCTTCCTCGTGCAACCCAGAAGTGGGCAAAAATCTTTGCAGAACGATGTTGTAACAGCGACGAAAAACGTAAACATAGTATGACGAAAGTAGAGCTGTTGCCGTTTCGCTTGTTTGGTGAATGAAAAGTGTAAACAGTGTGCGTTTCAAGATTATACCACGACGTATCAGTACCTGACTAGGAACCACAGCGGCACCTCGTTCTTTCATTGCGCTTCTAAAATAACAAATCATGCAAGCAGCTGCACCCGGCGGCGGCATGCAGGGGGCTGCAGCGGGCCCGCAGCTTTCTCAAGCGGAAATTGCAGTAGCGGAAATGAAGGGCATGGCAGATTGCTTCTCAAAACTCCAGTCCAGCTGTTACGCGAAGTGCATACCGATATCAAATGTAAAAATGTCTGTGTCTGGAAGAATGCAAGATTTGTCATGCAGATTTCTTATGAACCATGATGCCTGTAATGCATGAACTAGCATCACAGACTTTTAGAGGGCTTCCTGATCATGCACCCTCCGCATGAGAAATGCCCTGTCCGTGTAGCACAAACTGTACCCCTCTTGCTGGTCATGCAATACAAATTTTTTTAGACTCCAAAAACAGCATGACAAGTTCCAACCTTCCAGACCCAGACACTTTTACATTTGATAACCGAACGTGAAGGAGCCAACGCTGTCAGCGGGGGAGCAAAGTTGTGTCGACAGGTGTGTGTCAAAGTACTTAGACGTCCACCAGATTGTCGGGAAGGAGTTGGCGCAGGCGATGCAAAATGCGAACCCGATGGGCTGAGATTAGGCACAGATTGAGTAACCTTTGTTTGTAATGAGATGAGCAAGCTGTCTTGGACAGATTTCCAATCTCGAGGACATCTTGATCCTGTGACGAGCTTATTCTTTGTGGGTCATTTAGATTTTACGATAACGACTCATTGTTTTGCAACCACGAAATAGCGCGACAAAAATACAACGACTTGCTAGAAACATCGGCACTCCAGATGATTATCGTGTCTACTATACTACTTCCTGTTTTGTTCCTGTGTGTCTTTGTCATTGATTCGCACGAATTTTGTAACGACCACCACGATCTTCATACATCCGTTGATAAAGTTCAGCTGCACTAGCGTCTACTGCTAGAAAACGATCCTTTTTCTTGGCGTTTGGGTCTGGGCATAAACAAGAAGATCTCATTTCGTTTTTTGTTCGGGACCCGAGGAATCTGTTGGCTTTCTTCGTAATTTTCTGGTGTAGATCATTGCGTTTGCGACCGTATAGTGAACATCAAATTTTTTGTTGACTGCCTACAATCGGGACGGGCACGACCAGCACCAACACCATACCACTTGCTCGCACGTTGTACGCAGATTCAGTTGCAAAACGTCCTTGTGAGAAGCACACCACATCACAACTATCCCCAAGATGCTCGCCTACCCCAAAGAGCCCGGAAAACGCATTGTGACCCAACACGTGCTTGCTGCCGAAAACGGGTTGTATGGCGGCAATGGCAGCGGACCAGTGCCGGTCGACCACAGAGGCCTTTTGGTGTTAGGCGACGACATACAGAACACGAGAGGCAGCGTATTTTTGTTTGTTTTTATGACATGCTGTTAGTTCTGTGATAGCATCACAAATTGATGAACATGTACCAATTGCGTGTGAACATAGCATGCCAAGCTAAATGAACAACTTCATCCCGAATTATAGTCTCTAAATTTTTCAAAACAAAAACAGCTCAACGAGCAGCCACCGCACCTGCAAAACGGGCTTGGTTTGGAGAACCCGAGGTCGCCACGGGGTAGCGGTAGTTCACCGCGAAACAACGGTGCATCACAGACTAGTACCGGAACAGAAAACGTCCAGCACTACTTTGCAAGCGAACCAGGAATGATGCAACATAACGGCTCCGGCACCAGCCGGTCTTCCGTGGTCAATTCCACGGTGAGGATAAAAGGCTTCAGTAGTCGGAATAGACCAGAGGGCGCAGCAGCTTCCCCTCCAGCAGCGGGAGTGCCGAGTAAAAATTCCGAAATTATTCCGATCATCGACTCGCAGCGGTTTGCAGACCGGTCCGGCGGCGTGGTTTTAGGCGGAACGACGGTTTTGCAGAAGAATTTGAGCGACAGGATGGCGGAATTTTCACCCCGAGCAAATAACGGAAATAACTCTAAGAACTCCAGCAACGGATCCAGCTCCCACCACAGTTACAACCACATCCTTTCGGGCTCTCGCACGAATCACGCAAACAACATCGCCTGCACCTACGGCGGCCACGCAACAGCATCTGGTGCCGTGCAGGGAAACAACAATTTTTACCCCCACGGGAAAGTCAATCCGAACGTCATGCCGAACGCGAACGCAGCGCAGTTACGGAAGCAGAACTACCGAGGGAGGGGAGTGGCTGGGTGTTTGGGGGTGCAGTGGCCGGGACACAGTCCGACGGATGAAGATTTGATAGGGGACGAGAAGGAGCTGCATGGTATACAGAGATACATACGATACAATACCAGTTCTAGTACCTCGTTTTTTTCATCAAATGCTGGTGTTTTCGCACGATCAACAGTAATTGTCATGCGTACCTACATGAATATGAAAGAAATTCAATCGGACAACATTGTCAGAAATCAACTTCACCGGCATGCGGAGGAAGACGTTAGACCAGATAGACAAGTCCGGCACCTACGGTAGGTCGAACGCGAAATCCGCGGATGGCATGTACAATAGCAACGGAGAATTGGTACCGGTTTCGCCGGTGAAGCGGGAGAAGCAGGGGAAGATGCAGGGGTCGGATGTCTTGAACTACAAGGTCGTGTTGCAAAATAGTGGACAAGAACCAGGTGCAGGAGGCGGGGATGTTGACCAGAGTTCACAACTACAGTTTCAAACCAACCACCAAGACATCCACGGAAAATGGGATTCAACCTGCATGTATCCTGTGCAAAAGTATCGTACTCGTACTGCAATCATGCATTACAAATTTTTTTCTCAAGGTAAATCCGCATTACAAATTTTATTTCTCATGCTGAGGGAATTTGTCATGCATTTATACGAGTGCGATACTTTTGCAGTTCATAGCATGGAGGGCCAGTGGCCGGAGGTGGAGACAAATCAGGACGTGTTGAACCAGAGGGGGTACCGGCCTGGAGAAATCGTGATTGGGAAACCGGCGCCGCAATTCATGTATTGCTAATATGTGCATTTTTCTATTTGGAATTTGAAACTTGTCGTTGTCATGCACATCCGACCTAGAACGCATGTTTACGTGTGGGGGAGTGAAGTAGATCTGTGTTGCGGAGCTCGTAGCACAAACACGTGATTTTGCAAAAACCTAAAACAGGCGCGGCAAGGAGCAAGAGGACCACCGTGCGTACTCCGGGGGGAGCATAACGCAGCAAGGCACACAAAAGATGCCGGAAGCAACGCTGTACCGGGAATTGTTCAAAGCGCGGGATACCAGCAGCTTAAACTTGGTGGGGACGTTTAAGTGAAGGATATTCATATTTGCGGGTGGAATCACAATCAACAAGGCGGTGAAGATTGGTGCTGTGGTGGAATTTTTCTTGTACTGTAGAGCAGAATCAACACCAGGATAATCATGTAGAAGACAGAGTTGCAGATGCTAGGTTTCCAAACGCAAAGATGCCATCCTGTACAAAGCGATGAAAACAAATTATACCAAAATTGAATCCTCCCTGTCCCGAGGTCAAAATAGTAGCGTGATTATACTTCTGTACAATTTATTTTCGTTCTTTATCTTTTTCACTAAACCTAAAGCCAGAGCCATTCCATTATAGGTCGTCAATTAACAAAAAGCTGTAGCCGCTGCACAGCAAAGGCCCGCACAGTTATAGTGCGGAGAAATCAGTTTTGGTAGGTAAATAAGGGTCAACGCGGAGTGTCACGATTGAATTTTGTACAAAATGAAAGCCAAGAAGAACAACGGCGCAAGCAAATGTAAGCAGTAAATTTGAGACTCACATCGAAGTTGGAATAGCACCAAAGGGCGACGTTTTACGAACCAGGCGCCTCGACGAAGGTGTGTTGTTTCTGTGGCGGAAACTTCAAGGTATGTGTTCCGCAAAGCTGGCGTCGGGCAATAGCTATATGCCTCTTTTCTCGCTGCAATGCCAACTATTTTCAAAGACACACTGGCACGGCCGGCCCTCGGCGCGTTTCTGGCATTCGTCCGCCGCCCTTGTGGCGATGATGCAGCGCAAGAGTAAGGGGGCTGCGCGCGCCGCAGGACCCTCCGGAAAAGGCCAGGCGCTTGCGATCTCCCTGTGTGACGGCTGGGGCTATCTCAAGCACCCCATGAACTTGGCGAAGCTGTCGCGGCGCGCCTTTCTTCAATGTCGTAAAGTTGCCACGCACGCGAGCACGGCCCTTGCATACGCGCGGCCATGTCGAGAAGGCCAAACGGGCTACACGCTTGGACATTTAGCAGGCGCATTGGTTCAAATGGTCGAAGTGATCGCCGCACAGGATCAGGATGGGACCCAGCGCCCGCGCGCGACGGCGCGGGAGCGCCGGGGCCGTGTCGCGTGCATGCTCCTCCGGATACCCGAGCGCACGCGCGCGGTTTACTTTGGTGATTAGACCAACGCGTCCCGGATCTTGACTGGTGGCGCGGCGCGCCATGCGACCGCGGGCCCTTCTCCCCTACCTTGCGGAGCGGGCCCCCGGGGGGTCGCAGCCATTGGCCACAGAGCGCGCCGCCGCGCCATTGGGACAGACAGCGGGCGCGCCACGCAAGCCCGCGCGCGGGCTTGGGGCTCGGAGCGTTGGCGGCCGTCGTTCCGGGGGGGGGGCGGGGGCGCTCCGTCGCCCGCGGCCGCGCGCCGGCGCCCCCGCATGCCCTGCGTGACTCCGGAGCACCCGCCCCTTCGCGCCGGGGGCCATGCGAGGCGAAGGCGGCCCCCGCGCGTATGCCGCTTGCCGGGCGGGGGCCGTGCGTTGGCACCCATGTCGCAGAAAAAAAAGGGCCCGAAGCGGCCGTGATGCTCCTGCCGATCAAGGCCGTGAACTGGGTCCTGCAAAACTCGAAGCAGATCGTCCGGACTCTGTCCGGAATGGCTGATGCCGATATGGTTGCAGAGACCACCCTCCGCCGCATCGCGTCTATGCACAAACTGCTGGCGGCTGTTGGTCCAGGAGAAATGGTGGACGGCATTCGCAATGGCCACATCCTCCGCACTGCCTGGGGTTTCTTTCTGAACTACGGTGGCGAAGAGAACATCTACTGGGTTCCGCCGGAGATCACTCCGGAGGACCTTAGCAGGATGATCGTGCTTCGGCATCGTCCGGGCGGAGCCGGGGCCGACACCTACAACTTCGCTCCGCTTCGGGCACTCGGGGGTAACGGGAGGCTCCCTATGGGAGACCCTTTCGTCGGGCTGTCGAATGATCTACAAGCGATTATCAACACGGCGGCCCCGACCCGCGCGCCCATCGACCGTTTCTTCCACTCGCTGACCACCACATTGGCCAGGGCTTTGCTCGGGGTTGTGGTGTTGGATGGAAATCACAAGTGGTGCTACAATCTGGCAAGCCGTTCCGGGAACGCTGCCGGTGCTCTCGGCGATAATCGGGCGCTCTACATCCCGTAAGGCTGAGAAGAAAACAGGAAAGGGTGGGGCGCCAGGGCGAGGAACGAAAGCGCCCCTGTTGGGCGACGACAACGCAGCACAGGGCCAACCTCACCGACGGAGTCGACCGCGCCCCGCGCGTTCCCGCACCGGGCGGCGCCTTTGGGATGGGGGTGCCGGCGGGCGGGCAGCGCGCCCGCCCCGTTTCCCCATGCCGTGGCTCGGCGGCCCCCGCCCCCGCCCGGCCGGAGAAGGCGACAGGGCGGGCCGGCGGCGCCTTCGTGCCTTTGCGCGCCGCGCCGTCTGGTTTTGGTGTGTTCCGAAGGCGGGGGCTTGCCCGCCCCGGGCCGGGGCGGCCCTGCTTCGCCGGGGCGCCGCCCCTTGCTTGTTTGGTTGGCCTGCCCCCACTTGGCCCAGCCATTGTATAGGTAGCTGTCTTTGCATGGCCTCGCCGCCGGTGCCCGTTCGGCTGACAAGGAGAATTGGTTGCCCGCGCCACAGGGCGTGAGGCCGCCCCGCGGCGCCCCGAGCGTTGGTGGCGCGACGTGGCCCCACCTGCGGGTAGCCCCATGACGGCCGGTGTGCTTTTTCCCCGGGTCGGTAAGTATACTTATTTTGGCTAGCCCGCTAGAGCTATTAACCCGGGGCGGATAACCAGAGCTGCTGCGGCAACCGGTTCCTTGTCCTATGTGTCGTTGTTCGGCGAACATACTTGGCTCCCGTCGGGTTTTCCTGATCTGCTCTTCCCCCGATCCGGATTGTGCTTAGTGTGTTCATAGGTATTGTTCGCCGAACGCCGCTTCGCGGTTTTCGCTTTTTCCCCCATTCACGCCTCAAGTGCTTGCCACGTTGAACAGAGGTTCCAACATCGATTCTGGAAGCCATTTGCTGTGTATCTATCGAAGCAAAAAAGTACAAATAGATGTCGCACAGCAACAGTTGCCGCCTCGATTGCGATTGCTTTGATTTTGATTTTTCGCAGCTTAAGCGGTCCACAAGACAACCACAGCCACATTCGTACCTCCGCAGCATAAAAAGAAAGAAGCGACATGTAGTAGCTTACTTTTCCCGGAAGCAGAATTCCCCGCGCTTGTATGTAGTAGTGCAAAACCACCATGGTCAATTTCTTTTCGCGCGGCCCGTCCGCAGCACAGGCTGCGACCAGCTCGACGTCCGGAGGACCTTCGATCTTGCCGGCGCACACCACAACGCCCGTCGAGCTGAACGTCGACAAAGTGGCCAAGATCCACCAGACCCACTTCACCGGCCGCAATGCGCGGAGAGGGAGAACCACTGCGAACAACGCGGCGTTGATTCCCCCGGCTGTCACGAACAGACGAGGACAGCAGCAGCAGCAGCAGCGGGATCTCCTGGCAGGAGGTAATACAACAAATCCTGCGCGCGATAATACTACTTTCGCGACCACCCCCTCCCCCCGGGATGTGGAATCTGACAAGAAGGCCTTCCAAGAAATTCTCAAGCTTTTCACCACAACCACAATATTACCACAACTCCTCATCACCGCAACAAAAGATCCCCGCGGCCCGGGACAGCAGCAGTTTTTCCAATTCATCGAGCAGTTAACCGAATTGACCCGGTGGTTCGGCAACTACGCCTTTGCTGCAACGAGAGTTGAGGGGAGGTTGGCGATTGCGGCATTGGTAAATTTCAGGAAGGTGGTGTTTCAAGCGTGTAGTAGGGAGATGAATTCTGCTGCTGGTGGGGAAGTGAATAATAACGCTGGTGAGCAGCCCGCAGGTGCTGGGGACGTCAACATGGACCAGGCCGGAATGAATGCAGGTAACAATGCAACAAATGCAACAACTTTAGCACGAGCAAAACCAACCACCGCTTCGTACCTCCTCCCACCCGCGGTGCAGTATCTTTACCAAATTTCCTTCATCGCGTCTGCACAGTTGGCCCGATTAGCGCTGAAGCAGAACATGCCAAACATTGTCTCAGATCACATCGAAAGAGAAGCACCGAACAAATTCACAGCTTTGTGTGGGATGAGTTTGATGTCATCCGGAAGGAATGCGAACAATCTTGCAGCAGAACAACCCACAAACACTTTCGTCCACGCGGTCGATTACTTTCTCTACCACTACTACGCCGGGAACTGCTATCTGTTGCTGAAAAACTTCGAACGCGCGGAGGTGATGTTTCGGCATTTGATGCAGTCGTGTCAGTTGTCTTCCGGGATGCTCTCCGGGAGACTAGGCGGTGGAAACAACGGGAAGTCATTTTTCTCCGATAGCGGGTTTTCGCCAAGTAGTTTTTACAACCGAGGGATGATCGGAGGAAGTAGCGGGACAAAAGACGGGAAAAATGCGTCGAATGGAAATGCAAATGCAACAAACAGCAAGTCCGGTGCAATCCGAAAGACTTCGAAGAAGCAGTCTGCGTCCTCGTCGTTGTTCCAAACCGCGGGCTCGTTATTCGGGTTTGGGGGATCTAGTGGATCAACGAAAAATACCACTAGCAACAACCCAGAGACCACGACTGGCGTACGATCGAAAAGGAATGACGGGAGTGGAGGTCCTGCTCCCGATGTCCCACCGGGAGCTGCCGTAAACAGTCCCTTCTCGGTCGGCCATTTAGCGGAAGACGCGTTGCTGAAGTTCTGGCTGTTGCAGTTAGTGAATTTGGACTTTCGCTTGCTGTTTTCCAAATTCTTGTCGGAGCGAAAGCAGTTTATGGCAGATAGAAAAGCGAATAAAATAGCAGGAGCTGCTGCAGCTTCTTCTGATGACAAATCGAAAAAGAGGAAAAGGAAGGCGAAAGCAGCGAAGGCAACGACAGTCGCTAGCGCTTCCGCAAATTCTTCGACTGGATCGGTGTTGGTTGACACGTTTTACCAGAAAGCGGCGAAACGGGGGGCGAAGCAGGCAGCTGCGGATATGGTCGTGAATAATAACAGCAGTAGTGCTGGAATCATGAAAAGTTCTTCCTTTTCGTCTTCCTCCTCCTCGAAGGGTAAAAAGAAGAAAAAAGAACCCGAACAACTCCACCTCAGCCTCATTCCGCACATGAAAATCAGCATAGGGAACTCGATTTCAAAAAACCCAAATTTGCTGTGGATGCTGAAGATCGTGTATGGTACGACGAATAATACGGGGAACACTAACGGTGCGAAGGGAAACAATGCAGGAGGTTCGGGAAACAAGCAGAACAAGGACCGCGGGGCACCAGGTGGTCCACCTCCGTACGGAGGTACTTACGGGCTGCGAGACCACGAGGAGGAGTCATTTAAGCAGCAGTCCTGGTACAGCGGGATGATGGGACGGTCGGCGGCAAGATTCGGCTCCGGAGCTGCTGGTGCGCAAAGTACTTCTATCAGGGAGAAGAATGACAGAAGAAACAGAGACTGGAGCCCAACTGGGAATAGTAGAGACAGACCGGACAGCGCTCGTGAAAAGGGAAGGGGGAAAAGAGGCACTGGGAATAACAGTACTAGAATGGGCCCACCCGGAGTGCCGGGTTCTACCAGCGGAGGACAAGGTGCTGGGTCTTCAGCAGCTGGGAACAATAATGTTGACGGAACTTCTACACAACAGCAGCAAGAAGGTAATAACGCCACGAAAGGAGACGGCAGTAGTTCAAGTTCTCTCTCCACCATCAATTTCTACCAAAAGCTCGAGGAGCTCTTTGAGTACCCGTGGGAAATCGAGCAGCTCTGTCACATGATTTTCGCCAAGTATTGTGACCATTTCCACAAATTGATCCGGGTGGTGCATGGAATACCAAAAGCACTAACAGTCATTTTAGAAGCTTTGATCGAGAAATCCCGGACCTTCGTTTGCTACCTCCTCGCTTTCATCTACGAATCCTGCTCGGTTCGGATCCACGTAGCCAGGAAGATCGCGATCGTTGGGAGGCGGTTTAAAGGAATACAGAATTCGGTGCGGTTTGTGCTGAAGGCGAATGAAAGCTTGTGTGGTGCTGGCGAGGAGGAAAATAACGGAAGTTCTGCGGGTGAGAATGGTAAATTAGCGGCGAAAAATTCGGTGCTGAAATCTTCCCCGGGAACGGATTTGAGGGACGTAAATAAAAACTCGAAGAAAGGAACTGGCAGCTCGTCCAGCCTTTTCCCCTCCGCCATCACAAATTTGTTTTCCCGAGGAGGAGGCAGTGCCGGTTCTGGTCAGCAACTACAGCAGGATGAGCGAAACCAAGAAGCTACAGGGTCTGCTGCAGCGTCTTCTTCTAGCAGCTCCGCTGTTGCACCAGCTGCACCGGGAGGGGAACCAGAGCAGCCTGAACAAGCAGGGAACAAAGACAGTCCGGGGAGTAGTAAAAACTCCAATTCACCGGGTAAGAAACAGCAAATCGGGAACAACCAACAGATGATCTTCGCTGATGGGAGGATGTCCACACCACCGCGCAGGAATTTTGAGAAGCGGAATGTTAGAGTTCCGGAAGAAGAGGTGATGCAGAATGAAAACGAAGGAGCGCGTCGGGTTGTCGATGAGGAGGACGTCGGCAACGACGAGGAGTTGCTAGACAGTTCTGATGGAAATAACGATAACGAGGATCTTCAAAATGGCGAAAATTATGACAACCTCGAAGATGAGGATGACGACATGGGGGTCGTGGTAGAACAAGATGAGCCTCCAATTGCCGCTACTGCAAGTGGCGCATCTGACATGACGGCGAATCCCAGCTTGGTACATCCTGCGAATTCAGCATTACAACCGGAGGGGGAGATGATGAATATTGTGGATCCGATGGAAGTGGATACGGGGATGTTGAACAACACGAATTCAAATTCCTCGCTTTCAGAAGATAACGCGCAGGGCAGAAACGGGGCGGATGGAGGGACAAGCAGTAGACCAGGGCCCAGGTAGGTGGAAGTTGTTGCGAGTACTTCAGGTAGCTTTGGTAGGCATGGAGTTATTTTGTGCGGTCGGTTTTGGTCGTGTTAGTTGAGTTGTGCGTTGATGTGCGGTTTCAACATCCAAAACCATTTATCACGAAAATCAAAAACAGAAACTCCCGCGCAAAATCGGGAAAGCGGATGCGCGACGCGGAAAACGCGACAGGGAAAGGAGAAGCAGCCGCCAGGAGAAGGAAAAGGAATCAATCGGCTGAGGAGGTACTTCTAAATGATGTAAAATTTGTGATGCAGCATGCAGGTTGAGGTTCTGTTTTGCATTGCTCTAATTGAATTAGCGAGGAACATCTTTCACTCGTGATCAAGTGGTAAAGGGTAACATAACTTTCAAAATCCTAAAACCCTATCAGATAAAGACGCTTGCAGCAGCTTCCGGTCGAGCGCGAAGTGGTATGGCGACGCTGTCTACGACGACGAGAGGCCAGGTCCTCGGGCCGCGCAGGATACAGCAAAGAACAAGTTCTCTGTCAAAAATAAAACGGAAAATCAAAATCCGGCGAGTTTTGTTGAAGAAACTGCAGTTGAAATGGACGAAGCAAGCGCACGGGTTCTTGGATCACCTTGCGCAGTTCGAAGCGGGGCTGAGTGTGGAAAAGGTACTTTGGATACATACGACTGTAGTGTTGTTTTGCTTGTTGTCTGTCTGTCGTGCTGTATCAGCAGGGAAACAAAACAAATTTGTGTCGCGTGATCACTTAAAACTGTGCATGCCAAACACGATGACCTACATCTATCAGGACCCTGCGACAACCACCAGCGTCGCTTCCATGCCAGATAACTCGACGCTGAGCGATTGGGTTCGGCTTCGTATTCTCTTCAACCCGGAGCAGATAGCGGATAAGGCAGTGTTAGGATCGAAAATAGTACCGCCGACGGGGCAACAATTGGTGGGTTGCGAAGCGGACCATGAGAACTTGCGCAAACAGCGGGAACGGCTCGGAGCATTGTGCAAGGAGTTGCAAGTGATGCTGGCGGAGAGTGCTGTCGCAGGGGGTTGAGTATGTGAGGAAGGGCGAGCGCGAGCGTGAAAAGAAGTAGTGTGGTTGCGTGCTCTACATTGCTCGTTGTATCTTTTACTACTTAGCACCACTAGCTCCACGCTTCCCACTGCTGCGAGAGGTCTAACCAAAGTTACAAGGAAATGCGGAAAACATGATCTGGCAATGAACTCATGTGAAGCTGCTGCGGAAGTAGCACGAGTGGCAGAAAATGTAACAGATACACAGAGTGGCTTTGCTTGTTTTTGTGAACACCAACAAGACCAGTAGAAAGCTCAGTAGCATCAAGGCGACTTGAAAAGGCAAGTGTTCACCCGTGCATGCGCTTGGATTCATGCGCGCCTTCGCTCTGGATTTGGAGCTGCGTCGGTTTGTATCCGCGTGGCTTTGTTTGTATTCCATGGCAATGAGCTTGGCCCGGGTACGTAGTTCCGCGCCGAGGGCCCCAGAAGCCTGCCGCACCTTGAAGGAACTGCGGCCGCCCCCTCGTGGTGTGCTGGGTGTTTGCCCGTGACGGCGCGGCGCAACGGCGCGGCGCGGAACCCGCTCGGCGTCGGCCACTCATTCTTGGGCCCGGCTGTCCTCGGATGCCCAGCGGGGGCCGTGCCGCCGGAAGAAATAAAGCCAGCCCACCGCCCAGGCCGAATCTTGCGCGGATGCTGCTCGCGGTTTTGATCATCACCCGCGCCCTATCGCCGCCACAGTTGGGAAGCTTCCCGCGCCCCTTTCGAAAGTCAGCGGCGCAGTGTTGCCGTGCCCTGGCTGGGGTGCCGGCCGGGGCCCGCAGTAACGCACGCGCTGGACTTTAGGCCGCTCCCCCCTCCGTTCGCGCGCGCAGTGGAAACCCAAGACGGCGCGACGGCGTTCGGGAGGGTCTTTGTGGACGACACCGGCCGGCAGGGTTCTGGGCCACCCGGTGGCCCGCGGGGGGGCGCGCCGTTGGCCAGGGGCGGCAGATATCGAGCTCAGCGCAGCAAATTCGCCAGCGACTTCGGAGCTGTGTTGCGACACATTTGGGGAGGGGATTCATGACGGAACCCGACAGCGACGAAATGGCCGCCGCCCGGCATTGTCCCCACCCGGCCGCTCGCGGCCTAGGCCTTTCGCGTGGCCCCGGGCGGGCGCGCCGCCTGCTTTGTGTGTTTGTTAGCCCACCCCCTTGGCAGTAAGGCCGCGCGCCCCCGGCGGTGCGCCCGCGCCTTTGCCCTAGGCAAGGCGAAAAAACGCCCCAAAAGGCGCGGTCTTCCATCCGCGCCCGGTAGGCTGGCAGGCTGCCCTACCTCGACGGGCGCGCCGCGCGTAGCGGCGGGGGGCCGGCCCCGCGCCGTCGGGCCTTGTCTGACTGCAAAAGCGGCTCCCAGTTGCCTGCAGCTATGTCGTATAGGTTTGGCCGGGGCTTTGTGATTTTCATTTTTGTCAATTCGTGGCGCACCGTGTGGGCCCTGCGCCTTGTCCAGTCCACGGAGAGCATTGCTAGCTTTGTTCTGCTCTCCGCTCGCGTTTGGCGGCGCCGGCTCATCATCTGTGGTTCGCGTCCCAGCATCCTCGTCATCAGGAGCCGTCCATCGCGACTTGCTTCTTGCGATGCGTCAGTGTCGATGGTGTGTTTGTATATGTTGTTGACAAGACTTGGTCGCAGATTTGTTTCCTGGCTTCTTTGTTTGAAGCGTGCGAGCCTAGAGTGAATAGCTGCTGACTTACAAAAACACACAACGTGACACAGTAAGAGCCCTTATCTTGTTTTTTCCCTGGGGCTTACTCTCCGGAGTTGCTTTTGCACATAGACGTGCCGAAAATTATCCCCCGTAATGAACGAAACATGTTGCCACGCTCGCAACGAACTTGCTGGACCGTGGTTTTTCAGCAAGATGGATCGAACAAAGATAAAGCCTCGCTAGGGCAGAAGACGCCCAATGATCACGCCACTGCTGGAGCTCCGGGTGGCCCGAGGACCTCCACAACTTCCCCAAGAAGACCGCCGTGCTCACCACAGCAAAAGAATTCCCTGAGCGAGGCGGACGCGCTTCTCCTGCTCAAGCTGGAATTTGACGTCGACCCAAGAAGCCCGCGCTTCACCTCCGACTTAGTGTCACGCCCGCATAATTCCGCCGTGGAAGAATCGTACAACGCGTTGAAAACATGGAAACTCGAAGTTGAGCACAATTCTTCCGAAATTCAGCGGGTCGAGGTTGTTGAGAAACCGGCGCTAGATTTTTCACCGGGCCTGGTCGTGGGCGAACACCATGATATATTGCACGACGTTCTGTACAATTTGAGAATTTTCACAGCACAGCAGCCACACACGGCGATCGAGCTGTTTCTTGTGGCGCACAGAAAGGGTGGTATAGGAGTTTGGGCTGATGATGGTGAAACTGAGGGAGCCAGATGGACAACAAACGAAGAAAACTGTCATGGCGCGCAACAGTGTTGTTTTTCGGTGTCGCTGTGTCGGAAGCAGGACGCTGCAGCAAATGAGGTTGACAAAAGTCGTTCTTGTTGCACAAGAACATCACCGCGCCTTCGTTTACCGTTCACACGGCTTGTCCCAGTGGAGGAGGTGGAAAGGCTGGAGAGGACCACGACTACAACGGAACCTCCGCAAGTTGTTGAAGATCAAGGGAAGATGATGAAAAACGTCGACAAAGACTTCGCCTTAGCATCTTCACGCGCTACTTCCCCTCCGACGCCAACTACCTCCAAGCAGCAAAAACTCCTGCCCAAATCATGGCACGACTTTTTTGGGAAGAGGTTTGTTCCTCTCGTCGGGACGAGCAAATCTTCGAAAGCCCCGGTCTCCTACGGTCGGAAGATGATTTTGAAGAAATTTTCGCAAGCCAGAGGCGCCCGTGGCGTGTTGTGTTGCACTGGGAGGGGAGGAGGTGGAGGTGAAACTCGACAAGCTGAAAGGCTGGTAGAAGAAAAGACCACTGTCGGTGAACAGGAAACCAGCGCCAACAAGAAAGTTTACACCACGACCCAAATTTTGTGTTGCGTGCAGGTAGATGAAGTGCGGGAGCAGCAACTACACCGAAAAATGGTCTCTAAACCTTCAAAATTGCCTGCTCTTCATCCTCTGTCTTCAACGCCGTCGACGGTTGCCAGTGCCAGAAACGGAATAAACCACCACACAGGAACTTTTTTTCTTGCAAACAACACCCCCGCGTCCGACACGAAGCAAGACCACCGCGAGAAGAAAAATTTGCACGAAATTTTGGACGAGCAAATTGAAAAAGCCTCCGTGCTCCTCGAAGAGCTGGACGCGCATCTGTCGCAGGACGAAATTTCCACCACTTGCTTGTTCCGGTGCCCTACCAAATGTAAAAATGTCTAGGTCTGCGTCTGGAAGAAAAAAAATGCAACTTGTGATGCTGCATTTGGATTCCAAAGAAATCTGTATTGCATGAGCAGCACAATGAGTCTATTTTTTGCTTCGGGGAGAGGGCATTTGTCATGCGGACTAGGCATGAAGAAGCCCACAAAGAATCTGTGTTGCCATGGCATGCATCACAGACATCATGACTCATGCAAAATGTGCATGACAAGTCTCAGAACCCTCCAGACCCAGACATTTTTACACTTGATATGCCCCAGCCAGGGCGATTTGTCGTGCGTGCGGAGCTTCAAAGGGGTGGAGGAGGAGATAGAACGGGCGGAGGACGTGGAGCTGCAAGCGGATCATTTGTGTCAAGCAAAGGACGATGTCGATGCTCTGGAAGATGAAGAACAACTAGATCAGGTTTTAACCGCCAGCGTGTGCTCGACGCCCGTTGGGGGTAGTGCGTCGAGTGACCTTTCTTGCGACTTCCGAAGATCATCAACAGGGTGGTCCAGATCTCCTGCATCGAAGACTGCAAACTTGGGCACCAGAAGAAGTGGAACTACTACAACTGACGCGGAACAAAAACTGCAAAACGACGGGAGTTTTGTCACGACAAACAAGCACTTTCATCAACAGCATCAATTCCTTTCCGTCCCTCCGCTCAACATGGACCGCATGTATGCACGGAAGCGTCCAGTTGGTAAGTCTGGTTCTGCAGCTGGATTCTCATCTACCAGTCACGCCGCCAAAGTAGACACAGACCTGCTTGTAGTTCCTCCGCTGACAAAACAGTACGTGCGGAGCTGCGTGTCCCCCGATGCGAGCTTCGCGAGCAATCGGGATGTGGATGCTGTGCTGTCGGGCAGAACCTCCCGACGTGATGTGGAGCAAGTTGTAGTTCCTACACCCCGACCGCCGGTTCCGTTTGAGACGTTTTTGCGGGAAACAGCCATGACTACGCCGCGTTTCAAGGGATCTGCACGGAGGAATGGCGGAAATAATGGAGCTGTTGAAGATGCCGGGGTGTTGTTGAGCCGGGTTTCGGGCGGTGATGGCGTCGCTACGAAAAAAGTGCCAATTTCATTTCCAACTGTGCCACAGTTTGAAGATCATACTTGGTGAGCAAACGAGTTATCGCTGAGAAGCATAATTAGAGAATGAACAACATCAAGATTCGAAATGAACCGGATGCAGGGCAATTGAATCAAGAATGTCGAAGCGATCATAGACATGCAATGTGCGTTGAATGAGTAAATGCCTCGTGATGGGCAGCTGCGAATTTGTTTTGGCCGCGCAATTGATCAGCAGCGGCAGCGTAGTACTAGTTGTATGTCGAACGAATCAAATACTAGACGAAAGAGAAAATGACGAAGGAGGTGGCAGTTGAAAGTTTTGAACACTGTGTTCCCAGGCTCTTGCAGCAGACGTCGATGACAGCAGCTGCGCTGCAGTGCGGCGGCTCGCGTTATTGTGTTTGCGCATGGACTGCAGGCTGGTTAGGGCTCCGCCGCTTGTTTTACCCCCTTGACCTTTCACCGCCTGCATTCTGTCGGCTGGGCCAGATTTCGCGCGTGAAAGGCGACAGCCGCCGGCCGGTACTGGGGGCCGGAGACGCCGCGCCCGTCTGCCGCGGTGCCGTGCGTGCAGCCTGAGGCGCCGGCCTTCCCTTGCAGCGGGGGCGGGCGTCGTGGGGGCATCGTAGCTACCGGGAGCGGGTAGGCTCCGGAGCCAGCGACCCGAGCCATCGCCGCCATTGGTGGGGCGGCGGTCGGAGCATGCCCGCAGCCATTTGCCGGGCTTCGGCGCGCGCCCGCCGCCCGTGACCTTGTCCGGGGTGCAGCAAGCTCTTCAGTGGCGCCGAGCGCGATCGTGCCCACTTTGGATCGATGCCCCACTTCGCCGACGCGCCGCAAGCGGGGAAGGCTTGTCCGCAATACCACAACGGCGGGAAGACGGTGTATGTCAGCGGCGAGATTAGGCTGAACGCGTCGCGCATACCTCTCACACCTGCGCAGGATTACAGGAAAGATACGACAGCGCCAACTTGGTGCAAAACAGGTTGGAAGACATCAAGACGCTTGGTAGTAGGGGCGTATCGTGCGAGGTTCTTTTCGTATGAGGAGACGCCTGCACCGAGTGGCTTCGCAGGCGGGGTTTTCAAGCACGGCAACAGGGTCAACCGGCCTGGCCCGGCTGGTCTGGCAGTGGATCGCGATGGGCATGCACCGGCGCGCGACCGATCTCACCGGGCGAGCCATCTACGCGCCCTGGCAGGCGCAGGCGCTTTGCCGGTGGCGCGCGGCCCGGTCTTGTGTGCCGCCCCAGGCGCGCGGCCCCGCAGTTGCTTGAGGCTTTCCCGGTTTTGGCGAAAATGAACGACGGGCGCCAGGAGTACAAAGAGCGCCGGGGGGCCTGGGGTTGGTTGCTCCGCCGCACATTGGCCGAGCCCGCCGGATACCCTGGAGGCGCGGCGCGGTCTGCAGCCCGCAAGAAATTGGCAGCGCGGGGGCGGCGGCCGCTTTGGTGGGGTGCGAGCGTGCCCATTTATAAATGGGAGAAAATGGGGCCGCAAGGGGGCCGGCAGGCGCGTCGGGCGCGCGAGGCCGGCGGGTCACCGCATCAAAAGCGTGCGCCGCGAGATTGTCCCCGGCCCCCTCTCTGTTCCCCCTCCCTGCTGTGAGTCCGGTCGGCGGCTTCGCGCGAGGCGTGGAGCGCGCGCCCCTTGCCGGCGCGCCTGCTAGAATTGTTGCCCTGGCGGGTTTGCCGGCTCTATGCCGCCGCGCGGGGTGCCTGCACGCAGACTCGCTCCGGAGCCGTGCTCTCTTCCCCCGGTTGTGGCAGCCACCGGGCCGGCGCCCGGTGCGTGTTTGGGCAACTAGTTCCGTCGCCCTTCTGTGCGCGCGCCCCGGCCCCGCTTGGCGCGCCCGGGCGAAACCATACGGCGCCCTGGTCAATCAAGATGAGAAGCAGGACGCGCGCAGGCCTCCCACCCCCTCCTGCTTGCAGCCCCGACGCATGTGCAGTCGGCTCCCCGCGTTGTGCGTGAGGCGCGCCCCGTCTCCCCGAGGCGGGTCGGACATGAATTCGATTGTTTGACATCGCCGGCCGAGAAGGCAGCGGCCCATGGACACGATGGGCGCATTGCCGGCACTCTTTGCTACGCCGATGTGTTCTGCTGCGTGGGTGTCGCCGGCCCTCTCGTGGCTTGCATTTCGTCGTCTTCTTGTTTCGTCTCTCCATATCGTCTTTCCAAATGAGTCAGTATTTTGTGACCGAGATTCCTATTGATCCTACATGAATTGATTCCATGATGTGTACTTGATTACATCAAGTAAAACGTCAGGTCATTATTTGCTGATGACAGTGCCATCAAGCCGTCTCTTATGAACAAGAACTACATGATATTTATAAGATCTATATATGAACGTGCGAATTATTTTTTGGCGCAAGAAGAGGCGCACCACTAACCTCCTTGTGAACTACAATGTTGAACATAAAGCACTTCCGGCATTGAAAACGCCTCTTGTGTTGCCAAAGAAGTAGAAAGTCTTTTAGTTTCGAGCACGACTATATTGACGCCCTGGCGAACCATGTCGGACCATCCTGCGCATCTTTCTCCGGATCCGGAGAGCCCCTTGATCCCGTACACGGCAATGATTTACCAGAACACAAACGTTTCCGGGCACACGATTTACCATTTGCGGGTCATGTCACCGGACGGACAGTCGTGGGACATTGGGAAAAGGTAAGTACTATTGGCCTTTTTGCATCACACTTCGCCATGTATACAGCTCAAAGAGAAAGCAGAGCAGCCGTCTGTCATGCATAAAAGAAGCCCGACGCGGACGCCGACTGCAAGTTCATATATCTTCAATTTTCCTCCAGGTATAGCCACTTCCATGAGCTAAACGAGACGCTGAAGCAGAAGTACCCGGTGCAACTTCCCCATTTTCCCGGCAAAAGACTGTTCGGCAACAACGACCAGGCGTTTATCAACCAGCGGCAGATGCAGCTACAGCATTACCTCAACGGGGTATTGATCCTCGAGCCCGATTATGAACTGCAAACACGTCTGGGTCTGGAAAGATCCAAGGTTTGTCATGCTTGTCGGACATGACTCTCAAGTCTGTCATGCACATTACCCAAAGGCACCACTTTTCTGTCGTGCAGAAGGTCGCTTTGTCATGCAGAAAAGGCAAGACTGTAGCACCTCCGAAACTTGTCATGCTTGCCAGTCAATTGAGGCGTCCTCGTCTTTCGCAACCAGCATCACAAGTTTCCAGACCCAGACATATTTGCATTTGATACCGACTGCCGCACGCTGGCTGTCGCGGAGTTTCTGGAACTGGTACCAAGCTCCGACGGCAGCAAATTAGTCCACTCCGACAGCGTAGGGGGAGTGGGGACAGGTCCAGGTAATCCCGGAACATCAAATACTGCTGCTGCGCAACAAGGAGCATCTGGTATCGCCAACGCAGTGACCCAGGGCGCGGGGGTGACAAGTTCCGGCCCGCCGGTGGTGAGAACACAGCAGAATAATGACCAGCAGGCATCCACAGATCAACAAAATTCAAATCCGGATCAACCGCCGCCAGCCAGTCCAGAGCAACTCAGCGCTTTGAAACCTTCACAACAAGGAATGAATACTGCAGCAGCGAATGCGAATCAAAACCAGCAACCTCCCGCGCTTGCCGGCTACCCGCCGAACCCGAATTACAGTCCGAACCACAACCTCGGGTCTTCTATTTCAACCGATGGGACATCAAACGCGAACAAAAACCCGAACGACCCGGACAGCGATGAAACGGACGACCAGCGGTTATACGCGTACTTGGAAAATTCCGGGCTATTGCAGCAAGACGGGGACGGATCGTTGTACCCTGTTTCCGCTACGGGGCAGAATTCGCTAGAAGAAGCGTTAGAAACACTCGTGAACTCGGCGTCGATGCGATTTCTGGATTTAGGTCAAACCCCGCAGTGCGTGGACCAGATCGAAATCAACTTCCGGTTGCAGCTATCCTGTGCAAAAGTATCGTACTCGTAGTACTTGCGTTTATGCATTACAGATCTCTCTCTCTGAAGCTGAATCCGCATGACAAGTTCCATTTGGATTTGTCATGCTGAGCTAATTTGTATTGCATACAATGCTACGAGAGGTGCGATACTTTTGCAATTCATAGCAGCGGTACGACCATTTGATCAAGACGGAGTTGAAGGATTTGAAAATTGAAGTCAGTGAGGAAATTATCGCAAGAGGAAACTGTTTCACTAATGAACTTGTGATGCAGAAAATGTATCGCAAGCGTGTTTGTGTTGCTACACATGCAAGATAATGCATTTGTAGGCGAGCTTTCCCATAGGAAGCTCGCATGGCAAACTTCCTCCGTGATGTAGAGCAAACTTGTGATGCAAAACGTACAGAATCATCACAGTGAAGCAGTTTTTTCGTGGGATAGAGATGGAGAAAAAATGGCCGCAGTACTGCTCGCCCGATTCAAAGGGAAACGGCCCGACGAAGAAGAGCTCGATACTAGACCCGGATATGCAATACAGATTTATTGCCGCACACGTCGCAGATGGCAAATTTTGATGACATACCCAAAGCAAAGTGAGATTTGTATTGCTGTCTGAGGTAGCATTTATTAATCCTGTGTTGCATGGTTAGCGTTTGCTTGTGTGCGGTATCAACTTTCCTTCGGATACCGTCCTTCGCGGAGTTCACGAAAAATTTGAAACCAGACCTGGGCATCGTCGACCCGGGACAGTTATGGATTGCAAAAATGTCTGGGTCTGGGAGATTCTGACACTTGTCATGCACGTTTTGCATGAGCCCTGATGTCTGTGATGCATGCCCTAGCATCACAGATTTTTTGAGAGCTTCTTGATGCCTATTCCGCATGACAAATTCCCTCTCCGCGTAGCAAAAATTACGTTCCTTTTGGTACTCATGCAATACAGATTTTTTTGGAATCCAAATACAGCATCACAAGTTGCATTCTTTTTCTTCCGGACCCAGACACTTTTACATTTGATAACAGTTAGTAGCGCAGTTTTTGACGGAAGAGGAGTTAGACGCTTATGCGACCGGGGGTGGGCACAAGATGGGACAGGCGGAAGTGGCGATGTGAAAGTGAATTGGTGAGTAGTTTTCTTCTTTTCCCAGCTGCACGCTCGTCATTATAGCAGCACTCAGACTCCACCTAGCGGTGTACTTCTTGAGCCACGATGAACACATGAGCAACAACTTTTTGAAGGTGAATGTAAGTACCCGTCATGATGATCCCATCAAAAAGCAGAAGTATTCTTCATCACCAGCGACATAACCACGAACCACAACAGCTTTTCAATCTTATTTACCAGAACGAATGAAACCCCATGAATTATTAGCACCCCAGTATATTAACAAACGGAGACAAGAGGCTGAGACGTTTTATCTCAATCATGTCACGTCGCCTATCGGTCGGCTTTTGTCGGCGAAACGAACTCATCTGCCGCTGTGTTCAAACCATACGAGACTACGTGGTATTCCGACTGAAAAAATCACGATCAGCACCAAAGATCTCATGAGATTGACGCGATCACGATCAAAGCAACGGTTTGCTACTACGCGATTTCGGTGGTCACCGGAGCCTGTTATTTTCAGTTCAACTGCACTTTTACTATCGCTAGTACCAGCAACGATACATATATTCAGAGTTCAACTGTTTATTATAGATCACCAGTAGAGTAGTTTGACTTTGAGATTTTTTGAGAACTAGTACGACCGAGCATCAACAACCTTTTCTTCAACGACATCACAATTGGATACTTTACAAGAAGGCCCTTCTCCTGCTCGACGTTTCAGTTTCTTTGTCGAACGCCACGAACTTTACTTCGTCCACAAAAACTTCCACCCAAAAACAAAATGCCGGAGTCCAAGTACAAAATCGTTTTTGTCCGCCACGGGGAATCGGAATGGAACTTGAAAAATCTCTTCTGCGGCTGGTTCGACGCGGATTTGTCCGAAGCGGGGCTCGAGGAAGCGAAGAAGGGCGGGATTGCGATCAAGGAATCCGGCTTGAAATTCGACCAGGCGTACAGTTTATGGAATGCAAATACTTTTATGTCTGGGTCTGCATGAATGCAGGTGTTTGCCATGCTCACTTTGCATAGGCCATGGCGTCTGTGATGCATGCCCTAGCACCACAGATCTTTTGAGGGCTTTCTGATGCCCATACTGCATGAGAAATGCCGTCTCCGCTTAGCAAAAACTTGACCTCTTTTGCTGTTCATGCAACACAAATTCTGCGTAGAATTCAAAGGCAGCATCACAAGTTGGCACCCTGCCAGACCCAGACATATTTGCGATCCATACAGTTCCGTCCTGCTCCGCGCAAACAAAACCCTGGACATTATCCTGAGCAAAAACGTCCCCACCCCAGAGTTGTCATGCAGATTTGCAACGACAGGAACATTTGCAATGCGCATCTACATGAGAGGCATTTCCGGTCGTGTTTTGGCATTTGTAGTGCTGTAAACAATATGAGGAGATGGGCTTGTCATGCGACTGTCCTGGCTAACCTGCACTACACTACAAAGACGAACTTGTCATGCATGGCTTCCAAAACTGCTGGATTTGTGCTGCAGAGTTCGCAACTTGACTTTGGGGTGGGGACGTTTTTACTCAGGATAGACATTATTCTTTCCGAAGCGGGACAAACCCCGCCGATTGAAAAGACCTGGCGGTTGAACGAGCGGCACTATGGCGGGCTGACCGGTATACAAATAAGTATGTTGTCAATGGGTCATCTATTTCTCTGCTTGTTTTGTTTGTGACATGCGAGTCTTGCATGACAGATGGTCTTCTCGATGATTCCCACATGATCGCATGACAAATTGTTAAGAGCTACTTATCTATCAGGTCTCGACAAGGCCGCGACAGTCGAAAAGTACGGAGCCGACCAGGTGCAGATCTGGCGTCGGTCCTTCGACACCCCACCGCCGCCGATGGAGGAAGGACACGAGTACTTCGAGGCCATTCGGCAGGACCCCCGGTATGCGGACCTGAAGGAGGAAGAGTTTCCGAAGTGTGAGTCTTTAGAATTGACGATCAAGCGCACCATGCCGTTCTGGGAAAACACGATCGTGCCGGCCTTGAAGGAAGGTATAGTGAAAATGGTTTTTGTAACATGCATACACAACTCAAACCGGTTTCTATCTCGTTGTGAAGATGAGTTTGTCTTGCGGAGTCGACATGAATATTGCTGTCTAGGATGGTGCCAAAACCAACTTTCCTTTACAATTTTTTTAAAGGTAAAACCATCCTGGTCGCCGCCCACGGAAACAGTCTCCGCGGGATTGTCTTATGGACTGCAAAAGTATCGTACTAGTATAAATCGCATGACAAATTTCCTCAGCATGAGAAATGAAATTTGTAATGCAGATTTGCCTTGGGAACAAGATTCGTAATGCAAGATTCGCATTTATACGAGTACGATACTTTTGCACAGGATATGGGTGCCACCTGGACAAGATGTCGAATGAGGAAATCATGGAATTGAATCTCCTTATGCATTGCAAATATGTTTTGGTCCTCTGGATTTGTGATGCGAAATTTGAAGGACAATGGAATCTGTAATGCATGAATCGAGTAAGTAAGAAGGACAATGGGATCTGTAAGGCTCCCTTCCGTACGGAGCGCCCCGAGCCCGTTTTAGCGCACATTTATGATGGCCTTACTGTTAAAAGGAGAGAGCTAGATCACTCTGTAGCACCCAAACTGTTTATGCTAGCAAAGGGCTAGTGCGCTGTGGACCCCCAGGATCAGGTAGACGAGGTCCCAGACCGAAGTGGTAGGCGCTTAGGGTGAACTATGTATGTAGCGCTTAGGGCCCTTCCGTGCGGCCAATTTGTATGTCCCGCAACGGGGTTCGCCTAAGTCGGTCACTTGTATGCAAGGCGTTGGGTTACCCGGTCGGCAGAGCCGATCCACAACGAACGAACGAATGAATGCCCTTGGCGGGCAGTTTTTCTTTCTCTGTCATGCTGTGAAACGTCATGCGTTTTACGAATGAAAGAATCTACGACAAGCCTTGCAAAACTTCTGATGCTGTTATGCCGTGCAGGAACATGCCCTAGGATGCGAGCATCAGCAACACAAGTTTCCAGACCCAGACAACATATTTGCAGTTCATACTCCCCACCGGAATCCCGTTCGTGTACGAGTTGGACGCGGATTTGAAACCGGTGGTCTCCATGCAGTTTCTGGGCGATGAAGCGACGGTCGCGGCCGCGATTGAGAAAGTGAAGAATCAGACGAAGAAGAAGTAAAAAGAATGCATCAACAGCATTTGAAATTTTCCGATGCGTCTTCTTCACTTCCGAGTCGACGTCTTCGTGGGATGAAACAGGACTGCATACATGCGACAAAGAGTTCTTTCCGCTTGATCTTCCAGTGCGGGAAATCTCGTGACTTGATTTCTTGTAACGATTTTTTCAACCACACCGCAGCTGAAGAACCTGTTTTATCTCACTCATCACCCCTGAAGTAAAGGCAACTCTAGTTCTTTTTGAGTCCTCTTTTCAAGTACCTAAATCAGTAGAGAGTTGTTTGTATCACAACATCAGACACTTGCAGCCCATGCTTATTGCACCAACCACCACAGACCGTGAGCCTACCCAGTGACATGAGTACAAGAAGCGCAACTCCGCGAAAAAGATCTGCTTCATGTATGGATTTGACGTGAAGACGGTCATCTCTATCTATTTCCTGCTCCGCTACTAGAAGTAGCAGCAGGGATTGTTGGCTCTGTTCTATCAGCCGGCGCGGTAGCATCCCTGCGATGATTCTTGTTTTCAACGGCAGCTGAGGTCGTACTAGATGACGTGAAGTCGATGGATCTCCCTGTCTATCTTTTTGCTTTCCGTGTATTTTTTGAAACAGACTGAAAAGGATCTCAGAACCGATATTCATCAATCCATTACATAGAGGATCGAATAGCCGTCAGTTCCGATCATGTTGCAGCGGTTTGAAACAGTACTACAACCACAACCACAACAAAGTTTTTAAGTAGTACTTGCCGTGACTCATATGAATTTACCAGCGACATTCAGCGAAACGGAAATGGGATTTGCCTAGCGACGTGTGACAGAAGCTCTCTCTTCATATTGCTTCAGTAGTAGGTGCTTCAAACATACTTTTTAGTCGCATCCGAATTACGGCCGACCTCAGAAAGAGTTTTTTCATAGCGCTACTAGGTGATAGATACTTTATTTTCGTTCTCTATGCATCCTGTTGCTCCACCTGAATGAGTACATTTGTCTCGAAGAGGACGGTATACGTTTTCCTTTTCACAAGAGTAATATTTGACCTTTTCCCCGCATCTTTTTTTGACATTTTACAACGCGACAATTACCACGAAAATTTTTCACGTTTAAGCGACAATAAAGTAGTCACCACATCACGACCTCCCTCCACCATAACTGCTTACGCATTGCAACTAAGACCCCGCAACGTCGCAGCCAGGACCTCGCGAAGGATTTTGTTGACCAAGCGCTCCCCCGGTGGAGTCGGATCTACTGCAGGAACCGGATCGTCCCCGAGCACCTCTAGAAACCATCTCCGCAGTAGTGCCTCATCATCCCAGCAGCAACACAGAAGCCTCTTGAGACACGACACCGAAATGGCGGACCCGAACAGTGGGAATAACAATGCTGGGGGTAACCAGAAGGACAGCCTGATAGACGGAAATATGGAGCAGGATGAGGATGACAAATCGCAATCCTCCGGTTCGGAAGACGTGCAGCTGGGGTGGATCAGTTGGTTTTGTTCCGTGCCAAGCCACGAGCTGTTTTGCGAGGTCGATGAAGATTACATACGGGACAATTTCAACTTATACGGGTTGAGAAATCGGCTACAGGTATGGTTTTGACAAATTTGCTCCTTTTGATGATTTGGTCTTTTGTCATGCAGGGTCTCTATGCGAAAAACATTTTGTCATGCTCAGTATCCACCAAAAAAATACCAGTATTACGATCACGCCCTGGATATGGTACTGATGCCAGACGCCCCAGATGAGGACGATTTGCAGGACGCGGATTTTTTGGAAGTCTACCGAGACGCACAGGATCTGTACGGTTTGGTGCACGCGAGGTATCATAGTCGTAGATGCTTGACATGCATGACAGGATGGGTTTCTGATGCGTTTTTCTGCATGAGAAAAACCCTTTAGCACCGTGCAGTCATCCTGGCTGTTCTTGCACAACAGTAACAAAACATGCGATCAGCACACAAAAATCATATACCAGGTACATTCTGTCCCCCCGGGGTCTGGAAGCTATGCGAGAGGGCTACCAGTCTTCCATTTTCGGCACATGCCCGCGGGTAAAGTGCCACCAGCAACCCGTTCTGCCCGTCGGAACGTCGGACGAATTGCGGGTGTCGAGGGTAAAAACCTACTGCCCAAAATGTGAGCAGTTGTACGCGACAAAATCTACCTACTCCGACATAGACGGTGCGTATTTTGGGACGAGCTTCCCCCACGTGTTTCTCTTGACGTATCCGGAGTTGGTCCCGTTGGAGAGGCCAGAGCCCTATGTTCCGAGGCTGTTTGGGTTCAAGTTAAAGCAGGAACACGGACTGATAAGGAGATGCTTGGCCCAGCAGGAAAAGGTAGTACTTGCTGTAGTTACTGATAGATTGATGATGACTGGGGGATTGTGTCGCAAATTTTGAATTGGACCCAGGGTACCCGTAGGTGGAATTTTTTTCTTCAATGATGTGCATGAAGATGTAAGTAAGTACTTCCTTAGCTACTAGGTAGAGCATTTGGCATTGCATTCTTACAGCATGGAGGAACGTCTTTGAATCGAAATCTGCGCATGACAAACAATTCTATCAGGCTGAGGACGAGTGGCTTTTCAAGAACGGTTACAGTATCAAGGACGTCGAAGAGTTTCGACAACAGGACGGCGCGCTCTCGAGGATCCCCAACGACTCGGCGACGCAGGACGGAAGTAATTTTCCGCTTTCCCACCAAACCAGCCCGGTGGTGCAGGGCAGTTTGAACGAACAAAACTTGAACTCTTTGAACAACACCGCCACGAACCCACCGGCGGGAAGCAGCAGCACTATCGTTGGCGGCAACCCGGCGGGGGTCTTGCCTAGTAGTAGTGCGGCAGCAACGGCTCCTGCGGGAAACGTTGGAACAACAAACCCGGTTGTGCAGGGGGAGCAGCAATAGTGTTGATTCGGAGTTGATGTGGGTCGTGTCGGAGATTTGGAGGCTGATGTATGGCGACATGGTATTCAAAAATCGAAATATTGATGATAAAGCTGGTAACCGAGAATACAGCTGCCCACCACATCAACACTGGCGACAAATTACCTTTAAACACACACACATCTTCACGGCTTGACTTGTTCTCGGGTTGTATGTTTGGTGCCCGGATGAAGATGTTGAGCCGTGTATTGACGTGCTCAATTTGAAACCGACGAAGACATTTTGCGACGATTATTTACGCTTGACGACGAAAAGCTTGGCTTAGCTTTTTCGTCTCTGAATCTGACGACGCTGCGATGAAAAATTTGTGCGAAGTTTCTTCCATGGAAGAGGAGCAAAAGACGTCATGCTCTTCCTTCGTGGGTTTGTGTTGTGGCTGTGCCGTGTTCTACTGGGGCTTTGGGTACGATCATAGTTTTTGTTTTGTGGAAAACAAGACTTTCGACTGTGTCGCACCACCGAGGAAGGGGGGGCAGTGGGCGGCTTTTCGAAGGTTTCCGATGAGTGCCCGCGCCCGGGGCCTGCGGCTGCTGGTCCTCTGCGTCGAAGCGCTGGCGGCGTGGCATACCGATGGCAGGCCCCTGGATAACGCGCTGGCCCAGAGGGGGCGACGCCCATGCGGTGCATGTTCCGGAAGGCGAAGCGCTTCAGCGGTTCCGTGGTTTCGTGGAACACCTGCGGCGGAACGGGGTGCGGGTTTCTGGCGATGAGGAGGAGCAGCGGCGCCCGGGCGAACTCCTGGGCGAGATCCGCGCGCACCTGGGCCAGCCCGCCGCCGCCCGCCCTTCGCACGGAGGGGCAATTCGGGAAGAGTGCGAAGGGCGGCGCATAGGGGCGCCGCCCGTGTTTCTTTCCCGCCCCGGCGCAGTCGGGGCCCTTTTGTGGGGCTTCAGAATATGGCGGGCCGGGGCGGTTGTTTTTATTTCATAGCCCCGGCGCGCCGGGCCGCGACGCGGCGGCGCGCTGCGCAAATGGCGGGGGTTGCGCTTCGCGGGGGGGCGCCGCGGGCTTATCCTGACGCACCAGGATGATGAGGCCCGTGGCGGCCCATTGATTCGCCGCACGGCAGCCCCGGCGCCGGGCGGGGCTTAGAAAGGGACTGCCCATAAAGGAGGGGCGCCGCTAGGCTGCGCGCTCCAACTTTTTCCGCTGCGGCCGCCGCAGCAGAAAGAGCGCGCCGCGCCTGCCGTGCCGCCTTCTTCTTTTTAATTGAGAAACCCCCGCGGGGCCCCCCGAGGCTGTTGGCCCCGCTGGCCGGCCGGCTTGCCCCGGCCGGCGGGCGGGCTTGCTGGCTCCCCCCCCGCACGCCGCGCATTCTGCGCCATGCGCCCCGGCGGGCCGGCCCTGCAAAGCTCTCTGCGCCGCACGCGGCCGTCCTCGCTCGTGGTAGATGGCCGGGCCCCTGGGCGCGCCATCGTGCGCTTCGCCACCCAGACCACGCCCCAGCAAGCAGAGGCAGGAATGAAAACCTCCTGCGAAGTGTTTCCGCCCGCGCAGGCTGCCGCGCGAGGGGCGCGGGGTTCATTTTGTTTCCCCGTCGCCGTGCAGTGGCCCTGATTACAGTCTGCGCTGCGTGGCACAGGCTGTCCCACCGACGGGGCAACGCCCACAAGTGCGGCTCGGCCTGTGTGCGTCCCAAGAGCGGCCCGTGCGATCGTGGTGGGTCCAAGTAAGTATGGTTTTGCGCGTATAGTCTCGGTCGAACAGGACCCGAGCCGGGTTCCAGCAGAGGGCTGCTGCAACAAAGAAGACTTTTGTTCCCCCAGCTTGTGTTGTTTTCGCTGCAGTTTGTATGTGCAATCCACCTTCAGACTGCCACTCCTCAAGAATACTTATTTTCGCTAGTGTAGTTCGTGTCTTGATGAGTTCCTCGGCTACAACAAGTTGAAGATCGGAAAATTTACTGAAGGATTCACGACTTGACAGTAGAACGGCATGATGCCACCTGATTCTGCTTCACCCCGCTCGGGCTCGCGATCTATGACTATACGAACGCTCCCCCAACTACAGAAGTTGACCACATGTCATCGGTAGCCTTCCCAGGCTCTACTAGGCAGAAGGCTACAGCCTCCACGCGTTTATTTTATGCTCACAACTACAAGCACAGAGCATTTTCGTTTTCATCAAATTCAAACTCAACAAAATGCGGACCACATCACCAAGCTGCAGTCTTACCACTCTCCCGGCTCGCGAGAGCTGCTGCTTCTCTTCCGCCCCCAAGAATCTGCATCGCGTCCGATCAGAAGCGCCCCTCCCGCACCTTGTTCACCGCCGCGACGATGCAGTTGGTGAACTCCCGGTTCGAGCGGCTGGCCCGCCGCATCGCGATTTCCGGCGTGCTCACCCGGTCCGAGGCCGAGCAGGCGATCCGGGAAGGGAACGTGCTCGTCGACGGCTGCGTGGTCACGGAAAACTGCGTCGTTCCCGACTCGGCCTCGGTGGTGTTGAGAAGCAGGACGATAAACAACAGCAGTACAACAGACAACGCCGACGGGAACAAGAACAGACAAGCGTCTACTTCCTCCTCCACTTCTTCCAAAGCGGCTTCCAACGAGAATTACCGGTCCCTGATGAAGGATGAGGACGCGGAGTTTCTGGAAAAAAACGAGGACTGCCAGTTCATACCGCCCCAGCAGTACGTCCCTAAATTATGGGCCTTGCGGAAGCCGGAGTTTGTGTTGTGCGACTTCGGCACGAACCGAGACCCCGGGACGGTGGGGTCGAGGAGAAAGTGGCGGAAGAAGAACGATGGCAGTGAAGATGTTGATGGCGAAGGAGGTTCAAGAGCCACTGTAGCAGATGAAGAAGATCCGAATGAAGGAGACACGCGCTCCTGGGCGGAAATCGACGACGAGGAAATGGAGCAGGAACAGCAAGAGATGATGAACCACAACTCCCCCGAAATGAACGAGAAGGCGAACCTAAGGGATCTCCTCGACAACTACCGCAAGTTTGACGTGAACCGCATCGGGGAAAAGTCACTGAACTACGAGCAATCAGACGACCGATTGATCAACAACTTTTTCGTCGTGAATTATCTCCGGTATCGGCACGAGGGGATCGTCTTGTTGACGAACTGCGGCCGCTTCCGGGACATTTTGCGCAACACGGAGTTGTGTCCAGTGGAAACGGTTTATGACATCAGACTAGCCACGTCGAACAATTGCGGCGTCGTTGGCAGCTCTGATGGGATCAATGGAGATGGTTTATTTGCCTCTAACATAAACAACAAGCCGCTTTCGAAAAGTCAGAAGAGGAAAAACAAAATCCCGGTGTCCGAATTTCCAGCGATTTTGCAATCCTGGGCGGACCCCATGAACGAACCGAAAAAAGGAGGCGGCGTGATGGTCCGTGGGGTTAACTACGGGCGGATTTTCGCGAATTTGAGCAAGCGGAACCCGGAGGAGGGGAGTCTGTGGATCCGGATCCGGTTGTTGGAAAATTTTGCGCAGTCGGGCGGGAAAAAGTTCACGACGAAAATGAACCCCGAGCTGCTCGTGTGGGAGCACTTGAAAACGAGGGCGACGTTGATTCGGAGGGTGGTGTGGGGGAAGGTGCATTTGTCGCACATCCCGGATCAAACGATCTTCCCGGTGGACATGCACAAGCACGAGTGGCTGCTGCCCTTCGTACCGGTCAGGGAACGGAAGGCGGAGTTGGTGAGGATAGGGCAGATGATGGGGTGATGTTGATGTGCTGGAGACCGGGAGGGTAGAGGAGTCGTTGTGGTGGAGCTGGAGTGTTGATTTGTTGTTGCTTGCTACTTGAGGTGGCAGTTGAACTGGTGGTCGCTGGTGGAAATTCATTTGCACTTCCTCAAAAGCCCCACCCGATGGAAAAATGAAACGCTACACAATGAACAAGGATGCACTGCTGCGATTGCCACATCCGCAGCGTCGATTTATTTGAGCGAACTGATACCAGGTGTAAGAAAAAATGATCGAGACAGAAAGAACAATAACAAGCACAAAAGAAAATGGGCTTCGGGACGTGTTCGACGGTAATTCACGCCCCCGCCAACAAGTTTGCAGGCTATGTGCGGAGCTTACCAACGGAAAAAAAGCGGAGAAGGCCGCGCGCTGTAGAAAGTGGGCGGGGGCGCGCGGACGGTTCGCCGCCAATGGTCTGGCTGTGGGCGTTCGCGGGGCGCTGGGCAGACCCCGCGAAAAAAGGGGCGACGAAGGAGGCGCAGAGCCGGCGGCGCGACGCGTGCCAGGGTGATGGGGAAGCGGTGCGCGCCGTGCCCTGCCGCCCTCCGCCGCAAAAGAAAAAAGGGGCGCGGCTCCAACATGCAGCCGACCGAGGCCGGCCCGCGGCGCGGCCGCGGAAGCGCCGCGGGGCGCAGGCAGGCGGAAGACCCCGCGTGCCGGGCCGGGATTCGGCCAGCCACGCCGCCCCCGCGCGCCCCCCGCGCGCAGCGCCGGGGGCGCTTTCTGGCTTCGTGCCGCATGCCGGCGCGCCGGGCGGCCCCTTTCTCGCGCCCGCGTGCCGCCGGCCGGGGGCCGGCGGGCTCTTCGCCGGCAAGCCGCCGCGCGGTGCTCCGTATTGTGCGGCCGGGCGACGCCGGGTCCCGGGATGGTCGGGCGCCTGGTCCACAGTGTGGCGACTTGCGCGAACCCCGGCCGGCGGCCTACGGACTTCGCGGAAAGAACTCAACTTCCCGCCAGTCAAGTCCTCGAGTGGGCCGAGAGATTTATCTGGGGCCCCCTTCGCGTTTCCCGTTTCCGGCGGGCCTGCCGGCGCCCCGCCAGCGTGCCTCCGCAGAATGGCCGGGCCGCGCGCGCATTCAGAGGCAGAGACCGCGCGCGCGCGCCGGCCTGCAGGGGGCCGGTCGGATCGCCGGGGCCCTGCCCGTGCCCGCCTCGGACGGCGTGGGTGTCCCTCTTTTTTTGACTCGCGGGGCCGGGCCGGTTTGGCAGCCAGGCTCGGCCCGCAGGCGCAAGCTTGCGCCCCCGGCCCCCAAGCTGCCCACGTAGTTGGTCACTTTTATCTATGTGCCATGCCTGTTATAGGTGTTTGCGCCCGCCGGCGCACAAGTAGATGTTGGCGCGCCGGCCAAGGGGGGCGCCTTGGTGCTACCTGACGCGCGGGCGCGGGCTCGCTGCCTGGCGGCTCGTGTGGGGCCGCGCGCATGCGCTCGTGGTTTGTTGTGGAGCTGAGGTGTTGTGCGCATCAATGTTGCGTGGCGTTCCGAATCAGGTGGCCCTGGCTCGCATCACGGGCGACTTGCAGTCCGCGCTCGCCGTTCTGTATCCTCTCGACCATCATGCAGTCATTAGTGATCATGCAGCAATCCTGTTCCTCTTCCTGCGCCTGCCATGACCTGCTCCGTGTGTGCAATGCTTTGTTTTCAGATGTTGATGTAGTTAACGACGTCAGGAAACGCGAAGTGCAAAACAGTACGTACGTGATCAGCGCCCTCATGTAGAAGTGCTTGCAGCCCCAGCTCGATTATTATTTCGTTCCAAGTCAGCGATAATTATAATTTTGATTTTGTTGAACTTGCTGCACTTCACTTTTCTTTCTGGTGACCACCTCTTCCTCCCAGAAGATGCGTCTCCCAAGTCTCATCTCCCGGCCGGGGGCGTCAAAGTCAAAAATGAAGCCCTGGTGGACGACGAGGAGACCCCTCCACTTCAGCCTTCCGACCCTCCTCTGTCTGCAACCGCTCGCCCTTGCACTTCGAGTACTAACAAAACGAAGCGCCTCCACCGCTCCGTCCGCAAGGGACGACCACCCGTTCTTGTCTAGCACCGGGGCGTCGGCCGAGCGAGGCCGAGTTTTTGATGCACCGTTGCAAGATGAAATTGAGTGCGACGTGGTCAAGCAGGAACAATGTCAATCACGCCAAGCAGGAACTACAGCAATGTCGTCGATTTCAACCGGCGAAACAAACAGCAGCACGACCGCAACCACTCCAAGTTCCTCGGCCACAACTTCATCTCCCCACGGAGGTACAGCTACGCCAGATTCCTTCTCCGCTCTCAACATGTCCGAGCTGGAGAACCTACAGCCGTTTCTCACCATTCAGGAGGAAGCGAAGCTCTCCGCCGTTAGTGAAGCTTTCGCTCCGAGAAGGGGTCATCAATCCCTTGACCGGAGCAGTTTAGACGAACTTGTGAAGACGATGCCAAGGAGTTTTGTCGGGGGACTTTTTGGTCAGCATCAAACTTCAACTGATGTTGCCGTTCCAGCCAAAGCCAAGCGCTTCTTAGAGTTTTTAAAGGCGGCGTGCTCCAGAACCGATTCTGGGGGTGGGACACTACCTACCGCAGAAGGAGGAAGACATCGCCCGGAGGGCCTTTTCGCGATCCCCAACAGCAGCATATTGAAGTTCTACGGCCCGCTCCCGTGCACCCCGAAGGCGGCAATTTTCATTTTGGAAAAAGTTTATCAGGAATATATGAAGCAGTTAGTCGACAAAACGAGGACTTACGAAGAGATGTTTCGGAACAGGTACGGCCAAATAAACCCACAAGAAGAAGAAGGGCACCAGCGAACTGCACCAGAGACAGGTGGTTTTGGTTCCTATTTCGCACCACGAAGGGAAACAAGTACAAGCCATCTTTACCACGACGACCGGTTGCCGGATCTTTCCGTCCACGCGGCGCACGTCCACTACGTAGATAACGCCCGGATGCGGGTGCAGCTGTGGCACAGTTGGAAAGCACAACTTTCCCCCTGGATTCTCAAAGTCGACCGATTCCGCTACGAGAAGCCGTTCAAATCCGTTTTGGAGAAATTTGTACATCTGAGTTCAAGATTTTACGATAATCTGTTGGAAAACAACATCGACCAATTTCTCTTCCCGAGGAGTGCAGGTGATGCGGGGCGAGGTGGTTCTTCTTACTCTGGGAATGACTTTGAGAGGAGTTTGAGGAATGCAAATGGGTTTTTGAACAACCACTTCTACCACTTCGAGGAAAACGACCCGCATTTGGAAACTTTGTTTACCAACACGAGAACGACAACAGCGATGGAGGGCGAGGGAAGCACGTTGAACACTTTGCTTCCGAAGCACGTCGCGATGCGGCATTTGGTGTTTCCGGAATACGATCGAAATTTGGAGGTGAAGCACGCGAGGTTATTTGCGGGAGGTAGCACCAGTGGTCGTGATAGAGCTGCGAGTGCGGCTGGCGGAAGGAACGGCGCTGCAGGAACAGCGGGTCGTGCCGCTGGCCCTCGGAATGCTAATCAAGAACAACGACAGCAGCCAGCACGACAAAACAGCGACTTTTCTCGCCGTGGCCCGTACAACAACTTTGCCCCCCGCCAGTGGCCCACCACGGCGGGCGCCCCAGCGGAGCAGCACATCAGCAATTTTCTCGCGAACGTGGCGGATGCAGCCCGGGCGGATCTGATTGAGGTATGAATTGCAAGAGTATCGTACTAGTAGTAACTGCATGGCAAACTAGATCAGCACGACAAGTGGAATTTGTCGTGCTGATTTACCTGGAAAAGGAGGTTTGTCATGCATGATTGCGATTACTACGAGTGCGATGCTTTTGCACAGGATATGAGGAAGAGTTGAATGACTGGGACCGGACCTTTATCGCGGGCAACATGGTGTATTACTCGTTGGACGGAACGCACTACGCGCAGTGGCCGTATGACCCGCGGGATGATTTTGCCCTGGAGATGAATGCTGCACAACAAGGTAATGCTGGTGTGGATATGAACCCGGAGCAGGAGCAAGACCAATTAGAAGACGACGAAGCGGAATTTCTCCATCGATACAACGACTTTATCACACGAAGAACACGGTGGACCTGGACACCAGAAACAGGAGACGTGGACGATATTCTGAACCATTTGGAAACAAATTTCGACGAGGATCAGGCAGGCGCAGCAGCTGGCGCAGCTACTGCCGCGACAACTACCGGAAGAACGACTACAAGCAGCGACAGACAAAACCACAACCTCCCAAGTAGCGGTGTTAATAGCCGAAGAAGAAGTAGAAATCCAAACTTTCTCCCGCAATTTGACCTCCGCAGCGACAAGCACTTTCTCCTCACCTATTTCTCGGAAATGGATCGTCAGTGCGAGTTGGGGTCTTACCGGGGGAGAAAGAATTTGAATGCAAATTGGTTCACGTCCGATTGGGGGATTGGGCTGGTGGCGAAGCAGTTGTGGCAAGACGAGGATTTTGTGTTCCAATTCGTGAACAATTTCGCGACCAGTTGTTATGTGAAGGTTGGAACAGGACTATACGGGGAAGCAAGTGGAGCAGAACACCCTTCGTCAACTACACACCCGATGCTGAGCGTTTTTCGCCAGAGAATGGCCGGCGCGCCGGACTTTTGGCAGATGAGATCAGGTCCAGGTAGCAGTACAAGCTCGCATCATGATGCTGACGGTCTCACGGAAAGTAAATCCCACCGCCGCTTCATCGACTTAGGCCTGAATCCGATCTACCGCTGGTTTTCGATTTTCGAGGCTGTTGGGTTAGCCGGTGGTACACGGGAGTATGATAGTGACGAGGAACAAATTGAGGGAGGTACAGGTCGAACTTATCCTGTGCAAAAGTATCGTACTCGTATTGCAATCATGAATAATACAAATCTTTTTCTACTTAAGGTACCCTAGCATTACAAATTTCATTTCTCATGCTGAGGAAACTTGTTATGCATTTATACGAGTGCGATACTTTTGCAGTTCATAGAACTCCCCTGTCCGCGAACCCGTTTACGTCGTTCTCCACCGGAGTGAATCTACCGACGAATCTGAAGTTTTTCCAGCGGTTCTTGACAACAGAAACACAGGGAAAAGCTGCTTGCGCCACCACTGGCTGTAGTTCATCTTCGACCACAGCGTCCGGACCGAAGCCCATAAAACAAGAAACTCTGCGCATCGGGCAGACTTTGGTAGAAGTGGTTTCCAACGAGCCAACAAAATACACAACGCAGTTGAAGCAAAGCCTTTCCGCAATACAGTCTTTCGCCCAGACGGTCTCTATGATTCTGCAGTTCGGTAGCTCTTCTAGCACGGCCGGGTTCTCCCATTTTCACCCGCCGAGCGGGCTTTACCCGGGAATGGGCTCGGTGAGGAGACGGGGAAGTGGAGCCGGATCGTCATCATCACCTTCTACCATGACAACGGCGCAGCTCCAAAATTGCGACGTCAACCTTCTCAGAACTACCCGGGTGAGCGGTGGCTCGCAGTCCGTGGCAGGAGGAACAGCATCAATCTTCGGAACGACAACAACCGCTAGAAGTGCAGAAGAGGATCACAATAAATCTCAGGTGAAGCAGGTCTACGATTTCATCAGAAATCTACTAAAAACCGTTCTCCACGCCAAGCAGTATCTAAAAGAGAAAATCCGGGAACAGGACCTTGAAGACCTTCTCTATTTCTCCGTGCACACCACTTCTGATCGGGAGCAGAGACTCTATCAAGTGGATTGGAAGGCGTACAAAGTAGCGGAAATCATCATGGAAACGTTTCTGGACGGGCCGAACTCACTGCTGATGACATTTTCCGGCAATTTGCAAGAATTCCACCCGGAATCCCTCGGGTGTGTTTTGAAGCTGCAGCAGTACGTCGTTAAGGAATTGAAAGTTACCCTCCAGGAGGAGTTCGTCGAGCTGTTTTTCCCACCTAGTAACCCCGCGTGCGAATACGGGGTGGTCGGGAGAGGGCTCAGCAGGGTGATGAGCAATTTTTGTAATGTGCTGTAGAAGAAGTGTGAACTCGGAAAATAAGCAAAGTGTAAATGTAGTAGAAATTGTATGTCAATGTAAGAAAAATGTAGCTGAGAACTCGGGAATACAGATGTGGAAAACGAAAACGAAATTGATTCAAGACGCGCACCAGTACCTGTGCAAAGACGAAATGCAAAGCCAAATACGAAGACGAAGTGCAAAACCGAATAGGAAGTGCAAATCAAGGAAAAAAGTTTCATTTCAGTATGGCCTACAAAAAAGAAACTTCAGAGCTATTGCCTTGCCCTCCGTAACTAGGCTTCCTGCTGCCCCCTCCAACGTACTTAAAGTCAGATCAGTTTCACTACCCCGGCTCAGGCAGCTCCATACGACCTGCATTTTTCTCAAAAGGATCCTGCCGAAACGAACAAACCAAACTGAACTAAATTTGTATCTGGACGACTACGTAGCTCAGGGAAAAAAAGCGCCGATGTGATGAAAACGCTGAAAGTACTTTCTCCAGGCAAAGTACTTTACAAGTTGTACTACAGCAATGAAGATGCAGTCGCATCGCGACAGCGGGACGCCGTGAGGACGCTCGCGAAACAAGCTTACTGTCGAGTGCGTTCGAAGTTGGTCTCGCATGCAACTAGCCCGAAGACTGTACCATGTTCACTTTAGGGTGAACGTGAAGATTCGTCATCGTTTCTCATCTTCATTCTTCTTTCGTCTTGCAGAAAGCAAGCACTTGCAAAATCATGTAATTATCGTGCGAAAAAAGTAGTTCCTGTCTTTCGTTGTGGAAATGCGCCGCGTTTATTTCGTGGTAAATTTTCGTTCTTGATGTTGATTTATATATCGTCCTTTTGTCGTGCTTGTTCTCCTCGTCCTTGTCGTGCAAGGCAGAGTTATGATGTCGTGCAAGGGCAACAGTTCAATACTTCGTTTCAAGTTGTTTAACTGCATCGCAAGTCGAAGTGATTATCCTTATCACTAAAACTCGCAGGTTGCAGTTTTCAGTTTCATCGTGGTTGCTCTCAGCAATCGGCGCACGAACTAAAAAACCTTCAAATTAAACTTTTTTAGGGAGAAAACCACTTTATCTTCTACTCTCTGCTCCACCTCGGACGTAGTTCAAGTAACGCTTTTTAAAGTAGTTTTGTACACGTTCACACATAATTGACATCTTGATAAAATCAGAATCCTTCGTGTTCGTCCCCCTCAAGAACCGATCGTCTCCAACATCTAGAACATCGGACGATGAAGTTCTTCACCCGGAGGCGCTCCACCGTGGCCCGCGTGGCCGCGCTTCCCCTGGCGCTGTCCACCTTGCAGCTGTTTCATCATCTTCACCAGACAGCCGAAGCGCATTCGACGACCCTCGTGACGAACAAGTTGCGCAGGAGCAGCGGCTCTGGTCGTGCAGCTTTGGATTCTCGCAAGGGAGATCATGGGGCAGCTCTTCCGAAGCAGAACCTGCTGCAGATGACTAAGGCCGCAGCTGCGATGGTGACTTCTAGCCGCAAAACCAGCCGTGCCATTGGAGATACAACAACTGAAGATGACGTGGCTATTGACTCTGTCCTGGGCGACGGCGAAGATGAACAGAAGAACAGCAACAGCACTGCTTTGGTTGCTTCGTTTTCCACTGTTACAACTCGTGTTTCCCACAAAATGTGGTACACCGCTCGGCAGCAGAAACGCCTGCAGACGCGGATGAGTGAATCGGACGACCCAAATTACGACCTTTCCTCCGGAATTGATGTGACCAAAATCGCGGAAATCATCATACACGCCGCGGTTGCTTTTTCGGAAGTGGAAGATCCCGTTCAGTACGTGATCGACAAAATCCAGAATGCAACCTTCGGGAGCCTCGCCGCGAAGGCCGAGTGGTTTGTGGACGAATACCAACCGTTGGTGTTTGCAATGCTGATATCAAATGTAAAAATGTCTGGGTCTGGAAAGTTGGAACTTGTGATGCTAACTTTGGACTCTAAAAAAATCTGTATTGCATGACCAGCAAGAGGAGCCACATTTTTGCTACGCGAGGAGGGAATTTGTCATGCGGAAATGGCATCAGGAAGCTTTACAAAAATCTGTGATGCTGGGTCATGCATTACAAGCATCATGGGTCATGCCAGACAAGCATGCCAAGCCTTCCATTCTTCCAGACCCAGACATTTTTACATTTGATAGCTGAAGTACGCCATGGGCGAGGACGACCCCTGGGTGGACTGGATGATTCAAATGTGGGACGACATCCGCGGGTTTCTGTCCGCGCTGATGGGAAGCGCGCTGGGGGAGGCAATCGAGGGGATTTCCATGTCCGATGTTTTCACGAAGTTGCCGATCGACGGTCTCGTGACGACAACTTCCTCGTCCTCCATGCTGCAAACCTCTCGTCGTGCAAACGATTCCTCGCTTTTGTTGGCCGCGAACAAAACCGTCCAAACGGTCCCGCACGGTTTGAGCCCCGCGCTGGAGAAGCTTGCCGGAATGGAACTCTTCAAGCAAGATGGTTTCAAGAACGCCTGGCAGGCGCTCAAGCCTATGCTCGACAACCTGATGCAAAGCGAGGTCGGCCAGATGTTTTTCAGCGCGAGCGTCGCGCGGATCATTGAGGAAGTGAAAAACAGCGTGAAGAGCTTTCTCGCGATGTGCCATGATTTAGATTTTGACGCGATCGTGGACAAGGGTAAGGCGTTGATCAAACATTCGGTCGGGAAGGTGGCGGACTGGCTGGAGGATTGCACGGGACTGGATTTGGCCCACGTGGAAGCCAGTTTCAACAATTGGGCCGAGGAGAAGATGGACGAGGTTGGTGATTGGGCAGAGGACGCATACGATTCTGCGTCTGAAGCGTGGGAAGCGGCGCAGGGGGGATGGGATTCTATGTATGACTACTGGACTGGGTCAGACGACGAAGGGGATGAACACGGGAGACGGTCGGCGGCGTTTTTGCAAAAACGGCCTCACGCTGTGGAGCGGCAGGAGCTTGATGTTCTCAACCGCAAGACCACAACTTCCACCGATGGAGGTGCAAGTCGTCCCCGCGGTGGTCGTGGGAGCAGCAAAATGTCCTACTTAGAAATGCACGCCAAACGCTTTGAACGGAAACTGGCCAAGGGAGAAGGTAGTTTTGGCTTTGTTTTTATTTGTCAACGTAGACTTATCATGGTTGGAGAAAAATACCATAGTATGTAGCCCTTATTCCATTTCCACAGTGACAGTGACGTCTTTTCACTCACTCTATTATGAAAATGCAGAATTTTTGTCACTGCGTTACTTCTTCGCAATCGTAGATTTGGTACTCTACTACTTCTGCGTATTAAACACTTGTTGTTTGAGACGAGCACCTTGTATCCGAATAACTGTATACAAATCCAACAACTCGACTCTCAGCCCGCAGCAGCGGTGAGGCGAAGCTGGATGCGACGCTGCACAAGATCTGGCGAGAGGCGCACAAAAAGCACCAGGCGTTTTTGCAGCGGCCCGATCCGCTGAAACAACTGGTGGAGGTGGAAATTGAAAACGAGTTGGACGAGTCGAACCCGTGGAACGGAACTGCAATGGAACCGCTGAAAAAATCGAAATCCACTACGACCAAAACAAAGCGGACCATGACGCAGGGGCAATTTTTGCAGTTGAAACAGCAAACCTCGATCCAGAAGATGGTCCGCAAAGTAGTCGTTGCCAAAACCACGACTACCGCGGGGAAGAAGAAGAACAAGAAAACTACGGTTTTCTCCGCGGAAGAAGCGGACTACGAGCCGCTCCAGCTGGTCGATTCCAACAGTCTGGTGACCTCGATCACGAACAAAGTGAACGCGATGCTGACCATGCTGAGCCCGAAGATGACCAAGCACCTGGTGACCATTGCCGTGCGGATGTTTTTATGCTGTGCAAAAGTATCGTGCTCGTATGAATGCATTACAAATTTTTTCAGCATGAGAAAGGAAATTTGTAATGCTAAGTTGCCTTAAGAACAAGATTTGTAATGCATGATTGTAATACCAATACGAGTACGATACTTTTGCACAGGATAGTTTTTTATGACGATTTACAGCCAACTGGTCCAGTTCACGGCGCAGCTCGTCGGGGACGCGCTGTATCCTGAGTAAAAACGTCCCCACCCCACCAGAGTTGTCATGCAAAAACGCATGCGCAAAATGTTTCTCATGCGGGGCCCCATGACAGGTATTTTCTAGTCGTGTAGTGTTTTGGAATTTGTGATGCTCCAATCAGCATGGTAGGCTAGATTTGTGATGCTTCTGAACGAGGTGAACAGGATTACAGTACGAAGGCCGAACTTGTCATGCGCAACGCCTTAAGCTTGTAGATTTGTCTAGCAGATTTCCCATCGTGACCATGGGGTGGGGATGTTTTTACTCAGGATACGCTGTCCGGGTTAGTTGGCGCGGTCAGTCCGGTCTCGTTCATAGGTTCCCTGCTCGGGCCGGTGATTAATCTCGCGATGATGGAGGTGGGCCGCGGGTTGGAAAATCTGATCATGCCGATGTTTGAAAAAGCCCTCATGCCGTTGATGCCGGAGGTGCTGACCGGGCTGGTGGAAAGCATGGCCGGGTTATCACGAGGAAAAATCCCCCCTCCCCATATCAAAAGGAAGTTTCTGATGCTGGATTTGCGTATACAAATCAGGTTTGTCTTGCAGTAAAGGACAGCAGGCTCCTGCCAAGGCTGAGTAGAGAGCTTTTGGCCTAGGCACTTAGCATGAGAAACGTGTATGCTGTAGGCCCAACAGCATCACAGGCCGCCTGCATAATGCGGCGGAGGCTGCGGAGTTGTCTTCTTGCAAGACAGACGTGATTTGTGGTCTCAAATCAGCAAGACAAACTTTCGAAAACATACCTTGTCGATATGGGGAGGGGGGATTTTTCCGCGCAATACGGGTCCCTCGTGGGCGGTGACACGTTGGCCATGGTGGACAAGCTGGTCGGCAACGAGGGCCGGGACGAGCTTGTGGCGGGTACCGACGAGGAAAACCAGGGAACAAGTTCGCTCCTGCAAGAAAAGCAGAAATTTTTGCCTTGCTGTGATGGGGCCGAGGAAGCCGAGGACACCAAGACCTACGAAACGGGTGCAGAAGTAGAGCCTCTTTCCGAACCCGAAGATGCTAAAACGCCCCGCCCCAACGCCCCCTTGGTCGACGAAGCGGAGCTCCGATCCAGCATGACTGCGATGATTGACGCGGAGACGGGGAAGCTCCAGCAACAACTGAAGGCCGAAGGGTATGAGAACGTCCCAGAGTCTCCTACTATCGCCGGGGAAAATGAAATGCAGGCGAAAATGGTGGAAACCATGGAAAAATCGCTCGTTTCTGTCTCCGCTGAAGGGACAACGGCCACAAGTGCAGCTTTCACCGAACTCGGCGGTACAAAGGCGTCAAAAAGCCGCAAAAAAATCCAACAAGAGCAGCAGCAGAAACTCGCCACGCAGTTGTCCAACCTGCATTCCAAAGTGCAGGAGAAGCGGAGAGCCGATGCGAACTACGAGGCGGAGAGCAACATGCTGATCGCGTCTGTGAAGTCGTCTTTCAACTACCTGAAGGAGCACTACATCCCCTCTTGCCCCGACGACAAGAAGGCCACGGCGACGCTGGTGGCGCAGCCGCTCGATTTGACCAGTGTCGACGCGACTTCCTACCCCGAATGGGCGGAATTCCAGAAGTACCTGAAGGCGGCGGGGGCGGTGCAAATGGAGGGGTCTGCGAAAGGTATTGTGGTTGTAAGTACCCGAAATCATGTTGACACATGAGATGACTCTTCCTATCTTGATTTCGTTTGTGAAGTAAATAACGTCAGCTACATTCGCGCTTTTTGTGGTCTTCTGGTACAGTCAGTGTTCTTGTCCTTCACGCCTCGAAAAGAATTCTAAATCCTAAAACCCTAATTCCAGCCGCTTGATCCGTATAAGAAAAGACATAGGTCGTCGTGCCTTTGCAGCTCCTTCCAAGGGGCAGCTGTTGTAACAAAGGCAAATGCATATGAGCATGTACGCTATTCGTACGATTTTAACATCACTCAGGCTTGATGAAGAAGGTGATTGACCAGGTGGGCAGCGGCTTGTTCGAACTTGTGATGCCCATTCTGGTTTCGGTTCCTCTCGTTGGAAATTTTGTGTCGACGCTGAAGCCTGCGATCCACGCCGCCTTCCACGTCTTATCGGGCTTGATTGCGAAAGCTTCGGACTCGTTGCAGGAGTGGCTAGAGAAGGACGGGAAAGCGCTGGCAGAAAAACTGATGAACCTGTTTCTGGAGCGGGTCCCGTGCCTGGATGTCTTGCAGAAGATGGAAGACTGGTTGTTGCAGCAAGAAGACATGGACACCATGACGGATGCGGCGCTCAAAGTGGCGGACGGAAGTGCTGCTGCAGCTGCGGGCTCGTTTTTGCAACAAATGCCGATGATCACCGCGTCCAAGATGAAGTCTGAAGACTACAGCAAGCCCCTTCTCCAGTCCGATCGCTTGCTGCTGAAAAAGTCCTCTGCAGTTCAATTGCCCCTGATTGCAGCAGGTGAGAAGAACGGTGCCGATCTCGCGCTCACCAACACGGATCATGACGACGATGATTTTTCAGCGGACAGCGTCCTCACCGTGAAACTGCTGCGCAAGCTTGACAGCGACCTGGCGGGGAACAGCTTTTACCAGATGAAGGAACACCAAGCGGGAAACAACAATTTCACTGCCGTTGACTGGGGCTCGGAGTACCGCTCGTTTTTGGAAGTACAAGCCGCTTCGAAAAAAAGTACCACGTCAAACAAGCAGGGACGTCGAGAACAGAGCAAGCAAGAAGTGGCTGCACGGGTCCTGCTGACCAAGGAACATCAGCAGCTGCAAAAGCAGAAGATTGATTTTGACATGTTCAAAACAGCCTTCGAGAGTGCCAAGTCGCAGTTTGGCATCGACGGGCTCATCAAGGAAACCGACTTCAATTCGATCATCAACTCTGTGATTCAATTTGCGAAAGAGCACTTCACGAAGGCGCTGAAGTGGTTCCTGGACACCACCATGCTGGGGACCATGATCCAGATGTTTTCCAAGGCGCTCGGGAAAGCGTTTGTGCACGGGATCCAGGTCTCCATTCCGATGTTAAAACATTTGCAAACGATGGCGAAACTGGGAACCGCGTTCGGCATTGAGGGCGCCGAGCAGCTGTCGCAAGTCGGCGACATGATCCCGACCGTTGCTTCCTCCATCATGCCGATGCTGGTGCAGGCCTACTTTTTCGAGAAGGAAGCCCAGCACGACCTGAAAATGTTGGTGGACAAAGTCCTTTCCCCGCCGGCGATTGACGGCGTTTTCAACGCGACGGAATATGTGGTGGAGAGTGTCAAGAACTCTGGGGCGTTCAAAGCGCTCACGGACTCGATGGACGACGCCTGGGAATCTCTGGAAACGGCCGTGATGGGAAGCTATGCAGTGTTTTTTGCAAATCCGTGTTCATCTGGGAGTCTGGAAATGATTTGTGATGCGACTCGATGCGGATGATTTTCATTTTGATATTTGAAGAATAGCAGCTCGAAGCCGCATGAAAACATTGACAAATTGCATTTTTGCATGAGACACAACAACAAGGAGTGTCGGTGTAAGTAGCTACCCCTGCGTACGTCGATCCATGACAGATTCTTAAGTTTTCTCGTCCTGCTGTTAGCCAAGCACTAGCACTACATCCAGACCCAGATGACTAAAGAAGAACATATTTGCAATGGATACAAACATTTTCCCCGACCACGACATGGTGACCGAATCAACCCTATGAAATGTAAAAATATCTGGGTCTGGAAGATTGCCAGGCTTGTCATGCACATTTTGCATGACTCCTGATGTCTGTGATGCATGCCCTAACTCACAGATTTTGTGAGGGCTTCCTGATGCCTATACCGCATGACAAATGCTCTTTCCGTGTAGCAAAACTTGGACTCTCTTTGCTGCTCATGCAATACAGATTTTTTTAGAATCCAAAATCAGCATGACAAGTAGGATTCTTCCAGACCCAGACACTTTTACAGTTGATAAACCCCAACGGTCGCTTTTGAACTTGGGGATTTGAAGGAAGAGACCGGTGTGACCGCTTGTCCCGCGGGCTACGAAGCGTTGACCGACTCGGACGAGTGCATTGCGGCGGAGAAGCTGTTGTACCCAGATCTGGTATCAAATGCAAATATGTCTGGGTCTGGAAGGTTGGAAGACTTGTCATGCAGGTTTTCCATGACGCGTGAGGTCTGTCATACATGACCCAGCATGACAGACTTTCCCCGACCTCTATCATGCCTCGTCTGCATGAGAAACTCCCTCTCAACTTGGTCAAAAGTGGACAGCTTTTGGCAATCATGCAACACAGCTTTTTGCACCATCCAGAATTATTAGCATGACAAGTTGCATTCTTCCAGACCCAGACATATTTGCAATGCATATCTCCCAAAGTGGAGCAACGTTGCCGTGCAGAACATTCGCGTCATTAACAACAAGGAGCTTCCGTTCGGCTGCCTGAAAACGGTACCCGAGGGAAACTTCTATGGTGGGACGCCGGATGTCTGGCGGCTGGAATTCAACCGGGAAATGGAGGATGCGGCGAATCTGACGCCCGCGAACCTGATCTGCGTCAAGAGCGACTCTGGTGCGTAAGTTTTGATCGGCCGTTGCTACTTCAATTTTTTCTTTTCAGAAAATCGAAAAGGAGCAGAAACGAAGGGCGACGGGGAGGGAGTCGTGCCTTCTAAGTCGAGTGAGAAGTAGTCAATGTTCAGATTCAGAAATTTATTTTTGTTCCAGCTAAATTTGTCTTTTACCACACTGTTGTCCATACTTACGTTTTAGACGGGTTTCTTATTTTTCCAATAGAAGATCAAGATGAAGATCATCTCTTTCAAATGGAAAGGAAAACCAACAAGAACAAAACCAATCACGATTGCACGCCAAAGCGTTTGAGTCACATAGTAAACGCACAGCATAAAAAGAAATTAGTAAGTGGTCAAGCAACATCTTTCACACGATTATCAACATCAGTAGATGATAGATTTACATTTAGTTTTTAGGTTTGCATATATATAATTTCGCACTCATAAGTTAACTAAGTAGCTTTTCCGTAGCATGATTTCTCCTGCTCCATACCGTACAACTGCTGCGCTTATTCCTGTTGTAGCTGCAGCCCAGCATAGTAAGTCTACGTTGCACGATCCACTCCCACATCGGAAAGAGACCGTCTGGAAGGACTTTTGAGGTTCATGTCATTCACATTTTCTCATGAATTTACTTTGTTTTTTACTAGAACTAGAGTGGAAGTAGAAGTACCTGTTTCTATCACGACCAGATTTTGTTTCACCCGACCTAGCATTCGTCCCCTATGACATGTGCTAGAATTCATTTCCGTCCCACAGCAGCAGCCGGAGAGTTTTGCATGAAGTTGTAAGAGGAAACTGCAACTTAGAAGCAAAATTCTGGACACGAAATACGAATGTCACCCTCTCTTTCTTTATCGTTGAATTTAGTTCACCACTACATTCATCCTCTTTTTTCAGGAAAGGAAACAGTTCTCGCTTCACGAAAAGAACCGCGTTCGATATCGCACTAGCAGCTCCAGGTGGTCCGCAGAAAATTCAAATGTTGAAGAGCAACGCATGTCTTTGCTGCTCAGATCATCGGAATCGGAAAGAAAGAAATGCCAAACGCACAGAAGATCCAACGCGACGAGAATGTTGGTAGTAATCGAGATCTTCCATGTCTATTTGAATTTGAGTTGGATTGATCAAAAGCACACATCAAAATTTCTGATCAATTACCTCCTGCGCTACTAAGTAAATTCCTCGAGGATCCACACCTGGAACAACGATCCACATCTTGGAAGGAAGATCTAGATCAGCTCTATTAGTGTGCAATTTTATTTCGTTTTTTTCCGCGTTGCCGTGGTGTGCTTTGCGTACTTGATTGATACCCGGATCATGATTTTGACTCGAATTCAACAGCGACACCGATGTTGATTTATGAATTCTTGCGCCGCTAGTCTTCATCGTGTGCATTTTGATTGTGACGAACTTTTATTCCGAGTAGCATGCGAGAACTTCGAAGTCATAATTGCAGCATGAAAACTACATCTTCGGAGCAGAAAATGAGGGTGAAAAAGAAGCCCACCGTCATATCGCGGACAGGGAAGAAACCAAGAAGTCACGCGCGAGCGAGCAGCGGTTCTAGTAGTGGGCGAGCAGATTGTGCACCAGCTCCTCAGGACTGCTTGGATGACAGTGTGGACAGCAATTGCAATGCACAAGTGATCGACGACAAAATAGACCCTGCAAGCAGCGACAGCGACGAAGAGAGTGTGGATCTGCTTCTGCAAGCGCTTTTGCAACAGCGGCTGGCGGCAAGATTTGGCGACTTTGGTGCTAGCGGTGGAGACGAAGATCATTGTACAACCGGAACATCAACTGCCGTTAGAAATAACTCCACGACCAATTGTGAGCTTGCGGCCACAGTAGAAGACGATGCGGCGCTTGTACAGGACCGACGAGGAACATCAACCGGCACAAGTGGACCGACCGACTCTTTGAGAGACGGTCGAGGACAACGTCCAGTAGTACAAGCAACCGCCGGACAGCAGGGTCAACATGTGGAACCACCAACCAAAAAGAGGCGGCGGGGCGGGAAGAAGCGACGAGAAAGGGATAGTACGATGTTGCAGGACGAGGTCGAGAGTGGTGTAGTTTTAAGGCTCAAAAAAATCCATCCGCTCAACGGCTCTCAAAATGTTTGAAGCCTGGCCAGAAAAAAGGCATCTGCGCAAAAAGACACGCGCAGCAGTTTGCGACGCTCGGCTTTGTGAGCGCGTTCGCGCTGCAAAGTAGCGATTTGATTTTTTGAACCTTTTTGCGGGCCTTCATTTGTGATCATGCGCCTTTCGGGGCGGAAAAGGAGCTGGGAGCGTTTTATCATCGTTTCCCGCTCTTTCGCAAGACTCTGTGACTTGCAGAGCTTGCAAGTTTCTTTCAAACTTCAGCTGAAGTTCAAATTTGGCTTGAAGCTTTAAGTCAAATTTGAACTTCAAGTGAAGTTTGGAAGAACTGAACTAGTCCCACAAGTGGGTCCAACAAACAAATATCCCAATAGGATTTGGCGTTTTCCGGACTTCTGTCGGACACCGCTGAAGGAGTAGAGCAAACAAATTTTGAGCAAAAAATTGAATACCTGCAAATGTATGCGAAACGGCGAAAGGTAGAAAAAGGCTGTCAAAATGGTCGCAGCTCGTGTTTTTTGATGCTCGACGGGGGGCGCTTTACAACCTACAGCCACAGCATCGGCGACGGCTTGCGAAGTGAAGCAGTGATGGGAGTACGGTCTCGCCAACCGCATTGCAACAGCTCGCGCACACAGATCGCGCAGAGTGCTCGGCCTTGCTCCTCGAATGCGAAGCGGGGCCCTATCGACTTTTCACCCCTTGCAAGAATTACTTCAGCAAACATTTTGGGAGCCGGGCTCCGAATGGATTTTTTTCACCCCTAATAGTTCTTCACACACGAAAAGAACGACCCTCCACGCACGCTTCTGAGCTGGACGCGGTTTTTGATGAAAGCCACAGCAAAAGTAACGCAAAGAGGACAGCAGCAGCTGCTATGTCGGAGAAGATGAACGCAGAGTCTGAAGAACAAAAAGCGGCCGGTTCTAGTACTGATTTAGCCAGAGGTGGATCCAATAGTTCTAGTAGTACAAGAACACCAGGCAACATCAACATGACAAACCCCACGACCCTTTCCAAGCAAGCCCAACGGAAGATGCGGAACCAGTGGCTTCGCGGGGACTTGAGCAAAATGTTCTCGGAGCCACGAATAGAACAAGCGCAAGACAAGACTCTAGCAGCACGTGTTGATCACCAGCATGACAGGTCTCATTCACATGCCGCTCCCACATCAGAACATGCCCTCACCATTTCCGACAAAGACGACGAGAAAAAGTACTTCAACACGTGCGTGAACGAGCTCCGTGACTTGGCCTACACCTCCCTCTCGAAGAATATCAAATGTAAAAATGTCTGGGTCTGGAAGATTTCCAGGTTTGTCATGCATATTTCGCATGGGCTATGAGGCCTGTAATGCATGACCTAGCATGACAGATTTTTTGCGGGTATCTTGATGCCTATCCCGCATGACAAATGCCCTCTCCGCGGAGCAAAAACTGGACGCCTCTTGCTGCTCATGCAATACAGATTTTTTTAGATTCCAAAAATAGCATCACAAGTTGCATTCTTCCAGACCCAGACACTTTTGCAATCCATAAAGAAAAAGAAGTGGCAGTTCACGAACGCAAAACTCGAGGCGCTGGGCGGCAAGGTCCGCCCCTATCAAATGCAAAAATGTCTGGGTCTGGAAGGTTGGAACTTGTCATGTTAGATCTGAATCATGTAAAAATCTGTGTTGCGTGATTACCAGAAGCTGTCCACTTGTGACCTAATCGAGATGCAGTCTCACATGCAGAATAGGCATCATAGAACTATCACAGAATCTGTAATGCTATGTCCTACATACCAGACCTCATTGGTCATGGAAAGCCTGCATGACAAGGCTGGCACTCTTCCAGACCCAGACACTTTTGCATTTGATAGCCCCCACCACGGGGCGATTCCCTTCAACGTTTTGAAGAGGGAGTGCGCGAATCGGAAAGAGAAGGTCAAGAGGTTGAACCGAAGGGACGAAGCTTTAGGGGTCCAAACGTCTGTCGTGAAGCACAAGTCGAGGCACGCGGGGTTGGGGGAGAAGAAAAGGGAGTTGAACCGGAAAAAGCAGAAGAAACAGGGACACTTGGAAATGCGGAACGTCGGGAAAGTGGGGCAGGTTTTGGGCAACAAGATGGACAAAACCGGACTGCAGCTGAGTGGAAATTACTTGAAAAAATTGGGGGTGAAGAAATGAGGTTGAAGGTTCTTGTTTGCAGCAGTTTTTTTACTTGTTGCGCGGTTCACCTCGTGATTCGCTTTCACCCTGCAACACCATGGCGGCACGTCATGCTACTACTTTCTCACGCGACATAATCTCGGCGAAGCCGGCACTCTGCTTGCTAGTAGCTTCCACGTTCGAGGATGAAGTTTGAAAAATAGTTCCGTCAGTACGAGTCAAACGGGCACTCGAAGCTCGATGCGATTTGTGTTCTTGGGATGAAGGTCAGACGAGCATAATTGTTCCTCATGTCCATAGTTAACGGTGAAAACTAGTGTGATCACCTTCAAAAAGGCGAATGCGGGCTTGGATTGGTGCGTCAGTCATATGTGCAATGACAGGATGCACCTACTCCTCGTCTAGATCAAATCGTCGCCGTCGCGCGTCTATCAGATTCGTCCATCGTGTTTTGAAGCGGGATAACGTCGTATATAAATATTTACTTTGAAATTAAAGCACAGCTGCAACCTTTTACACCACTGTCGTCCCACCATTAAGCATTTGAAATTGTCGTAGAAGTTCCCAAATCGTCTTCATCGTTCATAGCAGAATTGCATCATGGTCATTCGTGAACCTTGCCATTGCGTTTTCGTAGTTTCCGTGCTGATCTGCTTTCTTGCGTACACCTACAATTTACACGAGGCGCGACGCTCTCAGCGGTAACGGAACATTGCTCCTCGTGTGATGTGGATTTTTACGTTTTCCCCTCCTCAACAATGATGTAAGTAAGTACATCTGTGGTCCGTCACGCATCTATCAGTACCAAAACCAAAAACACCATTTATCTCCCTATTTACACTACATTCTCTTCCCGTGGAAGGCTTCCAGCGCTGGAAGGTACCTCATGCGACTTTATTTTGAACACACATATTAAAAAGCAAAGTAACCTCACAGGAAGTTATACGATTTTTTTTTGCTTATGTTGCAGGCGACTTCGTCTAGTATAGGCAATCAAAAATCACTGTATCATGCTCCGCCACACGACACTCCTCCTGCAAGCTCTATCTATGGTCGTGATTAATACCTTTACCTCCCCTTCTACTGCTCGAGCCGCAGGGATGAAGCTGTTTCTTTCTCCCGGCGGGATAATCGTTCAACATTTGGTGCAACAGCACGGAACCGGTCTGCTTCTATTTCCGCAAGAATTTTTATGGACCTCCGCTGCAGCACGACTCAGCCGACCAGGCCGCGCGTCGAGCAGCTCATCTCTTGCGGGTGATGATGCTTCTATCGTCGAAGTGGATGAAGTTGACGGGCAGGAAGAAGAACAGAATCGGCAGCCCCGCTTCCGCGGCGCGGAGCGTTTGCCGAAACAAGGAGGTAAGAGTGAAAAACTCACTGCGTCAACGCGATTGAAGAGAACTACGAGCAGCAACACCATCGTACATGGTGCCCCCTCTGAACTACACCTCGAAGAAAAAACTGTCGCTAGTACAACTAGTACCTCTAGAAATGCTCCTTTTTCATCGTCCACCGAGGATCTGCTGCGAAGCTCCAGTTTTGTCGCACTACGAGAAAACTACAAGAACGCAGTAGCAAAAACCCGGAAAAAAGTTGCGGAGAAGAAAAACAAAAGGGAAAAAGAGAAAACGAAAATGGAGAATGTCTTCCCCGATTGTTATGGAAGCAGTGGACATGGAGATCATGAAGATCATGATGACAAAGAAGAGGAGCCGTTGACGGGTGGAATGGGGAGCAAGAAGGCTCTGGTTGATGCCCCGAAGAACAATAACAAACCCGCAGCAGTGCCGCCGGCCCCGGCGGCGGCAGCGCAAGAAATTTCGCGCGCAGATGAAGACGAAAACCGCGACGCAAACGTATCAAATGTAAAAATGTCTGGGTCTGGAAAAGTGGAACTTGTCATGGTAAATCAGAATCATGCAAAAATCTGTGTTGCATGATGACCAAAAGCTGTCCACTTTCGACCAAGTTGAGAGGCAGTTTCTGATGCAGGATAGGCATGACGGAGACCTCACAGAATCTGTCATGCTAGGGTCTGCATTCCAAACCTCACTGGCCATTCAAAATGTGCATGACAAGTCTTGCATTCTTCCAGACCCAGACATTTTTGCATTTGATAAAACGCCGAGCCCAGTGATTTGGGAAGTAGATCATACAAAGTGGGTCCAGCAGATCATACAAGTCTGCGGTTTCCTCCTGGTACTTACGGAGATCCTGAAGTTTTTGGGAACAAATACGGCGCTTCTGCTCCAGACGACGCAGCGGCAGCTCCGGACGAAGAAGTTGAAGTCGATGTTGGCAATACTAAAACAAGCACGAGAAAAACAGCTTCAGACGCTGAAATCGAGGAACAGTGTCCCTGGATGAGCCATTCGGGACAGAGTATCGTAAGGAAAAATCCCCCCTCCCCATATTGAAAACGTATCCGTCTGAAAATTTGTGATGCGCATTTGTGACCTCAAATCCTGTCTGTCTTGCAAGAATGCATGTCCAAAGAGCGCCCCGCATTTTGCAGGCCGTTTGTGATGCTGCTGGGCTTGGAGCATACACGTTTGTCATGCTAGGCACCTATGTCAAAACCTCTCGACTGAGGCTTGGCATACGCCTGCAGTCCTGTACTGCAAGACAGCTGCGATTTGTGTACGGAAATCCAGCGTCAGAAACTTCGTTGCGATATGGGGAGGGGGGATTTTTCATTTTGATATAGAGCCGCTTTCTCCTCTGCATGGACGACACGCTCCAATCTGTCGGGCGTCACTTCCGCTACCTATCAAATGTAAAAATGTCTGGGTCTGGAAATTTGGAACTTGTGATGCTAACTTTGGACTCTAGAAAACTCTGTATTGCATGACCAGCAAGAGGAGTCTAGTTTGTGCTACGCGGGGAGGGCGTTTGTCATGCGGAGTAGGCATCAGGAAGCCCGCTCAAAATCTGTGATGCGCGGTCGTGCATTACAGACATCCTGGGTCATGCAAAACATGCATGACAAATCTCAGAATCTTCCAGACCCAGACATTTTTACATTTGATACTACCATGATGCCTGCAATCACCACGGCGGGCGGAAAAAGTGCCCGGAGGACCAGCCGATTATGTGCCAGAAAGACAACGACTGCGCCAATGAGAGGGACCATTGCTGCAAGCACTCACCGGGGGAGTGTGTATGAACTGCAAAAGTATCGTACTCGTATACATGCATCACAAATTTCCTTAGCATGAGAGATGTAATTTGTGATGCAGATTTACCTTAAGCCAAAAATTTGTAATGCATGACCGCAATACGAGTACGATACTTTTGCACAGGATAGTGTGAGTTGAGTCACCACCACGGACCCATGCAGCACGGGGGGCCGCGGGAATGCCCCGTGATGTATCAAGTGCAAAAATGTCTGGGTCTGGAAACTTGTGATGCAAGTCCGTGAGCAATATAGTGCTCTGTAATGCGCCGATAAGCATGGCAAGTTTTATTTTCGTGCTTCTTTGATGCGTATGTCGCATGAGAAACTGCGCTTTTGCATGACGGACAAGAGGACCTCTTGGGGGCCGCGCAATACAGAGTGCAGCGTCATGCCAGACTAGCATGACAATCTTCCAGACCCAGACATTCTTGCAATTCATATGATGGCGAAGGAAGCATTTTTGGCGCGACTGCAGGAAATGAGCGTGCCGCTGACGCACTCGCACCCTGGAATGAATCGTTAATCAACCGGGAGGACGAGGTGAGTAGTTAGAACAATTTTCATTGCTTGTGGTCCTCCGGGAGGAAGAGGACGAGAGTACTACTTTTTTCTTCTTGATTCTTAAGATGACCCCACTATTGTTCACGGAACCCAACTGCCTTTAGGACATTTTTTGATGACAACCCCTGTCGACGTACTAGTGCCCACTGGTCGATGTAGTTGTACTACTTTGATTGTTGTACTAGCTGTCAATTTTTTTGCCTTATAGTAACTCTTCTGCTTCAAAAATTTTCTACCCATGAAAGTTTTGTTCGCATCGAGTACGAAAAAATGTGAACCAAGTTGAAGTTGTGCTTCAAATCCAACCCGATTGATTTCTTTTTGACCTGAAAGAATTCAATATCAATTCTCCTTCCACCCGTGAAGCTTCCGCTGCGTAAGGAGTTCAACAGGCCGCAGAGTTCAACAGGCCGCAGAGTTCAACAGGCCGCAGAGTTCAACAGGCCGCAGAGTTCAACAGGCCGCAGAGTTCAACAGGCAGAAGTTTTGGACAAGCACGACAAACCAGTACAGCTGTTGACCCGTTGTCGGTCTCGTGTCAGGGATCAAAAATGCACTTATCTGTCGGGAGGACTTTGCTAAAAATACACTGTGTCTTTGACGATAGTTTGGTCGGGGTTATTCTGTTGCCGTGATTCTTGATTGGCATTGGATATTTATTTTTATTGTGCGACTCTCGGTCTCGTCGAACAGGTACAGGAAAAATGAAAATCAATATTTTCGTCGTGTAAAGGTCGCAGCGTCGTGAATCAAAAGATGTGTAAGTATGAAAAAATCTTCAACTTGTTGTACTGGTCGTCGTGATGTAGTCGTGGCGGGTCGTCGTGGTTTAGCACATATTTCTGACATCAAAATCTTCAACTTGTCGTCCTTCTAACGGAAATTTATTGTCACGCGGCTCGTGGTCGTGGCACTGACTGGCATCAAAGTCAAACTCAAACGCAGAATGGGCAGAATTAATACGCACCAGCAGGGGATTTTTATATATGCGTGAAGATCATGGTCTAGTACTAGTATTTTGTCTTTCTGTTTGGCTTTATTCCTGCGGTTAGATAGAGGGTTACTAGATCAGGTTAGTACTAACTGAATATGATTGACAAGAACGTTGGCGTTCTGACTGAAAAAAGCAAAATGCGGTACAGCTACATCAGGAATCCGGCCGAGATGAAAAAGCGGCCTCGTCGCGGGTCGGCTGTCGTTCCTACAGCTTTGTTGGGTAGTTTTTACAACTTCCACGAGCAGGTCTTCCTCCACCATCTGACCCCGCAGGCTGGTGTCGGTGTCATCAACATCAACTTCGCAACCGCGACAAACGTATGGATTGCAAAAATGTCTGGGTCTGGAAGATTCTGACATTTGTCATGCATTTCTGACATGATTCAAGAATCTGTATTGCATGGGCACGAAATAAGCCTCTCCTACCTGTCATGCAAAAACGCAGCTTCTCATGCGGAATACGCAACGCATAGCAGCTCAAAAATTTGTCATGCTTGGCTGCGTTTTGCAGTCCGGCTATCATCCACTTGTAGCATCACAAGTTTCCAGACCCATACATTTTTGCAATGCATAAAACGTGGCGGAGGCGACGCACAAGCGGCGGTTTCGGAAGACCACACACGACGGCAGCTACGTGGAAAGTAGCGACATTGTGGCAACAAACCCTGGTAGTTCTCATGCGGCAGCTGCTAGTACGAAAACGAAAACCACGACCACCTCTGTTGATGAGAACAAAAGGAGCGGCGCCGCGGACGACCTTGACGAATCTTCCTCACAACTCAAGAAGATGAACAGCAGGGAGAACGGCGCACCGGAGTTTCTCCTTGAGCCTGCTGCCAGTAGTACATTGGCGGTCCTATCGTCGGACGGTGAAGTGGCTGTGGAGGGTGTCGGGAATTCTACGTCCGCGACTCTGGCGGCTAGCACTTCCACCCCCGAGGATGCTGATGACCTTCACCTCTCGAGCCAGGAGAAGGCCGCGGTAGAGGAGTTGCAGAAACTGTCCCCGCAAGAGCAAGAAGCGATCGTCGCTGCGGCACCCGCGCCGTTGCCGGTTTCCCCGGACGAGATGGAGTGGTATCGCATCTTCGGTCCTGTATTCTGAGTAAAAACGTCCCACCCCAGAGTTGTCATGCAAATCTGCATGCCAAAAAGGTTTCTCACGCGGAGCCCCATGAGAGCCATTTTCTAGTTGTGTTTTGGGATTTGCGATGCTAGAATCAGCATGATATGCCAGATCTGTGATGCTTCGGAACTAGCTAAAGAGGATTCGGTACACCACAAGGACAAACTTGTCCTGCGAAACATCCAAAGCCGGGAAGATGGGAGGTGGGGCTTACCGTCTTCAGACAGGCCAGCCGCCGTGAGGGACTACCGCCTCTGTTATTGAGGATAGCGCGCGTCCTCCTCGACTGAGTTGCGTGCGCGGCCCGTCCGTGTTCCGCGTAAATCTCTACAGGAGAGTGCGCGCCGCGTCGAAAGGCTCCCTTCCGTGCGGAGCGCCCCGAACCCGTTTTCGCGCACCTTTATGATGGCCTTACTGTTATAAGGAGTCAGATCAGTTTGTAGCACCCAATCTGTTTATGCTAGCAAAGGGCTAGTGCGCTGTGGACCCCCGGGATCAGGCTGACGAGGCCCCGACCGAAGTGGTGGGCGCTTAGGGTGAACTATGTATGTAGCGCTTAGGGCCCTTCCGTACGGCCATTTGTATGTCCCACAACGGGGCTCGCCTAAGTCGGTCATTTGTATGCAAGGCGTTGGGTTACCCGGTCGGCAGAGCCGATCCACAACGAACGAAGATTTCCCATCTTGACTGTGGTGCGGGGACGTTTTTACTCAGGATACGGCGGCACCAAGCCCACTGAGCGGCTGGAAGCACAACAATTCGCGCGAGCGGCACAGCTGCAAAGGTTGTTGGAGCGGCAAAGGAACGCGCCGCAGCTAAGTCCACCGTTGTTGAGCCGAGACGCCTCCGCTCTCGCAGCCCCGCGGTGGCGGCGCACGGACAATGTGACCGCTCTGGAGCTCGTGGCCTACCGCCGCCTGTTCGCCGAAAAGGCGCGGTCGGGCTTCCTCGGCATGCTGCACGGCTTTACCTACCCCTACGACGTTTATTTCGTCGACAAAGATGGCCGAGAAACAGACGAAAACTTGTTTTTCAAGCAACGGCTCACGCTTTTGCCCGGCGGGCGGAGGGATAATTTTCTCCCGAACCGATTCCTCACGCGCGCCTACACGGAGGAACAAGTGCCGATTGATGCCAGTGGCCACGCGGGGAACAACGAGATGAAAATCGAGCATCCCTTTCTCTACGTGCAACGCAGAACGATGCTGGATCACGACAAACTAGAAGATCCATCAGACTTCTCCGGGAGCACGGCGACCGGAGCATCTTCCGCGAACAAAACCTTTCAGACCGAGGGTTTGGCGCAGAGGGTCGCGCGGAACACACGCAATGTGGGGCTGCAGCTGACCGGGCTGCGGAACTTGGGCACGAGCGGCAGCATCTGGGAGTTCGTGTCCAGCGAACCCAGTTACCCGGGACAGTCGCCGATATCTGCGCCGAGCGAAGTGCAGGTGTTTGACGGACTGCAGCCACACTATGGAGTTCTCAAATGTTACATTCTCAACCGTTACATGAATTTGTAATGCAAGAACGGCAAAACCAAAAGCGAAAGGGGGAAGATTGCGCCTTTTGCATTTTACAGATTTGGCGCAGATTTAGATGCTGTCTAGCCCTTCGGAGCTTTGTCATGCGAAGCAGCTTAATCGTGGCGAAGATCTTGCTGGTAAATTTGCATGACAAATCATGTCACAGTTGAGAAAGGCACGTTTGAGAACGCCATACGCACGCATACCGTTTCGGATACATGCAATGGATCAAGGTACTGTACTGATCACTTCCATGTATACTTCTATCTAAACTGGTCTCTCAGAAGATGCCTTCGTCGTAGTTGTGGTTCTGATGAGATACTGCAAAATTATGTTGGAATGTACTACGGAAAAAAACAAAAATCATGCAAATTATACCTGGAGAAGCAAGCTGAAACAAAACCCAACCAGGTTCCCGAGGATGCCGATGGGTACCCGGTCGAAAACTGGAAGCACTGGGGGTATGCCGCGGAGTGGTTTTTCTATCGCTACGCAGCGGAAGACGAAGAAGACACTCTTCGTGTTGGCGAGAACTCCGGCCACGGCCTATTGCAGTGAAAAATGCCCCCACCCGCAAAGTTGCAATGATTTGGGATGCGAAGTTTCCAAATGAAAACTTCTTGTCATGCATGAAAGGAGTATGAATCTTTCTCTTCTGATGCACCAGAGTCTAGCCGGCTATCGCATCGCTTGCATCACAAGCGTCGCTCTTGCTGGGATCTTTCGCAATACAAATTTTCCCTATTCACGACGGGAAATCTGTGATGCTGATAGATGCAAGAGGGCGAATGTTTCATTTGGAAAGGTTTGCAATAGCCAAGAGAACTATAGTACTTGCAGCAACTAGGGTCAAACCTGGAACCGAAGAAGGCTCAAAGAAGGCTACTTGCTTTATTTCTGAAATCTGAATGCTACTGTGGTGCAGACTAGGCTCAAACCTGGGCCAAGAAGGATCAAATCTCTAGAGATGACCTTTTTTTTCTAATTTTTTTTGGTGAATCACCACGCTACTGCGAAAAAAGATTGATAACGATTCGGGCGAACGCCTCTAGAGCTCGAAAACCTGTAGAGCTCAATCTCTAGAGCTGAATCTCTACAGCTGTTTGGTGATGCTCTAGAGCCTAAGCTCTACAGCTTCCGCCTATAGCGAGCATCTACAGCTCGACAGCCAAAAGCCTTTTTTTTTTGATGTTTTTGACACTGAGCAACCGCAGCTACCCGGCCGATCCGCTGCCCCTGGTGCTTGCCTAGGAAACCGAGCACAGAAACAACGAACCAACCACAGTGGTGCTGTGGCTAACACATCAGAAACAGCCAGCCGCATGGCTGTTGCCTCCATGGCCATGCTGTGAGGTGTGGCCGCCGGCACCGAGAGTAAAACTCAAAAACACCCCTGGCAGCCGTGCCTCTTACTTAGATTTGTTGGGAGGCAACCACCAGCAGTTGCGTGGTCCTGCTACTTGCTACAGGGTATCGGCAGGTTGCAGCGCTTTCTTTCCACGCCGGGCGACCACCTGCTACGACGAGTACCAGCGCGACGGCCAGGAGTCGCATCTAAAAAAAAAGCCTACCTGCGGACCCCAAGGGCTCGCGTTCTCGCCCTAGCTGCCTGCGCTTGCTGGGTAGCTGAAGTAGAAAGAGGGGACGCCGCCCGGGGGCGCGGGTCTGCTTTACATTTCCTAGAAGGTAGGAGGCACGGCTACCGTGCCGCGCACCAAGCTAGCGGAAGCGCGTGCCCTTATCTACCTCTACCTGACCCGGCTTTTGGCACTACAGAGGCCGGCCGGATCTGGCGCGCTAGGCGTTGGGCTGCAGTTGGTGGGCCGGTCGCTCTACTGGCCGCCATTTCTTATTCGTTTTATGTTGCTGGCTACGCGTGCTCTTCCTTTTTGTTTTCGTATGTAGTGAGGTCACCGAACGGCTCTAACCAGGGAGTTTTTTTGACAGCCAGACAGCAAAACGGCCGTCAGTTTTCACGCGGCCGGAAGCGTTTTTTGACATAAAAAATTTCCAATTATCAAGCGGGCGGGGCTTTGAAGTCAAACAAGCCCGGTCGAAAACTATCGGTTCGCACTTGATAAAACGACGCAGGGGAGCCGGCAAAAGGGGCGCCCTTCTGAGGCGCCCACCGCCTTGGTTTCTGGCGGTTTGGGCCGCCAAAAAAGGGGCGCGCAAAAAACTCGCCCAAAATCAGAACAGCGAAACAGCATGGCACGGCCGCGATTTTGGAGCATTTTGGGCGGCCGCGAAAGCGGCCGCCTTTTCGCCGGTTTCGGAGCCTGGGAAGCTTTGCAAAAAGCGCCGGCGGGAAAAATAAAGACGCAAAAAAGAAAAAGCGCGCCAGACGCGCAGAGCCAATCCGCATGCTACGGGCCCGATTTCCCCTCGCTTTTTGGACGCCCCCCGTGGCGCCCGGATCGGCCCCATAGCATGGGGGCTGGCTTTCGGAAAGGAATATCGGAAATTTGCCAAAATTTGCGACGCTTACCAAGCGGCCGCCATACCGTGCGGCCTAACGTTACTCACGGCGGTATGGCGAGCCCAGAAAAAGCAAAGCCGCGGCCAAGGCGGCGGCCGGCAAGAAAACGCCCACGACCTCACTACCCCCGCCCCGGCGGCTATTTTGTACTTTGTTGCCATCAAGCTGTTTGCCATCATCGCGCGGCGTTAGTGCGTCGGCTGCCCTTCCGGGAACAGCCAGCCCCAAAGAAAGTACGCTCCAGCTCTTCAACCAAGCCTCTTCGAACTGTTTCTAGTTGCTGCAGTACTGCTTTTCTATTGTTATGCGCAGATCCCCGCGCCGTTGTGCCTGCACGGCGGCGCGAGCCCCAAATACTAATGCTCCCAAGTAGTTCGAAGGTGGGGGCATTTTTCATTGCAATACGGCCAGCTGCCCTACAGCCGGCAGAAGCACCCGGGTGACTGGGTGTACCGAATCGAAATGCCGGAGTGGCTCAACCAACGAGCATTCAGCCTCGCGAGCGCCTTCCACCGCCCAGTCCTCGTCATGAGGGTATGGATTGCAAAAATGTCTGGGTCTGGAAGGTGGTAACTTGTGATGCTGCATCTGGATGTCTAAAAAATTTCTGTTGCATGAGCAGCAAAAAGATTCCAGTTTTTGCTACGCGGGGAGGGCATTTGTCATGCGGAATAGGCATCAAGATTCCCTCAGAAAACCTGTGATGCTAGGGCATGCATCACAGACATCATGGCTCATGCAAACCGTGCATGACAAGACTCAGAATCTTCCAGACCCAGACATTTTTGCATTTGATAGAGGGATCGGAAAGACAATTTGATCGCGAAGCTGGAGTTACGCATAATGCAAAAGCATCGCGCACTACTTGTACAACTACGTATGGATGAATTCCATCACATAAACTTACAGTCTAAAGTTGGAACGTCAAATTTGTAATGCTGATTTACGTTTTCTTCTTATCTTAGAAGAACCCTCGATGAACAACATGCATGCATGACTGCGGATTAATATAGTCGGAGTGCGACGATCCTTTTGCAGCGTATATGAGTACGTCGGGGCAACATCGGGGAAACCGTGGGAGTGGTGGTTTGGCGGGCGGAAAATGAAGATAACCCTGTATCTATGAATTGCCAATATGTCTGGGTCTGGAAGATTGCAACTTGTCATGCTGTTTTGGGACTCGAAAAAAATTTGTATTGCATGACCAGCAAGAGGGGTCCAGTTTGTGCTACACGGACAGGGCATTTCTCATGCGGAAGGTGCATCAGGAAGGGTTCTAAAAGTCTGTAATGCTAGGGCATACATCACAGACTATCGTGGGTCATGGAAAACCTGCATGACAAGCCTGGCATTCGTCCCGACCCAGACACTTTTGCATTTGATAGTATCAGGACGACGGTGTTGAGCCGCGGCACGATCCGGCGCTTCTCAGTTCGCTCTTGCTCCGCTGCGATGCGGACACCGCGTCGCACAACTTTCTGAAGCAAGCCGTTGCGGCCCTCGGAATCGGTTACGGGAAGTTCCTGCACTCGTTCATCCCGGGCCAAGCGGCCAAGGTGGCCATGATTCCAGCTCAGCTCGCCGGAGGGCAAGTGGGCGTGTGGACAGCGCTCAACTCGGGACTCTACGGTCTCATCCATGGTACGAAAGCCCTCTTCGACCGATCGTCGTGGCTGCGAAACACTACCAACAAGTACGTGTGGCCCTACCTGTTCCCCCACCGCAACTTTACCAATCTTACTTCGCCGGAGTAGAAGGTTCAGGAGGTGGAAAATGAATCCGGAGGCGGGTCAGATCCGTGATGGCCGCTCTACTGCTTCTTTTTATCCATAATGCAGACGCTGTCTACGCTCTTTATTTCGATACTGGGATTTTTCCTTTTCATCCTTGTCCATTACACTTTACCGCTAAGCAAACTGAATATCTACAACTTCTCTTGACTGAATTTTTTGTGCTAGGTACTTTTACAGACTTGAATCGACGAAGACGAACTCACTGACATGCTACAGCTTTCGCTAGCTTTTTTGTGCCTGCTTATATCAGAATACTCTACATGTAAAATTAATTTTGACACAGGAACAGCAAAGGCAAGTCTAAAACTAAATTGAAACCTAATATTGACACCATCAGAAAATATCACGGTTTTGCACGAAAGTAGTAGAAGTAGAGCGCGCATCTGCGTATCGCACTCGCTTAAGGGCAACATGCGGCCAAGCTGCCGTTGAGTCAGCACGACTGGGTCGTGCATGGCCTTCTTCGCTTTTGCTCGTTCTCGGTCTGCAAGAATCTTCCGTTCCTGGGTCGTCGCGTTACTTATTCCACTTCATTATTTCTGTTTACTTTTTGTCCTCCGTCATCGCACCAGTACAGTACTCTCGGTCGTGGCACTCGTCAAATGTGGGGGTCTAGTACTCTTCGGAGGTTTTCGATCGGTTTCAGGATGTGTTTCGGTATACAAAACAGAAGAACGAATACCGTGTAAGTACTTACGCAATCATCAAGTAATGTGCTGGTGTCGTGAAGAAAACTAGAAGCCAAGGCGCAGATCAGATCTGCAAAAACTACCGACACTGAAATCTTTCTACGTGTAAGTCTAAGTAGTTCATCAACATCATCTCATATATCTTTTTGATACGGCGCACTGGTGCTACAACTCTCAGCGTGAAAAAAGATAGACCTCGTGGCACCGCTGGCGAGGGTTTTGAAGTTGTTTTTTTTGAAGATACAATCAAGTCCTTGCGAGCAACTTTAGTACTTCGGTGATAGATCAGCAGACAGCATGTCAGGCTCAGCCCGCGGGCGCGAACAGTACACCTACTTTCAGTACGACCCGCTGGAAACGGACCGCTCTTCAACCATCATCTCAGCCCGTTCCGAAGACCTGCACCTGCGCTTGACCCGCAGTCGCCACCACCAGGAGCGGCCTCTCTACACGGTCAGCGATGATGATGGAGCTGCACCAGGCCGTGTCAACTTTCGCAGGGATCTTTTTCATGGTGGAGAGCGGAAGAACAAGAAGCAGCACCACCGGCACAGCGATCAGCATCGCCACCACCGACGGAGCCACTCGGCATCATCGTACGTGAAGCGGAATCATGGACACTCGTCCTCTGACAAGCAGAGACAGCGGAACAATACCCACCATATTCACCGTGATGAGCTGTTTGTGCCCCGGAATGCGCCAGTATGCATTGCAAAAGTATCGTACTCGTATAAATGCATTGCAAATTTGCTCAGCGTGAGAAATAGAAAACGCGGATTTGCCTTTAGAAAAAAATTTGTAATGCATGATTGCAATACGAGTACGATACTTTTGCACAGGATAGCGAGCGTACTACTACAACTTGCAGGATGGTACCGTGATTCCGGCGGCTTCGCGACATGCCGAGCGGCTCCTGGTGACACCCCCGCCGCCCCGGAGGGCCATCAGCCTCTCCGTATGCTGTGCAAAAGTATCGTACTAGTATGAATCGCATTAGAAATAATTGGCTCAACATTACAAATGTAATTTGTAATGCGGATTTCCCTTGATTACTAGATTTGCAATGCATGACTGTGATTAGAAGTACGAGTACGATACTTTTGCAGTGCATACTCCGCCAGTCCGTATAACGACGTGAGAGCGGCCGGGAAGGGCTCGCCCATGATGCAGTACCCGCCGCGGTCTTTCATTTTCGATGCGTATGAACTGCAAAAGTATCGTACTCGTATAAATGCATTACAAATTTCTTCAGCATGAGAGATAAAATTTGTAATGCAGATTTACCTCAAGAAGTAATGCATGACTGCAATACGAGTGCGATACTTTTGCACAGGATAATGCGCCCCGCATGTCGGCCACCTACACCCGCGTGACGCCGCGCACCGCCTGGGCGCAGACACTGCCGATAGGGCCGAACCCAGCTAGTAAATTGGACCACTTTACCGAGTATGCATTGCAAAAGTATCGTACGAGTATAAGTAGCATTACAAATTTCCCTAAGAAGAGAAACGCAATTTGTCATGCTGGATAAGGTAGACAGTTAGATTTGTCATGCGTAACTGCAATTCCCCTACGAGTGCGATACTTTTGCAATGCATACCGAGTCCACTTTACACCCAACCAGGGACGTGGTGACGATGAACCTCCGCAACGTCCGTGGTTCTATGGATTGCAGAAATGTCTGGGTCTGGAAGAATGCATGAGTTTGTCATGCAGATTTTGCATGACCCATGAGGTCTGTGATGCATGCCCTAGCATCAGAGATTTTGCGAGGGCTTTCTGATGCTCTTACCGCATGAGAAAAGCCCTCTCCGCATAGCACAAATGACACCTCTTTTGCTGTTCATGCAATACAGATTCTATGTAGAGTCCAAACGCAGCATCACAAGTTGCATTCTTCCAGACCCAGACATTTTTGCATTTGATAGGTTCCGGGCCCCGGCTGTTTCGCTTATAGAACTACTACTACGTACTAGGGGCTGTGATCATGAAACTCGTTGTCATTGAAGATGTTGCCTTCTGTAGGTTCATTTCTTTGAAATTGAGGGTGGCAGTTCTACAAGTCGCATTGGGCCCTTTACCGTGGTATGTTTCTAATACAAGCGACCCTTTCTAGTTCTACTACAAGAGGATAGCAGCTTCTGTATAAAGTACTATTCCATACCTACGATGAACAGCAATATTCTTTTACTGGTTCGTGTGCCAGGTAATCGTTTTGTGAGTTAAGGAGCGATGCGCAAGAACGTGCCTTATCGTTGCCCGAAACTGTATTGCAACAAGCAGAGAAAATTTTTGTACGATATAGTTGCAAACTACTTTGAACAAAAAATGTGACTGATGAAAAATGGTCACAAAAAGCCAAGAGCTTCTGGGCTCTTTTGCTAGCTCCTCGCTCCTCTGAAGAGCAAAATCACGACGTTCTAGATGTGTCGGTTGCGAAATCTGGTCGGTGATTAGAAACTGGGTGTATCAGAGATCGGATCACGTTTGAAAAACAAGCGGCAACGTGGAATAAGATTGAAGTTGATGAATATGTCCGTTAGAGGAATGTCTCGGTTCTCAAAGATCTCGTGGCCCACATGAAGAACTCCAAGATAAATCCTCAAAGAGATCCTCGATTATTGCACATGCGGTCCTCGAAGCGTCAAAGGAAAAAGCTACCGCGACAGACGAGGGTCACATGGCTCCAGGAACAGTAGTACCTCCCTACTTGGGAGCTGCAGTGAACAAAAATACAAGCACAGGCAGAAAGGAAGAGGGTGCTCAGGCGGCGCCAATGTCCGGTGAAAGTGGACCTCCTGGCACAGGAGATCAAAAACCGCTCGATGTCTCTGGTGGAGCCAAGCCACCCCCGCCGCAGCAGCCGGCGTATCACGGAAAAAACGAATTGTTGGACTATAACACGGTCTACAGAGCAACCCACATCAATCCCCTCGTCACGACCCGTGCGGACTGCGAAAAATACATTGCATTTTACGCCATCGGAGAGAATTTCGTGAAGGCGTTTTCTCGGGTGGGCATCACTGGGAAATTCGTGCAGGTTGCCGATTTTGAACTTGTGTATAGGGATGATGAAAGCTGCAGCGCTAGTATTCCGGTACTAGAAAGAACGAAGAAACCCAAGACGCTGGCGTGGGCGACAAGGTTTGTTCTTGAAGATAGTGGAACAAGTGTTTCCGGTTCTGGTGCTGAAAATGGCGATGGTACTAGAAAGAACCCCCTCATCCTCCTCCAAGATGTTGACGCGGACCCGAATAACAGAGAAAAAGACCTCTTCGTCCTCGACTTGTGCAACAGTAGGGAATATCAAATGCAAAAGTGTCTGGGGGTGGAAGGTCGAAACTTGTGTTGCTAACGTTGGACTTCAAAAAAATCTGTATTGCATGCCCAGCAAGAGGAGTCTAGTTTGTGCTACGCGGGGAGGGCATTTGTCATGCGGAGTAGGCATCAGGAAGCCCTCTAAAAATCTGTGACGTTAGGTCGTGCATTACAGACATCCTGGGCCATGCGAAATATGCATGACAAACCCGGCAACAATCCAGACCCAGACAATATTGCATTTGATAGGGAAGCACAAGCCGCACTTCCGCAAAAATCTCCGAGAAGTGCAGCCCCACAACTGAAGATCCACGATGAATCTACTACGCTTGGAAGATCCGTCGTCGTGTCTATTGAAACAACGAAAGAACTTTCCTTACCTATCAAATGTAAAAATGTCTGGGTCAGGAAACTCGTGATGCTGGGTGGCGTATCATGAGGATCCCGCAAGTGCTGGCTCAGCATGACAAGTTTCTGAGCTTCTAGGTGCTGTCTATTGTGCATGACAAACTGCGTTTCTGCATGACAGAAAAATGGCGCTCTTGGGTAACGTGCATGACAGATTCGAGAGTCATGCCAGACAAGCATGACAAACATGCATTCTTCCAGACCCAGACATTTTTACAATCCATATTACCCATGAACCTACAAAACCCCTGCGGTGCCATGGTGTCAGCAAGGAAACCGAACGTGATTTACGGTGCGGCCTTCGGGAAGGAAGGACTGAGTAGCGGGGTTTGGGTGGCTGAGATCATAAGTGGAAATAAAAGCGGAAAAAATAGTGAATTGTTAACCACAACGAAAATAACCGGCGCGAAATTGGCCCGGCCGGGGAATGATCAAGTGAACGACGGTTATTTTGGGCCACACCACGTGCACAACGTGCTGGTTTTGGATAAGCGAACCCCAGTACGGTGCGGAGGAGCACCCTCAACCGCAACATTCGGCGACGATATTCTCGCTTTCGATGTGGGCGACGGCATGGCACTTTCCTGGTCTGGGACGAGGAATAACCCTGCCGAAAACGGCGGGATTTACTCCGTGCAGGGTATGATTAACTTCGACCACACGGACGAGGGTCGTGATACGGTTACGTTACAGATGACGAAAATTTTGAGCAACTACCCGGTCCGGTCCATGGTGCAGGATTCTGAAGACAAAACGATACTCTACGCGATTACGCAGGAGCCACCTAATGTTCCGACGAGAGTTTTGAAGTTGAAACTGAAAGAACCGGTGATTTTTCAGGAATCCGACGGGAAGATGAAAAGTGTTGTAAAAAATGATTTTTCATCGTCCCAGCTAGAGATTTTGTCGGAGACTGAGTTACCGCTTCTAAACCCCAACGCCGAGGGCGGGGCGGACGTGGTGGCGGTGGATGGGAATTTGATCGTCGCGACAGATCGGGGAGTCCGCGATGGGAGAGAGAAAGGGAAGATCCACATGCTGAGATGGAACACAGCGGATAGCAAAGACCCACCGGAGTTTGTTTTCAGCACAGAAACAGATTTTCAACCAAGGCACACAACCGTTCTGGATGATCCGGTTGGAAGCGGGTCGTTTAGAAACAAAGGTGTGGAAGTTGATGATGTTACTGCAGTACATAGAAAAGTGATTGCAGTAGCGCACCAGGAAGGGAAGAGTGTGAGGCTTTTCAGTGCGGATCCGGCGGATAAGGGGAGGGCTTTGCAGGACATTGACATCGGGAAGCCCGTGATGTTTATTTTGCAGTAGATAGAAACAGAAAGGCTGTTTTCGAATTTTTGAGAACTACAAAATCTATTCACTTACGCTAGAGAAGCCTGATCCTTTGTCGCGGATTTGGTAAGTGCTATTGACAGTGCAGATGTTCCATGATTTTTTACGGAAGTGGCGCTCACAGATACGAAACATCATCTGTCTGTACTGAAGTTACCCGAAATAAATGAGAGCATTTAGTAGCAGACGAGAGAGACTGAGACTGTCTGCGTTCTTCAGTGAGTGGTGAGCCACAGCAGAAGGTTACGACGTCTTCATTAGACCAAAAGCAACAAATGGCAACCGTACTCTTTCATCAATTCTGTGTATCCAGTATCTTATTCCTGTACAATTGTTTCACGCGGCCGCATCTCGAGTTTTCAACACCTGTCTGCCCTGCGCAACAAGCTGACCCAAACAAGATGACGCTGACGCTGTCCAGGAACCGGATCAAATCGGTCTGCATCTTCCAATTTTCCTCTCTACTCCTCGGATTTTTCACCCCCACCTTCGCCAATGCAGCCCAGATCCAAAAGCAGAAGGTTACCGCGACTGCGAAAGCAACTATCTCCCACAACCAGAACTCGAAACACAAGGTGATTTCTGTCCAAGATCAAAAGAACGAAGCGACCGAGCAGGCGGTGCGTGAAATGACGGAAAAAGCCTACGAAAAGGCCGCGGAACGCGCCCGGAAGCACGAATTTCACACCTACGAGTCCGCGTGTGCCGCGTGTCGGACGACCCACCCGTACACGGAAAAATCCTGTCGCTACCTACCGGGGGTCGACAAGAAGAAGTTCCAGGCGGACATCTGCGAGGCCGCGAACTTATGCATTGCAAATATGTCTGGGTCTGGAAGAGTGGGACTTGTAATGCTGTCTGCGGATTCTAAAAATATCTGTGTTGCATGAGCAGCAAGAGGAGTCCAGTTCTTGGCACGCAGAGAGGGCATTTCTCATGCGTGATAAGCATCAAGAAACTCTCAAAAATCCTGTGATGCTAGGACCTGCATCAATGACCTCACGGATCATGTAAAATGCGCATGACAAACCCCGACTCTTCCAGACCCAGACATATTTGCATTTGATAGAACTGCCAAGAGAACGCGCTACAGTGCCCGCCAGCAACCTGGGCTGGGATGAGCATGGGAGGTGGGGCTACCGGCGGTGCGGCGGAAGCAGGGGCAGGGGGCGAGCCGGCTACAACTGCGCCGGATGCGGCAGCGGCGCGTGCTGGAGCGTTGCTGGCGAAGGAGAAGAAGTGAGCTGGAGAGGGTGGAAGGTGCTGTCTTTCTTCATCGACGTGGGGTAAGGACGATAAGGACGATATCGTCGTCAACATTAAAGTGATTTGCACTACTACGGCTGCTTCAGAATATTTGTTTCTTTGAGAATACAGACACGCGTTTTTTCGAATGATGGGGAAGATCCACATTACCACTGTAATGTTTCAAAAATGAACTAGCAGAACAAGAAGTAATCTGAGATTGTGTGCCTCAAGGGCTTTTAGGGAAAAACACGAAAGGAAGAAAAACGCGCGTATGGAGACCACGCCAGTTGGAAGAATTCTTGTGCTGTTCGTTCAATTCTTCTGGAAGGAGCAGCGACCACTGTCCTATCAGTCGCTGACTAGAAGTGTCATCTGTCGTTTCGCAACATCGGTTGTCCTCGTCCTGTGTCTGCTGTGTGTCACTTGTTTTTCCGTTATTTCCCTATCCCTGCTGCAGCTCCCCGATTTCACTACAAACGAGAGAGCTTTCTTTTCGTTCCCGGGATTTTCTCTGTCCTCTTTCAGAGAAAGTTCTACTAACATCACTTTGGCGCCGTTGCAATATCGAAATTGATACAGCACAAAAGCAAGATGGTCGAGCAGACGCAAGGTACTATTCCCTCGTCCGCTGAACAAGTTCAGCCTGGGACGGCACTGGACATGCTTGCAAATTTGCCACCAACGCCAACTTCCATTGCGGCGGACGATATCAGTATTCTTATGTGTTTATCGTGCATTTTTATGGACAGACACAGAAGCAGAACTATGCATGTGCATCATGATCATACATACGATACTCACAACAATTTGCAATGCATGTTTTACAGCATAAAAGTGTAAGGCCATAACCACCACAGGTCTTCACGCCCTCTCCTTTGATGACGCGACCCTCCGCGAAGCCAACGTTCTAAACCCCGACTTAGAATTGCAGAGGCAGGAGAGGGAGGCGCAGCGGAAGAAAATTTTTCAAAAATTGAAGCAGGACGCGGACGAGTTTCTGAAAAAACCGTTGGACGAAATTGCCGCGGAAATTCGGAAAGTGGATGTTAGACAGTACTTGTTTTTCGCACTGTGTTGGATGAATACCAATATGGTCCTCGTGACACTCACGCTAAGTAACAGAACTACAAACTGAAAAAATGGGCTTGATGTCATGGCTTACCTCGCTTCTGAGATTCATTGTCAAAACACGACGTTCAGGCTCACCGCCACCTCTGGCAACGATGGGGAACTACACCTACCGACGGCCACAACCTCCCTGACCCTCCCCGACCCCAGAATTACGGGTACTAGTGCCTCTCCTCTCTCCAAGTTGCGAATCAGCAGCGCCGGGCAGGTCTTGCTTGAGAAACTGGATGAACTGTTTCCGAAACATGAAGAGGAGGCGAGGAGGAAGCGGTTTATGGAGTTAGCGAAAGCTACTGCTGATACAGCTCAGAACTCTGGGATCCACTCGAAGAAGAAGAGTTCTAGCAAAACTACCGGCAGTAAAATAACGGCTGCTGGAGGTAATCAACATGCAGATAAAGATGCAAAGGATCTACAAAAAGACGAGCAGCCGGAACTTCTAAAACAGTATGAGGAGGAGCGGAAGCAGCATTTTCTCCGGGTAAAACCAACCCCCGGGTTTTTCTTCGAGGAAACCACGGATGAGAAGCTGCGCAGACGGTTAGGGAAGGTGTATTCGAAGAACCGGTACAGAAAGGGGAAAGAATCTTCTATCAGCAAGACCACGAGCAAAACGAGCAATAAGAACGACGAAGACTTCGGCGACGTGTCAGATGCAGAGGTGAGGTCTGGTGGGGAAGAAGAAGTTAAACCACCAGGAATATCAAATGCAAAAATGTTTGGGTCTGGAAGGATGCGAACTTGTGATGCGCATTTCACAACACAGACAAATCTCTCTTGCATAGGCAGCAAAAGGCGCCCACTTCCTGTCACCAAAATGGGGGATTTGTCATGCGGATTAGGCAATGCGGAAGTTTCTCGAAATCTGTGATGCTAGGGCTTCCATGACAGACATTTTGTTTCATGCAAAAACAGCATGACATTGTTCCAGACCCAGATATTTTTGCATTTGATAAGGAATATCAAAACCAAGAAAAGAGTTCGAGATCGACTGCCCTTCCGTCGGGAAAATCACGGGTTTGTCGAAGTTCGCGAGGATCTATGAGAGTGGACAACCCCCCCCCCTCTTCCGCATTTGTATGGCATACACAGCAATACAAACACCAGCAAACGTGGAGCCTGTGCATGACAAATTTATGCGCCTACTGTAGTACTGTTTGAGGTTCCGGAAAAATCTGTCATGCAAAGAGTGCCACAGGGCAGCACTTGGACTCGGGGTTTTGCATCACAAATGAGGGGAAGGGGGAGCTGTGCACTCTCATAGGATCATTCTGGACCGCATCCGTTTACGGACGGAGAAGGAAAGTTTAGCCGGATTTTCCTTGGTGAGGACGGTCAACATTAACCCGGAGATTAATACTACTACTAGCCGGGTGGTTACGCCAAGAACTGCTGTTGGTGGGACCACTGCTGGGTCAACAACACCGATGATGAATATCAACCCTGCGACAGCAATATGCATTGCAAAAGTATCGTACTCGTATAAATGCATTACAAACTTCCTCAGCATGAGAAATGAAATTTGTAATGCTGATTTACCTATAAGAAAAAGACTTGTGATGCATGATTACAATACGAGTACAGTGCGATACTTTTGCACTGCATAAGCCAAGTACAAGCTCCACCACAGTCAGCTTGGAGAAGTGGACTCGTATGATATCAACTGCAAATATGTCTGGGTCTGGGAGAATGCCAGACTTGTCATGCAGGTTTTCCATGACCCAGGACGTCTGGTATGTAGGACATAGCATGACAGATTTTTTGAGAGTTCTATCATGCCTATCCTGCATGAGAAACTGCCTCGCGATTAGCTCAAAAGTGGACAGCTTTTGGTAATCATGCAACACAGATTTTTTACATGATTCAGATTTAGCATGATAAGTTGGTTCAATCCAGACCCAGACATTTTTGCATTTGATAGGTGAGAAGCGGAGACAACTGTTTTCGATTGACGAGGAAAACGGAGACGAACAAGCAGGCACAACAACTTCAAATGCGATGAACGTGAACACAAACCCGTACATGACGGGAGTGAGAACTTATGCGAGGATTTTAGAACTTCACAAGGAAGCCAGGACAAGTCAACGGGGGTTTGGTGGAATGGCGAGCGCTGTCTCATCGAAGAATTCCGTGGCTTCTTCTGCGCAAAATTCGAAAAATACATCCGGACATCATGAGGCGAAGCCAGCTGGGAGTGGTGCAGGTGGAGTCACTGCTGCCGCTCCTGGAGGCGCTGTTGCTAGTACAACGACCGTCAATCCGGAAATAAAACGGCCGGTACCCCCAGCGATTTCGACCACAGCTGCTAGTACAACCGGAAACAAGGAAACCGAAACAACCATACGAACACCGTCTTCCAGCGAACAGGTCACGTCGACCAATGCGAATGGTGCTGCATCAAAACATGCCTCGGCAGTAGTTCCAACGACCACGCTTTCCACTTCCAACGGCAGCGCTGCGATTACGACGAAACCTTTGTCCAAACTGCAGCAGAGAAAGTTAATCTCCTCTTCCGCAAGTTCTTTTTCTCCAACCTCAGCAGATGGGACAACAACTGCAGCGGGCTCTGGCACCAGTAAAACCTTCAGCGCACCACCGCAGGGAACAACCTCGCTCAGGAAGGATGCTTGTGCTGCAAGTACAATCAGAGCTCAGGATGCGCCTGGTGTTCTCGACGAGTCCAAGTCAGAGGAAGCCAGTGTTTATCCTGAGTAAAAACATACCCACACCAGAGTCAGGATGAGGATTTTGCAACACAAACCGAGGAGTTTTGTGAGTCACGCATGACAAGTTGCACTATGCAGTGTAGTGCAGGTTAGCAAGTGCAGCCGCGTCACAGATTCATCTGCTCATCCTGTTCACAGCATCACAAATTCCAAAACACGACTGGAAATGGCTCTCATGGGGATGCGCATTACAAGTCTTCCTGTCTTTGCAAATCTGCATTACAACTCTGGTGTGGGTACTTTTTTACTCAGGATAGTGTTGCCGAGGACAGCAGTATGATTTCTCCTCTTATGCATTGCAAATATGTCTGGGTCTGGAAGAATGGAAGCTTGTCATGCTTGTCTCTCATGACTCCTAACTGTCTGTGATGCATGACCAGGATGAGAGTCTCTTGCTTCTCATGCAGAAGCGCAGTTTGCCATCCATAACTTGCAACACATTAGCAGCTCAAGAACTTGTCATGCTTGGCTGCGTATTGGAGTGCGTCCACCAGTCCCAAGCCAGCATCACAAGTTTCCAGACCCAGACATAGTTGCAATTCATACCTCTCGGCGCGGTCGCCTACACCACCGCGAACGCGGTCAGTGTTAGTGCCGTTGCGGGAGCGGCGAACAGTGCGGAAATTATGTCAAGGGTTGACAATAAAACAGCTACGACTGCTCGTACTTCTCAAGCTGGCACAACTCCTCAACAAACCACACCCAACCCCTTTATCGGAAGTAACCTAGCGAATTCCCGACCGCGATTGACTGGCTCAATTCTCGCGCCGGCGTCCAGCTCGACCTCCATGCCGTCGCAAATTTCGCAGTTTCACATATCCCGGGAAAGAATCCCCCCTCCCCATATCGAAAACGTATCCGTCTGAAAATTTGTGATGCGCATTTGTGACCTCAAATCCTGTCTGTCTTGCAAGAAGGCAAGTCCAGAAAGCGCTCCGCGTTTTGCAGGCGGTTTGTGATGCTGTTGGGCTTAGAGCATACCCGTTTGCCATGCTAGGAGCCTACGTCAAAACCTCTCGACAGGGGCTTGGCATATGCCTGCAGTCCTCTACTGCAAGACAAATCTGATTTGTGTACGGAAATCCAGCATCAGAAACCTCGTTTCGATATGGGGAGGGGGGATTTTTCCTTTTGATGTCACAGCACGAAAAATCGGGTGGAGCAGCACGATGTGACGTTGACGTCTCCCGTGGATAACAATCCGTCTTCGGTTAATATCGGTTCTTCTGGCGCTGGTAATAAAAATAATTCCTCTGCGTTTTACTCAGGTGAATCGGGTAAGACAAATAAAAGCAGCGCGCCTAGTCCGGTAGAGTCCAATCCGACGCCAGGGTCCTTTTATCACGTTGGTAGTGGGAATGGAAAGACCTCCGAGGGTGGTGGGGCTTTGTGGATTAGCACGCCGACAGATGACGTCAGCGGCGCAGGCGAACAAGTAGACGTCCTGGGACGTCGCACAGGGGCCACGCCGGTAGAACAAGCCAGGGCGGTAGTGTTCCCTGGAGCAGCTGGTGATGCGGCCGGTATTGCTTCCGCGGAGAGAGGACAAGATGAACAACCTCCAGCAGAAATACAAGAACCAGCTGCACTCACGTCAGCAGCGGCTGCTCAGCACGGAAAAGAACGACCGGCGATGGCGATCTCTGTCCCAGAACGGTTTTTGCCGACGAGCAACAATTCCATGGGGCGAATGCAGTTTGGGGCTGGTAGTCTGTTGCAGCAGAATGTTGACGCGAACCAAATCCTTGCTGCTGGTAGCTCTGCCTCCTCTAGCGTTGTTGCACCCTTATCTTCTGCAACATCAACGGGTGGTGCAACACCCAGCTCCACCTCCGGCCGCCCGAACTACCGCACGCCGAATACCACGACCGGACCACAGCCGTTTTCGTTTTCAATGCAACCGAGAACGAGCGCTGGGTCTTCTACTACTTCAAACGCGAACTCACCCTCATCCTCGCAGAAGCCTTCAATATCATCTTCTTTCGCAGACAATCTGAATGGAGCAGCAGGTGGAGCGGCTTCTTCTGGGAGTAGTAGTACCAATGCCGCTCTACTCAATAACAGTAATCTGTTGCAGCAAACCCAAACAAGCCAGAGGCAGACGCAGATGCAGTTTTTGACTCAGACACCCAGTCACGCCTTGACGCTGAACAACGCGGCTAGGATGAATGTCGTGGAACTAACGACGCCGACACCGAAGAACAGTGTGACATCAAACACAGGCTCGAACAATGCTGGAAGCAGCAATGCAGGAGTTGCGCAGCAAGGACAATCGCAAAACCTCTTCGAACAGCAACAGAACCTGGCTTTGAACAGTGGCAGAGGGATATCCAAGAAAAAAACTGTGTTAGTGTAACTTTCCTTGGCTGACAGCATCACAAATTTGGTCTACATGACAGCGAAAACCTGTCATGCGTGGCTTGTAAGGGAAAATACACACGAAAAGAGGGCTTCATGGCTGTCTGGCATGACAGGTGTAACTCTGTTGCATGTTCTGCATTACAAAGTTACACTTACGCAGTTTTTTTCTTGGATAAGGGAGTGGTGGGAATCATCTTTCTGGCGGTTTTTTCGGACAACAGCAACACCTGCAGAGGAACTTCGGCATGCCGATGGCGCAATTTGCAAATCCCCAGCAGCAACAACAGCAACTTCACGAAGAGCAACTTATGATGGAGCAGCGCTACGGTGTGGAAAGTCCGAATCCGCCCGCGCTATTGAGAGGAAAAATCCCCCCTCCCCATATCGAAAAGATATGTGTCCGAAAATTTGCGTTGCTGATTTGAGACCACAAATCGCGTCTGTCTTGCAAGGAGGCAACGCCACAAGCTCCGCAGCATTGTGCAGGCGGTTTGTGATGCTGATGCGCCTACAGCACGCACGTTCCTCATGCTAGACGCCTAGGCCAAAACCTCTCTACTTAGGCTTAGTATGGGCATTCATTTCTCTCCAGCAAGACAGAGCTGATTTGTGTACGCAAATCCTGCATTGAGGCTTCGTTTTGATATGGGGAGGGGGGATTTTTTTTTTTCCTTACAATATGCGCCGGCTCTTGTTCCTTCTGGCGCAATATACGGACAGCAACCACCACCCGCCGCCGCCGCCGCAGCCGGCTCACTCTTGCCGCAGCGAAACCGCACCCTGGCCGGGTTTAAGCTTTCGGGCGACATCGATTTGAAGGGGTTCATTGCGGAGGAGGCGCAGAAGGAACAGCACCGGCTGCACCCGTTTCGAAACGTGCAACCGCAATTGACCATGCCGGTCATGCCGAAATTAGGGGGTGCGGGTGCCGGTGCTGCGGGGAACATGCAACAACCGCACGGGGGAGGTGGTGGTGGTGGAAATGTTAGTAACTAGAGGATTACTTCTTATCCTCCGGCGAGAGGAGGTGTGATTTGCGGGTTGGAAGACTGAGTCACCCTTCGGCATGCACTTCTTTGTACTGAGGTAGGAAAAGACATCAATGTTGAGAACATGAAAGTAGTAGGAGCGGCGTCTTCTTTTCGAGGTGCAGATCTGATGCTGATCTTACAGATGGTTTAGCAAATAAAGAATTTATGATCTTGTTTGATCTGGATTAAACCGCAGCGAATGTTGGAAGTGTGTTCACCCGATGCGGCACGCAAGCGCTGTTGTCTGTCATACAAGAAAAAAGATTGCACCATCTACATGCGCTGCGATCTGTGTGGCGAGATGGCGCAGCAGATCCCGCAATGAGCATCAAAAAAAAGCCTCCAGCAGTGCCACGGCATCCAGCGGGCCAGGTGTCTGCCGTGCTTTTGTTCGAGCGGTGGAGAAGTGCCCGGGCGCAGTTTCGAAGGTTGCCAAGGCCAGAGGAACGGCAACGCGCGGCGCCGCAACTGGGGCCCGTGCCGGAAGCGCCTGCCGCCATTCTGTGAGCCACCCGGGCCGAAGGAAGGCTTGCCGTGGTTGTAGGTGGTCGGGCCCGTTGATAACGAAAACGCGCCACCGGCCGGAAAGCGGGACGGCCGCGCGCCTGCGCGTTCGTCCTGGACGCAAATCTGCCCGCGGCCATCCAGAACCTACTTGCAGCAGGGCCAGGCTCTCTGTGTTCTCTCTGTCCTTGGGGGAGGGGTGGCCGACTATTGGCAACAGGACACCCGCCGGGGCCGGGTCTGCATGATCCCGATCCTGGTAATCGGACGCCGCGCGGGCGACTCCTTTTAGACTTACCCCGGGCGGCGGGTCCGTGGGATCGTGTGGGCGCCCTTGTGGATGGGGGCTCTTGCGGTCGTGGCCAAGCTGGTCCGCCCGCAGTTGCAGGCGCTGCGGAGCAGGGCCCGCAATGCTGGCGCTGCGGCGTTTGGGGGGCCCGCGGGGAGTGGGCGCAGCGCCCCGCGCCGCACCGCAAGAAGACGGCGGGCGCGCTGGGGACCAAGCGGAGCTACACAGCTCTTCGACGAGCCCGGCATCACAGACGAGGCGCGCCCCGGGCCAACCGCAGGCGGCCGACCTCGCTACGCCGCGCACCAAGCCCGGCAGCCTTGCTTCGGGCGGCGCACGCTCGCGCCGTCGCGCAATTGCCCGGCTTCCTGCGCGCGCGGCGCTTCTCGGGCCCCTTGTTGGCACGCTTGCCCGCCAAGCTTTGCCCTTGCTTCGCCCCCTTTTTCGGGCCTTGGCAGAAGGGCAGCAGCCCATCGGGCCGGGCGTTCTGCAGTCTGGCGCGGCAGGGCGCCACCTAGCCGCGCACCGCCGGCCGGGCGGCCGGCCAACCAAGTCCGGGGGCGGGCCGGCCGGGCGCCCCGTCATGTTTGGGGGCCCCTTTTGTTTTTGGAAGGATCCGATCGGGCCATTTCGGTTGGTTCACATTTCACACGCTTCCTTGTCAGGTTTTATTTGACTTGCCGGCCGGCCGCCCGGGCTCGACTCGCTCATCGTGTTCGGACGAGGTGGCGGCCGGATGCCGTTCCCACAGATGGACAATGAAGCGCAGCGAGCCCAAGGGTTGCATGGCTCTGGCTATCTGATTCTGATCCACTCCCTTATATGTAGTTGGCAAAGGGCAGTTGCCTGCTACTGCTGCGGCATCGGCTGAACGAGTCGACGTGGCGCTACATGTATTGCAATTGCATATGAACAACAGCGCCGGCTGCTGAGTATTTGATGTTCATTTTTTGCCCTTCATCAGCATCATACTTGGATGATAATTCATCCTTTCATGTGTAGCGATCGTATTTGAGCTTGAGTGCCATTATATTGAAGATCACATCATGGATATGGATTTTGAGATTTACATGTGAAGAAGCGGGAAGATAGTGATAGATCTACGTTACCTAGACCTAGAGAGTCTTTTCGAGTCTCCGGCGTATGCCTTCAGAACGAAGGTCAGTCAGGGTTGAAGTCACGCAGCAGCAGCGCTTGCGTGTAACTCGTGTTGCATGCCGTTCGCACTATAAGCTCAGTCTCAGTCTTTCTGTCACCATCATGATTGAAGTTTGAATCTGCAGAGTACGACTTTATTTGAGCGCTACAAGAGCCACAATTTACATTTTTCCGATCACTCGCGCTACGAAATCGAAACCACGCCTCCATGATAAACGCACATTAGCCACCGCCCCGTGGTAAGGGTCTTTGTCAGGACATGAGTACATAATTTATTACACGTTTAGCAGAGATAGAACATGCTTTCTGTACAGCAAGCATCTGCCTCATCTTGTGTCCCAGCTGCGCAACTCACGCGATGCCAGCCCTGGACATTTTTTGAAGAAGCAGCCCGCGAACCACCGCTCGCGAGGATGAGACCCGTTGGAACAAGGATGAAGGAAAGATGCGGAATTCCGCGGAAAACCTGTGCAGTAGTGCGACGCAACTGCGCATCAAAAGCCTACCTTTGCTCGGTTGCAACAAGTATAATTGCAACAGCTGTGACATCAGCTGCAACCGCAGCAACAGAAAACGACGCTGGTGTGAAATTTCCTGCGACCTCCACCCCATCCGCAGTTACCTCCTACCGAGCAGAAGCGTTACCGACCAGCAAGACCGAAACCTTCAATTCTTGTTTGGTTGAAAACGAAAAGCACCCCCTGCTTCCCCCGCACCGCAAAACCGCAACGAGAAATTTTGAAGACGAGTGTGCAGCCTGGGTGATCCGGAGCACCGATTTAGTGTGGAACAAGGAAAGGGACTACTCGATTTATGAAGCAGGTGATGAAGGTGAAGCAGAATTTGAGTTCATCAAGCAGCAAACTGAAGATAGCAGCAACTACATGAATTCAGATGAAGCAAGATTTCCTACTAGCAGCACCACACGCACAGTCAGTGCATCTGCAGCAACTACAACCGCGATTGCTCCGCCAGAGCAGGAAGCGGCGCTGCAGCTGTTGGAAATGAACACTTCTAAAACTAGCAACCCCGCCTCCACGAAGACGAAAGGCACTTCCTCACCACAAAATCAAGCATCACGATCCGAAGATATTATACCAAACCACACATCCCGCGCCCTGAACTTTCTAACCCACAGAGACAAGTCGTTGAAACTGCACCCGAAAACGGAGTTGGATTTAAACGCGGTCTTGGCGGAATTTTTCTACGTGGACTGGACGTCGCACAGCTCGTTCGGGCAGGTGACGATATGCACTGCAAAAGTATCGTATTAGTGTATGTGTAAATCGCATTACAAATTAGCCCAGCATTAGAAATGAAATTTGTCATGCTGATTTGCCTTGAGATGGAGATTTGTAATGCATGACTGCGATAATTTATTACAACTACGAGTGCGATACTTTTGCACAGGATAGACGAGTGGGTTGGTGAATTTGAAGAAGTTGGTGGTGATGACGAAAAGAAGTTTTACCAACGCCGATATGAAGATCCACATCTCAGACGCAGCGTGCACAGGGAACGACGTTGACGGATACAAAACCATGATGCCCGATGTGGTGGTCGGGGGGATAGGAGGTAGAGGGAGAACTACAGCTGGAGGTCGTGGATCAAAGGTTCACCGGGATGAATCCACTACTACCATGAGCGTCGTCCCTCTGGAGCAGCAGTACTTCCCAGGAACGAGAACCGTGATGGTGAAGGGGCCACCAGAGGAGCAAACGTCTCCTGGCAGGAGGGATAATAGTGGTGGAACCGGTACCGGTGATGACCAAGACCAGAAGCTGCACAGGACGTTGCCAGCGCCAGCTGGAAAGATAAAACCGCCCCCACCAACGCGTGGTGGTCCTAGTCAACGAAAAGACGGCGGAAATTATAGTGATAAAGCCACTGCATCTCCAACTACATCAGCAAATAAAGGAGGAGCGCAGCCTGGAGGACACGACATAAAGGAAGACAAAAAGCCGGACAATTACATCTACTACCAGGGCTCCGCGATGTGCTACGTTCAGTACGTCCCGCCCTTCGGCTACCAGTACATCGCGGAGTGGCTGCTGCATGACGAGCTCTCCGCGGTGCAGCAGGTCATTTCCTCTTCCTACGAAAACGACGACGAGGAAAATCTCCAGCCCGACGAGTTCCGGTTCCCGAGCGAAAAGCACGTCTTGCCCAACCAACGTTGTCGACTGAACTACCCCAGTTGGGGCTGGAAACCGGGGGAGGAGGTCGTGCTGGCATCGCGTGGGGTGGTGTCGGGGAGGAGACGAGAGGTTGATGCTCCACAGGACGAGATGGTGGAGGGGGATGAGCAGATTACATCAGGTCCTGGTATTACCAGGAGTAGGAGTAGAACTGTTGGTGAGACGATCAAGAACGAGCATGCTGTCGTGGACGGACACGAGACGTCTAGTAGAGGATCACCAGCATCAGCAGCTTCCAGTGCAGCTGAGGAACGGGGAGAAGAGGCAGCCGTGGGGATGACAGGAGGGAATAAAGAACAGGGGAGGAGTTCCAGCTCGTTCTTAGATAGGATGAAGTTGGGGCTGGAGAACGCTATGGAAAAGTTTGAGATGTGAGTGCACCAAGTAGTTGCTGTTGTAGTCACGACAAGAACGCTCACGTCAGTATACAGATGAGGAGTTGAAGCAATGATACTTTGGGTGAGATTGAACGAGAAATCGCGTGCCCGAGAAGCGATAAAGCCTCGAATTTTTTTTCGAACTACAGGACTTGGCGGCTTAGAAATTTTCTGCGGCGCCGTGAGAAAATGGAAATGCACGCGGGCGAAAATCGCAATGTTTCAGTTTTTCGGTGTTCATCCAAACAAAGGCTGGGGGTTCGGCTCGACGACCTATTTGAATGCTTTTTAGTTTGAAAACCCCGATCACGGAAGAGCGAAAGCGCCCCCGCGCGCCGGCTTCCCGACTCGGGCGCGCAATCGCTTGGCCCACGAGGGCCGCGAAAGAGGGCGCGGGACGTCGGCCAGATGATGGCAGGCCCCAGCGGGGGCGACGCCCGCGGCCGCACGCTGCGCCCGCCGCCCGAATCGCGCCAGCCAGTGGCAGGCAGTGGCGCCCCGCCGGTGGTCGGCCCGCGCCCGGCGTGTAACTTTGCGGCCGCCGCGGAAGCGCGGCCGGCCGGCCGGCACCGCCGTGCGGCTGCCCTATATTAGGCGCAAAGCGCTCGCCCTTCACGCAAAAGCTCGGCCGCGGCGTGATCCACGGCGATGCGTGTTCTCGTGAGTGATCCCGCGGGCTTTGTGGTGCGCCCGTGCGGCAGCAGTCCGGCAGATGCTTAGCCGCGGCGGGCGCCAGTCCTGTGGTGTGTTTGTTCCTGCCATTGGCGCGGCCCTTGCTGCCGTGCTGCCTTGGCTCCGTCCCTGGCGCGTGGCCCGCCCCGTGCGTGCGTTGCTTCGGGGGCCCGGCGTTTGCCGGCTCGCCTGCTGTCTTTGCGCCTACCTAGCCAGCCGGGGCCCCCCCGGCCGCGGGCCAATTTGTTTGCCTGCCTTGTGCTGCCCGGCGCGCCCTTTGTCGGTGTTGCCGGCTGCCTGAATCGCAGACACCGGCGCCGCCCAGCTACAGCACGCAGCGAGCCCCGCCCGGTCGGAGGGCGTCATCAGTGCATAGGCCCGCCACGTGGGCGGTGCCGGCCCCGGCTGGCCCTCTTTTGCGCGGCTGCCTCCTCGCGCCCCGCACGCTCCGTGGTGCTGCGTTCGATTCGCCTCTCTACACTACTCAGCAGGCGAACGTGGCGGCCTGTCCTTTGTCTGTGTGCGTGGGCATGGTTTGTGGCTCGCTAAGCGGGCTGATGTGTTTTGGCTTTTCTATCTCTGTCCAGCGCCTTCTGAAGTGTTGGCCGGCCGCTGGCGAGTTAACTGTCTATGACCTCGCGTTCCTGAGGATGGTTTCTATCCTGTAAGCATGCCCCACCAAGTGTTCACGGGTGTGGCCTTTATCCTTTCCTTGGGTGAGCGTGAGTGCCACGGCGGCTCCGTATTCGTACGCCTGTATGCTTATATTTGGTTGCGTGGGTGCTAGGTCCTTGCGTGTTGTGTGCCTATCTAGAACAGTCCTTGTTTCGTACGCCGGTTCTTCCTCATTGCACGCAAAACCGGAGCAATGTCTCAATACAATACACACGAGTTCTTGTCATGATCTGCGTCGTCCCTCGCACTGTCGTCGTTGCGGCCCTTCCAGGGCCCAGCCGAAGTGGCTGCCGCAAAACTGGTTTACCGTCTCGCCGCTTGATAGGCCACCATCTCCCATCACCGCGGCCCGACTCAGTGACCGCTGCGCCTGTGCTTACAAGCCTCTGCTACAGCAGCTCTCGGAACAAGGAGTTCGGTTGCGGTAGTGTATCAGCATTACGTGGTCCACCGATGCGAGCAACTATGGTTCGGTTCTCCGTGAATGCAAATGCATCCAGCTCCTGCGGTTCGACGTACGCCCCCATCGGAGAACGGGCACGCGGACGAACGGCACTTTTGAAGACTTCTCCGCCCCGGTCGGTGCTGTTAAGTCGTGGAACATCAAGCGTTCCGAGAGCATCAGCACTACTTCAGCTACTTCCGCAGAAGCCGCCACGTCCAAACACTGGCACTGCAACTGACAGCAGCAAGAACACCCTTTTCAAAAATAATCACCAACTCCGCCATTTCTCCCGGTGCCAGCGCATCGACCGCCAGCGGGTAGAACGGAAGTCCCGCGCCGAGTACCTGCATCGAAAATGGACCAGTCCCGACGTGCACTACGGTATGCTGAACCGGCTCCGCTTGACCCGGTGGGGCTGGCAGTACCGGGCGGAGTCGTTTCACGCCGGACAACGAAGGTTTTTGGACCACGATTTCAAGAAACGGAGACGGAAAATCAAGTACCTGGACCGACACCAGGGACAACGGGTAATCCGACGGTGTTGTCCGATGTTGACGCTGAAATACTCGGATCCACCGATTGATCACAACGCCAATGTTAAGAAATGCAGAGAGACAATTGGGCGATTTTTCGCATAGGAGAAAGAACTTCTACAGAGCACTTTGCTTTACAGTTCTTGGCATCATCAGTTCTGATGAACGTCGAGGTTTTTCCGAATGATCAGAGTTCTAATTCGGTATAGGATACTGAGAAGAAAAGCCGGATGTTGCACGCTGCTACGGTGTTTCCATTCTACTGCGATGTGGGTCCTTGCCATTTGCTCAGATTCTTTTCAGTCCACGTAGAGTAAAGAGTTTTTGTTTGTTTTTTTCTGATTGTCCAAGTGATGTTGTGTCACGAGGTACTACTAGGACAGCCACACTTCTTTCTATACGGATCAAATTTTCTTCCCGAACTCTTCGGACTTTTTTCACATGAGAGACAGACACCCACCTCCTTCTGAGAGTTGAGGGAGAACGAAAAATGTCGCCTAGAAGAAGATCCAAAGTGATGTAAGTACTTATCAGAATTTATATCAGACGCACTTTATTAATCTTACAAAAGAAACCGAAACCATGTCGCAACTCGTGAAACTCGCCACGTGCAACTTGAACCAGTGGGCCCTGGATTTCGACGGAAATTTGCAGCGGATCAAGGATTCCATTCTCCAAGCGAAAAGTCAAAACTGCAAGTTCCGCCTCGGGCCGGAGTTGGAAATTCCCGGGTACGGGTGCGAAGACCATTTTCTGGAACTGGACACGATCAAGCACAGTTGGGACTGTCTCTGCGACTTGCTGCAGGATGATACGACGGACGGAATTCTCTGCGACATTGGCATGCCGGTGCTGCATCGGGACGTCATTTACAACTGCCGAGTGTACGTGCTGAATAGGAGGATTCTAGGTATAGATACAAAGATTCAGACTTAAAAAACAATTGATTCGTACATGTCATTGTTGCTCTGCAAGACCGAGTTGTTTTGTCATGCTGATTGCGCAGAGTATCGAAAAAAGAAAAACCACTCCTATACCAGGTATCCGTCCCAAGATGTACCTGGCGAACGATGGGAATTACCGCGAAACCAGGTGGTTTACTGAATGGTACAACGCGGAGAATACCACGGAGCTTGAGACCTACTATCTCTCCAACACCGTTCTGAAGAGACTTCCCAAGGACCACGTAAAGCAAATCCCGATCGGGATCTTCGTCCTCCGGTGTCACAACTGCGTGATCGGCGCGGAGACGTGTGAAGAGCTCTTCACCCCCGATTCTCCACATATTACGATGGGTTTGGACGGAGTACACATCATCACGAACGGGTCGGGGTCGCACCACCAATTGAGGAAGCTGAAGTATGGCGTTCTCAAACGTTACTTACGCTCTCAACTGTCACATGAATTTGTAATGCAAGAATGGCAAGAAAAGTAAAAAGGGGGTGGGGCTGCTGCTGCACCTATAGCATTACAAATTCCGCACAGATCTAGGTGCCATTCAGCCCTTCACAGATTTGTCATGCGAAGCAGCTTGATCGTGTGGATGATGGTGGTAGTTTTGCATGACAAACTCATGCAACAGTTAAGAATGTAACGTTTGAGAACCTCATATGAAGCAACGGGTGGATTTGATCCAGTCCGCCACGGCAAAGTCTGGCGGGATCTACTTGTATGAACTGCAAATATGTCTGGGACTGGAAGAATGCAAGTTTGTAATGCTTGTCTGGCATGACTCTTAAATCTGTCATGTACGTTACGCAAGAGCCCCATACCATTGTTCTGTCATGCAGAAACGCAGTCCGTGATGCAGAATAGAAGGTCAGAGACTTGTCATGCTGAGCCAGCACTTGTGCCCTCCTCCTGATACGCCCCTCAGCATCACAAGTTTCCGGCATCATATTTGCACTTCATAACTTGTACGCAAACCAGCTCGGTTGCGACGGCGGCCGGTTATTCTTTGACGGGTGCTGCATGATACGCATTGCAAAAGCATCGCACTAGTATGCCTTGCATTACAAATTTATTTATCTGAAGCGAAATTATGAAGATTGTCATGCTGATCACGACACTTGGGAGAGTGATTTGTCATGCAATAATGCAGTGAGTACGAGAGCGATGCGTCTGCACTGGATACATGATTTGGGAAAACGGGCATTTAATCGCGCAGGGGTCGCAGTTTGACATGTGCGAGGTGGAGGTGAAAACGGGTATCCTGTGTAAAAACGTCCCCGCCCCAGAGTTGTAATGCAAATCCGCAAGCCTAAAATGTCTCTCATGCGCAGCCCCATGACACCCATTTTCTAATTCTATCTGGGAGTTTGTGATGCTGGAATCATGATAAGGAAGTCAATTTGTCATGCTAATGCGCTAGCTAAAAAGGATTACACTACGAGCCCAAAGAACTTGTCGTGCTCGGCAGCCAAAACTTGGAGATTTGTGTTGCAGATTTGCCAACTTGACTAGGGGGTCGGGACGTTTTTGCTCAGGATAACGGGGGTGGTGGATTTAAACGCCGTCCGGTCGTTCCGGACCAGTTTTAAGTCCCGGTCCGTCCAGGCGAGCCACAACAAGACGAAATACCAGCGGATAGACGTGGACTTTTCCCTAGTGGATGAAAAATTGGCGCTAAACCTCGAGAAGTCACCGTACTTGAAGGAAGTCTTTCTGCACACACCGATGGAAGAAATTGCGTACGGGCCGTCAGTATGAACTGCAAAAGTAGCGTTGTCGTATAAATGCATGATTACAAATTCCCTCAGCATGAGAAATATAATTTGTAATGCGGATTTACCTTAGCAAAAGGATTTGTTGTAATTCATGACTGCAATACGAGTGCGACACTTTTGCACAGGATAGTCGGCCTGGCTTTGGGACTACTTGAGACGGTCGAATCAAAGAGGGTATTTTCTCCCTCTGTCCGGCGGCATGGACAGCAGCTCCACGGCGTTGTTGGTGGGAATTATCCAAGAAAAAAACGTTGTTAGTGTAAATTTGTGATGCGCAGCATGCAACTTGATTGCATCTGTCATGCTGTGCCTGCATTGTGGGGCCCATCCAAGGGCGTTTTCGCGTACTATCTGCGCATGACAGGTTTTTACTGTCATGCGAGAGATATTTGTGATGCTAATCCTCCAAGAAAGTTACACCTACAATCTTTTTTTCTTGGATAGGAATCATGTGCCAACGACTGTTCACCGGGATAGTGGAAACTACAGATGTTCTTGCGAATAAGTCTTCACAATTAGGAGGAACAAGAGCTGCACCAGACGGGACGACGGTGATGTTGAAACAAACCCCAACCGCGAATCTCCTGCTAAAAGAACTCCGGCGGATCATCAAGCAACCGGATTTCGTCCCAAAATCCGGCCAAGACATCTGCTCCCAATTGTTTTTCACCTGCTACATGGCCAGTCAATATTCCGGGAACGAGACGCGGCGAAGAGCAAGGGAGGTTTCCGCGTTGATCGGCGGAAACCACACGTCGATCTTTATCGACAAAGTCACGGACGCGGTGAAACAGGTTTTTTCCGAGATGAAGCTGGAAGCGGATAGCGCGAAGAGTATGAAGATGAAAACGCCGAACATGGGCGCTTCCGCTGTCGAAAACCTCGCGCTACAGAATATTCAGGCCCGGAGCCGGATGGTGATGGGGTATTTTTTGGCGCAGCTTTTGCCCTGGCAGTACCAGGATGAAAAGGACAGCGCGAAAGGAGTTTGGCCGGGGCAGTTGCTGGTGCTAGGGTCGTATGAATGGTAAAAGTATCGTACTAGTATAGCGATTTTTGCATATACAATTACAAAGCAGCTCAGCATGACAAATGAAGTCTTTCATGCTGGTTTACCTTGGGAAGGAGATTTGTCATGCATATTTGCGATTAGTAGGTACGAGTGTGATACTTGTTTTGCAATGCATACCATAGCGAATGTGGATGAGGCGTTGCGCGGGTACTACACGAAGTACGACTGTTCAGCCGCAGATATCAACCCGATCGGGGGGATAAAAAAGGTGGATTTGAAACAATTCCTACTGTGGGGGCACGAGACAATCGGGAAGAAAAAGTATGTTTATTGTTGCTTGTTTTTGCATGACAGAATTCCGTTCTAGTGGTGTTTTGTGCAAGACAAATTTGCCATCTTCCTCCAAACACAAACACCCTCAAACTCAAATCATCAGCAACTCCACCGTCCTGTACGATACCGCCACGGCCGAACCCTCCGCCGAGCTCACCGGCGCCGAGGGCGATCAGAAGGACGAGGTGGATATGGGCATGAGCTATGCGGAACTTGGCGAACTAGGGTTCGCGCGGAAGTGCGAAAGAGCCGGCCCTTATTCCACCTTCGAGAAACTTTTGCAAATCTGGAACGAATATCAAATGCAAATATGCCTGGGTCTGGAAGGATCCGAACTTGTGATGCGTGTTTCGGATCCTACAAAGGTCTGTGATGCATAACGTGCAAAAGGTGCCCTGCCCCTGCCCACTTCTGGCCATGCTGAGAGGGCATTTCTCATGCAGAATACGCATCACCACGGGGCTGCAGAACCTGTGATGCTAGGCCCTGCATTCCAGGCGTAGGGGAGCTTGGAAAAACTGCATGACAAATCTCGGAGTCTCCCAGGCCCAGACATTTTTGCATTTGATAACGAACAGCAGAACACCGAGACGGGCGAGTCACAGAGGAAAAGGTTAACTGTTAGTAGGAGAAATCCGAAGGTTTCGAAATCCTCCGCGATCGGTGCGGGGTTGGAGAAGGAGCTGGCAAAAATCCCGGTTTCCGACTACGCAAAGGAGGTGGGGCAGAAGGTGAAGGACTTTTATTTCTACAACGCGATCAACCGGCACAAGATGACGACGTTGACTCCAGCTTACCACGCGGAGAACTACTCGCCGGAGGATAACAGGTTCGATTTGCGGCCGTTTTTGTACCCGGCGAGTTTTACCCGGCAATTTAAAGCGATTGATGACGCTTGTGAGAAACTACTGTGGGTGGAGCAGAAGGGTGGTGGTCGTGGTACAGCGACGGGCGGAGGGGGTACGGCCTTTTCGCCGGGGGAGAGGGTCGGTTGAGAAGGATTAGAAGGAGTTTATACATAAAGTCTCATTCTGATTCTTTTCACATTTTTCACTCCAGTTCTTTTAGAATCAGCACTACGACAGCACGTCGAGCGCGAGCTCTTCACAAGAACGCGTGATTCTCGTAGGAGGTAGGAAAGAGCCTGAACGTAAACCCAATCACTTTCGTCCTGCTGAATTCAGCGTGTAGGCTTTTATTTTATCTCATCGAAGCAAATTCGAAATCGAATAGATCTGCGTCAATCCTTGACCACTTTCTTGAATGTTCCACGTAAGAACTCAGTAGACTTTCAGAGTCACACAAATCAAAGGAAACAACAATCGGTCCGAAGAAGAAGCTTCCAGCTCGTGCTTGGGTGTCGGTCTTGCATGGGCTCGTTGGTTGATGAGAGCAAGAACGAGAAGAATTTTTCACGGGACGACTACACCACCGAAGAAAGTAGATTGTAGAACGTTGCGCGAATGCGAAAGAATAAATCCAAGGGTCTCTGCAGTCAGAAAGAGAAATCCAAAATCCTCGTCGACTTGAAGAATTGAAAATTTTTGATCCACCGTCGCAGGAGATCCCCAAAAATTTGATTGAAGCCCAATAGACTTAATAGACGCACCATTATTTTTTCACGCAATAGTAAAGGTAAAATCCCAAAAATCCACATTCCACTTCCAATTTACCCCCCACGACCCAACAAAAACAACAGCGTTTTTTTTAGTTTTCATCATCTTGAAAAACTATATTTGAATTGCATCCAAACATCTAGAATTTAACCCACGACTATTTTTAGTCCTGTTTAAAAAGAGTAAGCTCAGCATCGCTTTAATCTCTTTGTACAAACTAAACTACACTCAAAAAACCACACACAACATCCAAAATGCCGAAAGTCAAGGGGAAGGGAGGCAAGAAGAACAAGCGCGCTAAGGGCAACCAGGAGTTCGCCAAGCGAGAGCTGATTTTCAAGGAAGACGGGCAGGAGTATGGCCAGGTGTTGAAGATGTTGGGGAACGGAAGGTGTGACGTGCAGTGCTTCGACGGGACGAAAAGATTGTGCCACATTTGCGGAAAGATGAGGAAGAGGGTACAGTTTTTCATAATGCTCGCTTTCGCATACGCATGTTGACAGGCTTTCATGCAGAATTACTATGGTACGTAGTGTTTTTCAGCCTTCCTACTTTGAAGATTAATTTGTGATGGTAAAAAGAAAAACGGAATAACTTCACCTGAAAATTATAACTACAGGTATGGGTGATGGTCGGTGACATTGTCCTGGTTTCTCTCCGTGACTTCCAGGACGAGAAGGGGGATATCATCCTGAAGTACATGTCGGACGAGGCAAAGAACCTGAAGACCTATGGCGAGCTGCCAGAGAACACGAAGATCAACGAGACCGATTTGGCGAATGAGGACGATGACGGCGATGACATCGAGTTCAACGACACTGAGGAAGTGGTGGATTTGGCGGACATTTAAGTCGTCCTTCACCACCTCAGAACTCGACTACACGCTATCGACATGATCGTCAACATGATCTTGTTCACGGTTTCATTTCAAATGATTACTTCCTGTACCACTTCGTTCCAGAATGCACGGACGACGGCACCAACTACTACTGCTTCCCAGCAACATGATGGAGAACGACCATTGCAACAGCCACAACGATCAACTGCAACAACATCAATTTACAAGAATCATCGAGAAAACCTTGTTTTAAAACGCGTTACAACAACTAACTAGCACGAAGCGGGGAGATGAACTACGACGTTTTTAGGGGAGATATTAACGAGAAGGTTTTAGTGCAGCTGACGTCGGAGGGGAAAATAAAGAAGAATTTTCAACAATTTTCGCGGCAAGTAGAGCACGGAGATTGCAACGACAACACGAAATTACGCTTCTACGAAGTTTGTTCGGTTTTGCGCAGAATAGTGGAGGTTTGTGATCCAGCTGCATAATATCAATGCATACCGGACGACTCTGGTGATTATTTCGCGACTTTCCTGGGGTTAGTTCAACTATTTTCACGTCGGCTGGTGTGCTGCTGTATCAGTGGAATTATGGAGCTTGATATTATCTACGCATCACGACCAGCAACGAGCTGCAAAAATTCCTCATGGAATATGAAGAAATAATGTGTTGCAACAGCGGCGTCAACGTGAGACGAATATTAACCTTCTAGCTGAGACTTTAACCTCCTTAAGAATCATTTCTACCCCAGCTTGCAACTTCTACCTTTGATTTACGAAAATCTCGCTGCAAAACACTTGCTAAGAAATCAGCAACGCTGTTGCTTCCGGTCCTCCCGCTGCACCTTGCCATTGTTCGCAAGTCTCGTCGTCCTTGCACGAGTCATGGTATTTACGTACAAGTAAACTCAATTCTGAGAACGTTGCTTCTATCACTCTACTTTGAGGGAGGTACGAATACGGCTGCGTGCAGTTACGATGAGAGATGAGAAGGTCACGAAGGAGCGAGTCGTCTGTTGAGAGTGCCGTATCAAGAAGTGCACAAGCACAAAATGAAGAAAGTACATGAAAATCAAAATGGCTTCTCGTTGTCGTTTCAAAGAATTGCACGTTTATCAAGAAAAGATGCTCGCGTCGCAGTCGCACGTACGCTCCACGTTCTTGCCTTCACGACGACACCTGGCTCTTGACATCGCTTGACGAGACGGTAAAAGGATCTTCACCAGCAGCCTTTAGCCATGCGGTGGAGCCGTCTGAAACAGCTCGCCCAATTGGAAGTGAACATGAAGCGGCAAACCTTGATGCTGATCTCGAAAAAGCGGGCTAAGGCCAAGGAAGTAGTGGCGAATGTTGTCGGGGCGGCGAAGGTATGGATTGCAAAAATGTCTAGGTCTGGAAGATTGCAACTTGTCATGCTAAATCCGAATCATGCAGAAATCTGTGTTGCATGAGTGCCAAAAGCTGTCCACTTTCGACCAAGTTTGGAGGGAGTTTCTCATGCAGGATTGGCATGATAGAGACTTCCACTTCGCAGAATCTGTCATGCTAGGTCCTGCATTCCAGACCTCATGGGGCACGGAAAATATGCATGACAAGTCTGCATGCTTCCAGACCCAGACATTTTTGCCATGTAGAGAAGGCGAGGAGCAGCAAAGTCGCACAGAGCGAAAAGGTGAAACAGGAGATGGCCCGCGCGCAAAAACTCAAGATCATCCAAAGCAAAGCGACCGCGGTTCAGACGGCAGGGGGAGTAAGTGATATTGGCTCTTCCAGCATCACAAGTAGCAGTAGTACGACCGGGCAGCTCGGTGCGGCGGCGGCAGTGGCCGCGGCGATTAGGACACAAGACAATTACCACGATCATGGGCACGACCAGCTGCACTACAGGCCGGGCAGTACGGGATTTTCTCGAGACCGGAACGGCGCGCATACCAGCTACACTGGAATATTGGATCAACGGCATGCGCAGGAAGTAAGGGAGTTTTTTTGTCTTGCTGTCGTGTCCGAGTTTGATTCAAATGTGTGCATGTCGATTTTTAGCATCTTCCAGAATGAAACTAACCGCTCTAATGTATAATGAATTTGTCAAACTTAACATCAAATCAGCCGGCTCCACCGACGCCACCACCAGAGACGCGCTTTAGAAGTAAGCCAAAGATCTTGGACCTCGACGAGCCAGAGCTGTCGTCCTCCTCGAGGTCTAGTGCGCAGAAAAAACGATTTTTTGTTCCGGTGTCTGACGAAGCGTTGCCAGCACTACCAGCGTCTGCACCGTCAAGCGGAAGCAGACACAACACAAAGGCATCCACTTCCTCATCCTCCTCTACCGATCCAAAACCCTCCCAGACCAAGAAAGCGGCAGCCGCTTCGAAAGAAGGACAAGGAGAAAAACAAAGAGAACCGAAAAAGAAAGCCGCATCTAGTAGTACTCCCAATAAGCCCAAAGCGGAAAAACGAAAGGGCCACGCGTGGTACTACGACTGGAAACTGAAAAAATGGAAGTGGCAGCCGGGAACGGGTAAGTACGATGTCTTCCGCAAAAGACCGCCAAAGCCCGAAGAACCGCCTCTACTGCCGGGAGAAGAGGGTGCCGCTGCTGCGGCGCAACCTGGGTTCTCCTCCTGCGATGCAGCGCAGGGCAGCAACTGGAAAGGCGCAGCGGCAGCAGCAGCAGCAGCAGCATCTTCCAGTAAGCGGTGGGGCGAAAAGAACACGAGTGCGTATGCAGAGCAATTTAGCAAGAATTATTTCCAACAGACAGGCCCCGCAGCTTACTCCAAAAACAAACTCTACGGCCTGCGCCAGCGCGTGAATTACATCGGCTTTTCCGCCTTCCACGATGAAGTCCAGTGGTACCCGAAAAAGGACTCGTTGTTAGCGCACCATCCAGACTGGAAGGAGGTGAACGGGTTTCTCGTGGGCAGTTCCTATCTGATCCCGGCAAAGGGAAAGAGGGGGAAGAAAATTGCAGCGAGCACGTTGGTTGCTGGTTCCTCTTCAGCAGGAGCAAGCGTGTCCGTTGCAAGCACGGCGGCAGTAGATTCTGCAACAGTATCATCCCCTTCCCCTTCAAGCGCATCATCATCATCATCCGCCGCCACCTCGGAACAACAAACAGCAGCGCTGTTGAGCGGCAAACAAGAAAAGCCCCCGCCGAAGTACAGCCAGATGAAAAAGTACGGCTTTGTCGACAGCCACGAGACGTTAGTGAACCTCGCTTCAAACCCGCATAGGCTGCACAACTTCCACGAGGTTTTAGACGAATCCCAGCCGAGGTGTCTGTATTTCGACATAGACTGCAAAGAAAACGTGGAGGAGATGAAGAAACTCCACCCGGAGTTGATGCGGGAACTGAGTCAAACCGTTTTCAAAACGCTCGGTTTACACACCACCGCTTTCGACGAAGCGAGGAGAGAAAATTTGGAAGAAATTTTACCCGTGATCTTGTCCAACCAAGATCCGAAGAAATACTCCGTCCACGTCATTTTCCCGATGGTACAGTTCGAATCCCAGCAGCACCAGAAGGAGTATCTATCCCACGAAAAAACTGTTTCACTGTGATGATTTTGCAAGATCTGCGTCACAAGTTTGTTAATACGCACCATGGCACTGAAAATTTGTCATGCGCGCCTCCCAAGGAAAAACACGCTTTTCTGCATCACAAGTTCACAGTGAAACAGTTTTTTCTTGCGATAGTATCTGGTGTTGATCCAATACGCGTTGTCGGAGAGGTTATTGAAGATCGTGGATTTCCAGGTCTACAGCTGCTTCCAACTGTACCGGACCGCGTATGCCGCGAAGTTGTGCAGTGAAACCGGGAAGTTGCGGCCAGAAACGAGGTTGATACCAAACAGTGTCGACCAAGCTCATGCTGCTGATGTGGGAGTTGCTGATGCTGGTACTTGTGCTGGAAGTAGAACCTCCGTGAGAGGAACATTCAACGATGACTCGTCTTCTAGTAGTACTTGGTGCTACAAAAACGACAAGTCGACGTGTTTCGCCTCCTATGTGAACCCATTGTACGCTTGGAAACTGCAAACCGCGGAGGAGTTGTTGCAGTTAGAGGTGTATGCATTGCAAATATGTCTGGGTCTGGAAGGTTGCAACTTGTGATGCGCATTTCAGATCACACGAAAATCTGTGTTGCATAAATAGCAAAAGTTTTCGTTTTGTATTTTTGGCCATGGTGAAAGCGGCTTTCTCATGCAGGGTAGGCATCGCGATCGCGAAGCTCTCGAAACACCTGTGATGCTGGTCCTGCATGCCAGACACTCTGGGAGATTCAAAACCTGCATCACAAACACCTGCATCTATCCAGACCCAGACATTTTTGCATTTGATAAGGTGAATGAACCAGTCCGGGAAAAGTTAATCGCCCGGATGTCCAGCGTGAATCGGAGGATAAGGAGGAGTGTGCCGAAAAGCGGGAGTAATGGTGACAATTCCACTTTGGAGCACGATGTTTTGTGTCATACCGGGGATGATTTGGCGTTGTTTCATAAGGATTTCGTTTGCAACAGCACGAAAAACACTAGCGACAGCAGCGGCAGCACTATTAGCACGACAGCAACCACTTCTTCACCTGACGGCGCAGCAGAGAATGCCAGTGCAACAGCGCCTGCCGAGAAACAACTACAACCGAGCCGTGATACGAGACCAGAACTGAACCACGAGCGCTCTTCAGCCTCACCTAGTTGTACCTCTGCCTGCTCCGCATCAGATTCGACCACTGGGAGTGCTGCAGCAGATGGAATTACGGATGCGGATTCTTCCAACTACACAGTAGATCCTGCAAGCGACGAGGAACAAGACCACTCTTCAAAACCCTCGTTAAACACCAAAAGATCACAACAAGTGCTCGACCTTTCCCAATACGACTCAGCCAGCCAACGGTTAGAAATCGCGTTGCAATACATCTCGCCGCTCCGCTATGGAACTGTCAGGATTGAAATCGTCAAAGTTGAAATGATTTGTGATGCATAAAACGGATACCAGTTAGACCTACAGTTTGTAGGCGGTGCATGACAAATCTTCCCGGTCCTGGAAGCGAGTCTGTCATGCGGTTTAGGGCAAAAGATCTGCCTTCTGTCATGCTAGTCAGCAGTCCAACTTTTGATCCTTACCAGGACTATAATCTGCCTCCCGTGCATCCTCTGCCTTAGAGCCAATTTCTGTATCGCATTTTATGCATGCCATATCATTTCAACATTGACGATTTCGATCCTGACACATCCATATCCGCGCAGCCCAGTTCTGGAGCTGGTTCCGCATCGTCGGTGTGATCGGAACATTGGTGGACGAAAACGCGAGTAAGGGTAAGCAGGAGGTGGAGAAAATACAGGAAATTTGGCAAAACTGGAGCAGAAAACATTACCCGGACCACGATGACTTTGAGAACCAGGATATCGTATTGAAAAACATCCCCACCCCAGAGTCAAGATGGGGATTTTGCAACACAAACCTAGAAGTTTTGGGACTCACGCATCACAAGTTGCAGTCCGTAGTGTAGTCCAGGCTAGCAAGGACAAACGGATCACAAATCCATCTGCTTCTCCTGGTTACAGCATTACAAATGCCAAAACACGACTAGAAACGCCTCTCATGGAGATGCGCATTACAAATGTTTCTGCCATTGCAAATCTGCATCACAACTCTGGTGTGGGGACGTTTTTACAAATGATACAGGAGATGATCGACAGAGCAGTTTCAAAACGGAAAGAAGGGGTTCGGATGAGCGGTTTCGGGTTGTTAGTGGTCATGATGAAGCATGATAATCCGGATTTGGTGATACGAACCGGGTACTGCTTTAAGGACGACGAGGAAGCTGTAGTAGAGGGAAGCAGCAAGAGAAACCTCAGTCCCGAGGAACAGATGAGGCGCCGGCAGGAGAGCAGAGTTGTGAGGGACCACGAACAAGGGGATATTACAGGGGAAATAAGGGAGAAATTGGGAGCAGGAGGAACGCCACCTACGAGTGCAGGAGCAGCTTCAACTACATCTGTAGCAGGTGGAGAACAACAAAAACAACTCGGCCCGACCGAAGTTCCCGTTTTGAATGGTGAGAAGGCGCTGGACATGGCGGAATTGAAAATTAGAAAGATGAACGACAGGGAGGCGGGCGTGCATGACAGCTCAGCCGAGGATGCCAACAACGAGGTGGATCGTCAGGTAGAGCAGAAAAGGAAAATGCTCAATTTGGCCAAGGAAATATGACGAAATATTGAAACGTAGAAGAGCGTACGTGTAACGCAAACGCTACCAACAAGTCCTCGCAATCAGACTTCAATTCTCAAGACTTCAAAATCACAGTTTTACAGTTTTTGCGCAAGAATTTATTTCGTGGTCGTTTTTGCCAATTTACGTTTCGTCGCATGTACACTGTTTCTGAACAGCTTTCGCTGCTGTATTTTTTTCAAAATCAAAATCTATCTCCTCCGACTCTACAGGTTGGAACAGAAGTCGTTTCAAATTCGAACTCACTACTTATCGGTACTATGATGATGTCACTTTTTGCTTTTGGTGTACGGGCACACAAGAACAAACTTCTATGCTTTCTCTCTCTTTCTGTAGTTCCTATGGGACTTTTTGTACAGACTCGGAACAATTCAATACGCTAGTACACGTTGGCTATCCAAAGATTTTGCACCACAAGTTTGAACCTTTCAAAAAACTGTTTCCACGATTTTCATATGCTGCTTGCAAAGCGATGCTGAAACTGACGGATTTGAAAGTCAGAGTTTCTTTTTTGCGGGTAATGTGCTGCGTGAAGATGAGCACACGACTTCCACTATCTGTGTTTTTTGTTTTTCTTCTTCGTCGTTTTTTTTTCGTAACCGAGAATTTTCACAATCCAAAGCTGCGACACTCCAGTGCTGCAAATTGCCAAAAAACCTTCTTCGAGCGATAAGCTGTGCCCCCAGCTGCAAATTATGCTTTGATGTCGAGTCGTGTGGGAATCAAACGAAATTCAAAGCGGCCCTGCAGTGAAACCAAAAGTGACCACTTCTGAGGCCGCAGCTCCCCGTGGCCTTTCATCTCAACATCCCGTTTCCGAACATAATTCTTATCTCCCTTCTACACGACGCCCACTCACCTCGATAGAACTTTAGTAGCTAGAAGTAGAACTACAGCAACACAAGTTTTGAAGGGCGCAACATCTTCAAAAACAAGCGAGTTTATATAAAGATGTCCTCCCAAGCAGACCAGCTTGCGGAGCTTTTACGGGACTCTGTCCCGAACTCTCTCCGTAACTCTCTCGAGGATGCGACGAACTTGTTTCCCGAAGGGGGGATGGGGGTGAGCGGGGTGATGCTGAAAAACACGTTTTCATCCGGAAGCGATAACGGCGACATGTCGATGTCGGTCGAAGGGGAAGAGAAGGAATTTGAAGCCTCGCCGAACGGCAAAGTCGTGGTTTCATCTTCTACGGGGAGTTTCAAGTCGGACCAACTGTTTCAGCAGCAACGGATCAACAACGCCGTGCAAGAAGCGATGATGGCGAGTAGTAAAAAGACTTCTTCTAGTGCAGCGGGTTGTAAGAGCACCGCTGTTGATGCAGCCACTGTGTCGGGAAAACAAGCTGAGCAATCAGCGGATCAGAAATCATCGCAGAGTGCCGTGGTCGCGGCTGCGCAGGCGCAACAGGTGTTAAGCACAAGCATTCTACTTCTGTTTGATTTGATGCAGAAACAGAGCGAGACGAGAGGTTAGCTTCTATTGCAGCCCCACGGGTTCTTTTTAGAACGTACTTACAATTGTCATGCATGTGATACAACAAAAAAACACTATCAGCTGCTCCTCCAGCAAGATGCGTTGTGGAAACAGTGCGAGTTCAGCTTTCAAAACAAGTTCGAAGCGTTACTAACGGAGACCGTTGCGAACTTCAAGCAACAGGCTGTGCGGGACTACGGCACGGCGGAGAAAACTCTGAATCACGCCTTTCAGGTATGATAAAGCGTAGTGATTTTTACCGAACTTTGCGATGCGTAGATGAAAGCGTAACCGCATGACAGACATTCCGTCTCATACTGGTTTTCGTTTTCGCATGACATTGACAAATCATGTCAAATCCAAACTTCTCCATCTCCAGGCCCGCCTCGACGACACAAAGACGAAGTACGAAGACCAGTTGGCAGAGAAACGGATGCAGATCGACATTTTGGAGAAAGTATCCAGTGCAAAAGGTGCATCTTACTCGTACTAGTAATCGCAATGATGCATGACAGACTTAGTTTCCTACCCGACTCTGCATAACAAACTTCGTTTTTCAGCATGAGAAACTCTGTCAACATGCGATTTTTGCGCTATCCCGATACTACTACTTTTGCACTGCATAGAAAGCGCAGACGGAGTTGGTTCACGAGTTAGAGGAGAAGAAGAAATTCAAGAACAAACTCATCCTCTTCGCGAACAAACGGATTAAGAACAAGGAGAAACTGTCATTACTGTCAAAAATATTCGGCGGGTGGAAGGTGTTCAAAAAGATCAACCAGGACGGGAAAATCAAGAACGGCTTCGCGATGAAATTGAGAGAAAAACGGTTGATGGTATTTATCAATAGGATTTTGACGAGATCAAAAAAGTTTCTCTTTGTCATGCATATAGCGCACCAAGAGAGACGCATTCTGTTATGCAGGATCTCCTTGTGAAAGTGAATGAAAGAGAAAATGAAATATGAAAATCATCTCTTAATCTTATCAAACTACGAAAAGGTCCTCGCCTGGCGTCGGTGGTGGTACACGAAGGAGACGAACAAGAACGAACTGAAAAAGCATATCAAATGTAAAAATGTCTGGGTCTGGAAGAATGCAACTTGTCATGCTAAATCTGAAGCATGCAAAAATCTGTGTTGCATGATTACCAGAAGTCGTCCAGTTTTGACCAAGTCGGGAGGGAATTTCTCATGCAGGATAGGTATGACAGAGATCGCACAGAATCTGTCATGCTAGGTCCTGCATTCCAGAACTCCTGGGTCATGGAAAAGCTGCATGACAAATCGCGCACTCTTCCAGACCCAGACACTTTTACATTTGATAAAGCAAGAGCTGGAGCAAAAGCACTACACCGAGAAACAACAACTGATCCAAGAATCTAATCTCAAGGAGGACAATTTGACTACCGATTTGGCCTATCAACTGCAAAAATGTCTGGGTCTGGAAGATTCTGAGACTTGTCATGCACGTTTTGCATGGGCCATGATGTCTGTGATGCGTGCCCGAGCATCACAGACTTTTTGAGGGCTTCGCGATGCGTATTCAGCATGACAAATTCCTTCTCCGCGTAGCCAAAATTGCATTCCCTTGGCTGGTCATGCAATACAGATTGTTTTGGAATCCAAACGCAGCATCACAAGTTCGGATCCTTCCAGACCCAGACATTTTTGCATTTGATTTGGCCAAGCTCCAGGCGGACCTAGACGTGGAAACCCAGATATCACATGTAAAAATGTCTGGGTCTGGAAGAATGCAACTTGTCATGCTAAATCTGGAGCATGCAAAAATCTGTGTTGCGTGGTGACAAAAAGGTGTCCAGTTTTGACCAAGTCGGGAGGGAATTTCTCATGCAGGATAGGTATGACAGAGATCGCACAGAATCTGTCATGCTAGGTCCTGCATTCCAGACCTCATGGGTCATAGAAAAGCTGCATGACAAATCGCGCATTCTTCCAGACATCCAGGGATTTTTGCATTTGATACCAGACGAAGCAGAACCTGCAGGCAAACTTGAAACGGGTTTTTATGCGGGGGGTCTGCCAGCTGAACTTCGAAGCCATGAACTTGTTGAACACGAATCCAGGGGGTGATTTGACTGCGCTTGGGGGGCTCGGGATGGAGGGGCTGTTGGATCAGCAAGGTATTACGTAAGTTTTTGTCCGGTTTTTTTTTTCGTTTGCAGATGATCGAGATCTCCGACTACCGATGATTTTGACCTGTTGCAAAAAATCCAATTTTATATCCCGTCTTTCAGGTGGAGGTGCTGCAGCTCCCGCCGCACAGCAGGGCCAGAACCCCGCATCCACTTCCGTCGACCACAGCGCCCTCCCCTTCCAAATGCCGGATATGAGCAAAGAGTTGCAGGCTTTGTTAGCCTCCTCTTCCTCAGCTGTGCAGGAGCAACTGGCGCTGGGAAACATGAGCGTCGGGGGCACCATGCAAAACGCAGCGAACATGAAAACCGCCGCAGCGAGTCCTTCGGTGTTGGGCGGTAATCATATGCAACAGCAATTGCAGCAGCAGCAACAGCAACCGCTCCTGTCATCGATGTCGCCCCAGCTTAGTGTCGTGAACCAAACGCACTTGCAGACGACACCAAACGGCGCTGGCACAACGCATCAACCCCTGGCGGGGGCACAACAGTTGTATAACCAGCAAGGCGGAGCAGCACCGTCTTCGCGACTGGTGACGCGGGAAGACATTTTGACCAGCGTGCCGAGGCCACTGGCAGCTACGACAACAGCAGCCTCCTCTAGTACATCACAAAACACCACTTTCGTCAAGTCTCCGGGGTTGATATGAGAGTGCACAACCCTCCCTCCCCCGCCTCATTTGCAATGCAAAATCTCTGTGGCACTGTTTGCATGACAAATTTTCGAAGCCCAACCACTACTACAAGAGATGCATAAATTTCTCATGCATAGGCTCCACGTGTGCTGGTGTTTGTAATGCTGTTCATCCCTCGCAAATGAGGGCGAGGGGGAGTTGTGCACTTTCATAGCTGAAGGACCATTTCGCCGCACCGGAGGACACCATATGGATTGCAAATATGTCTGGGTCTGGAAGAGTGGAACTTTTAATGCTGTCTGCGGATTCTAAAAATGTCTGCGTTGCATGAGCAGCAAGACGAGTCTGAGTCAACTCTTGGCACGCAGAGAGGTCATTTCTCATGCGTAATTAGCATCAAGAAGGAGCTCTCAAAAAATCTGTGATGCTAGCACCAGCATCACAGACCTCACGGGTCATGCAAAATGTGCATGACAAGCCCCAACTCTTCCAGACCCAGACATATTTGCATTTGATACACCATGCGGTCAAGCAACGAAAACGTGCGGACGACGGTCCCGGATCCGACCCCATTTCGCTCGACGACCGGGTATAATCCGCGGGTCGTGGGGGCGAGCAGAAGTTATCCAAGAAAAAAACCTTGTTAGTGTAAATTTGTGATGCGCAACATGCCAGATGATTGCGTCTGTCATGCTTGGCATGCGTCGTGGGGTCCACTAAAGGGCGTTTTCGCGTACTATCTGCGCATGACAGGTTTTTGCTGTCATGCCAGAGATATTTGTGATGCTGATCCTCCAAGAAAGTTACACCTACAATGTCTTTTTCTTGGATAGAAGTGGTAGTGGGATTACTAGTTCCAACATTTCCAGTTCATCCTCTGCAACGAAAGCCTCCAAGTGGCAGTCTGCGGTAAACACCAACGGGGGGAGGTGAATTCGTCATGATGTTGGGGATGAATCACGTCAGAGGGTAGTGATGCAACAGATCATGCAGTAATGCCTGCGTTTTCTTCCACTGCCCACTGGTGGTGCTCCTAGGTCGATTGAAACTTTTCGGCTTAGATTAAAAGCTCGTGCCCAAATTTTCAGGTTTTTTTGAAGGCTGAAGCAGGTGGAGCTCCCTGCTTCCAAATGCCTTCTTACACTAAATGCTATACTATCAAATAAACATGTGCGAACGTGAATTCTTGATTTTGAAGGTTTTTTTTTGTCGGCACTACAAGTACAACCCAACTTTCCTTGCCCTCTCTTCTTGAATTGTGTGTCTGGTAGTTGAAGCTACCAATGCAACTGGCTGTAAGACTTCATGCAAAGAAATCTAAACTCCGAATTCGCTCAGTTGCATCAGACTCTGTGTCGTCCTCAGTGAGGCGTGAGACAGGAGCCTTTAGTCGGATAAACCTTTGGTTTTCTTTTCCGTGAGGTTGCAAAATGATATCAGATTTAGATTTTCTTCGTGCAGATTCTTGCGCTTCTTGAGCTAGAACTTCTTATATTGGCCGTCTTTTTTATGAATTATTAAACGCGAACTTTTTTTGCTTTTTATCGGCATCTCAAGGATTGGATTCAGTTGCATTTGATCTGCGACTCTTCCTAGCAAGCAAAGGTTGCTCCGAGGTAGAGTGTCGAAAAGAACTCTTTGAATACAGAGCGTGATCAGTCGACGCGCCCATCTGAAGTCATGCATGCTTGCCTGCATTTGTCTTGCTGCTGGTGACTTGTTCTCGCCTTGTTCGTTGTCGTGTGCCGTCAGTTAAGTACTTGAAGAACTTTTTGTCGTCTTCTTTTCCTTTCGGCTTGGTCCAGCTCACTGTGTTGCATCGAAGCAAGTTCGGTTTCGTGTCCTCAGTAGTTGAAAAAGCCTCTCGCTACTTTTTCTTGATTCCTGATAGACCGTGCCACGTCGTCGGACTTCCTTGAATCCATCCTGCGAAGAAGAAGTGGCGGATGCAAATCGGTCGGACGTGATTCGTATATGACATTCGTGCTTCAACACTTCATATTCGTTCGGCTTCATGGTGAAAATGATTCGTCAGAAGTTGTGCCCGTGTCCTTGAGAAGTTTCGGTTGTCGTACATTCATAGAAAGACACTTTCTGTGGCCGTGCCGTCCGCGACGTCCATTCATTTTTCTCGTGCTTCCGTGTTTCGCTTCCAGAGGGTTCTTGTTATGTTGCTCACATCAGCATGATCTTGATCCCCACCAGCACTACCTCAGCACAGGCATTCGGGCAGAGGAAAGCATTTCGGGCATGACAGAGGTTTAGATGGGGGCTGTAAAAATATTGGGTTTTAAGTTTAAGAATTAATTAATTCGTCCCCGGACTGTGTGTGTCGGGGCCGGCGTCTCCATGTGGTGTCGGAGCGGATTCGGAGAGCGCGGCGCAGATGTGGATTCTCGGCGACAGACGACGGCGGCGGGACGGAAAATGTTTGATATACATGGTCGGGGAGTTTAATTTTCATGGCCACAGGGGAGGACGGCGCGGGCAATTTCGGGCCACACATGAGGGCAGTGGCCGCTCACTTTATCCAATACACACACGGACCACGGCATTATTTCCCTGGACACAGGTTATCCGGGAATTAATTAATTTTCTTAGAAACTTAGTTTCTAAGTTAATTAATTAATTCAGGGGCCCTCTGTGTTCAGCTTCAGGGCGAGCACTGGCAGCTTCGGCGCCCATTTTCAGCGCGCCAGGCACAATGACGCGGCGCGTTTTCGTGTGGCCGAGCCGGGCCCAAAAGCCAACGCGTACGGCTGTGAGTTTTGCGGGCGCACTCAGATTTTTGTGTGTGTGAGCACGGGCGCAGAATTTTAGGTCTTTCGCGCGCGCGCGCGCGCACCCACTTGCGGCCTTTATCTTCATGTCCTGTGCGCGCACGCAATCGCGCGCGCGGACGCGCAGACAGCCTCATGCCCTGTGCGAGTGCGCAATCTCAATCGCGCGCGCGCGCATGCAGACATCCACATGCCCCGCGCGCTCGCAACCGTCGCCGTGTCCTGTGCACCGCGCGCGCGCGCGCGCAACCATCCTCATGCTCTCCGGGTGCGCAGAAATCTTCCTGTACCGCGCGCGCTCGCAGGCGGTGGGCTCGCGCGCGCGCAGACGCGCAGAAGGTTGGGGCCGCGCACGCAGGGCGAATAGCCCGCGCGCACACACAGGAGGTCGAGCCTGTGTGCGCGCGCGGGCAGATGGCCTGCGTCGCGCGCGCGCGCGCGGAGAAGGCGGGCTGGCGCGCGCTCGCAGGATGTCTCTGGGCTGCCGTGGACGAGTGTGCACGGCAGGAATAGAACGAGGTGGCCGCATCGGCCCAATGCGACGCGAATGACGTCGACGGCGCGCGGCATTTTTGGAATTACTTAGTAAAGTGCGGGCCTTTGTAGCTTTCACGCACAGACATGCTTTTCGCTGTACTGTGCGCAGGCGGGCGCTCGTCAATCGCCTGCGCGCCCGCGCGGGCGTAGTGGCTACAAGCGGGGTATGCAAACAACGCCAAGAGGCTAGACTGACTTTTCACACACACAGTCCCGGAATTAATTAATTTACTTAGATTCTAAGTTTCTAAGTTAATTAATTAATTCCCGGAGTGTGTGTATGAGGAAAAAATTAACTCCGTTCGTCATGTATGTCGACAAATGATTGCGCGACGGATCTTGTGTGGGTGTCTGTCTCTGAGTCACCTGTGTGTCTGTATCGTGCCACTCCTTGTTCTATCGAAAATTAATTCGTCCGTGGGAAAACATGTGTGAAAAAAAACTAAATGCGCAGGCATCGTGTATGGCGAAGTTTTCAATTCTAATGATCAAATATCAAAAAGCTTACCAGGTCGTGGAACTTTCGCCGGCCCCGACACACACAGTCCGGGGACGAATTAATTAATTCTTAAACTTAAAACCCAATATTTTTACAGTATCTTTAGATGTATAGACGCGCCCTGGCGCCAAATAGGGCAAGGCTAGCTACAAGGAAGCAGAAAAATGATGGCGGCCGCATTGTTAACGCGGTTCATTTTCGCGATGCTTAGCCATGAGAGCGAGCGCCGCTCCGTCCAGGGTGGGCTAGTGAGCGACAGCACAGTCAAGGCACAGCAGAGCCCTTTCTCCTGCGCCATATAAATGCGCGTCAGCTTTTGGCGTGAGGCGGACCACCGAGGGAGGGGCGGCAAGTAGTGCCTTGCGAACGTCCAAGCCAGCCCTCCCTGGCTCCTGCGCCTGGTCTTATTGCTGCTGCTGCAAGCGGAAAGCGCAGTCGGAGAAGCCTAATCCTGCGACCCTCCGCCCCTGCAAAGGTGCAAGAGCCGGCGCGCTTGTTGGCTGCCATTGGAGCGCCGAGCGAGAGCAGGTGGCGTGGGTTGCTCTTTCTAGCAGCCGACGACCAGCACTGCGAAGGCAGGCAACCCACTTCAGTCCGACAGGCAATCCGGCTGCAATCAAGGTCAATCCGAAAACAGTCCAAAAAAATCCGCCATATTAGAATCCAGGCCCTGACTTTTTTGGACTGAATTTGGTTGAGGTCGCGGATTTAGGTTTGTCCGGCCAACTTCAAACGCCGGATTGGATTTTTCGGACCAACTTCAAACGGCGGACGCGCTTGACCTGTCGTTGCGCTTGACCTGTCGGGCTGCCTCCAGTTTGCTTGTTGCGGTCGTTGGGCTTGGGCCGCTCGCGCATTGGGCTCTAGTGGGTCTGCTAGGAGGCAGCAAGGCACGGCCACGTCTGTCGCGTTGCGTCTCTGTATGTGGTTTGTTCAAGAAGAGGTGGGGCCCCGGATGTTTTGCTAAGGTAGAAGAGTCATGTAGGCCCTCGCGACGAGATTCCCGGGGACCCTTGTTGCCGGCATGCAAGAGGGATGGTTGGTTCTATTTTAGGGAACTCCCTACGTAGGGCCGCGGGGGGCGCCGGCACTGTGCTGGTTCGGGTTCTTTGACTGGGGACATTCGTGGCGGTGTGTCGTTCCAATTTAGCCTAGGTGGGATTCCGCATTGCTTGGCAGGATTCTTTGCTGGCTGAAGGTTGAGCTCTCCTGCGTTCCCAAGCGGAATCCTATGCCGCGGGAGGTGAGGCCTTCGGAAAGTCCAAGCAGGCCGCTCATGCTAGTCTAAAAAGTGCAATTTCGAAAATGTTTGAAATGAGTTTGAAGCTGTTTTGAACCGGAATTAGGCCCCGGGGCCGTTTGATCTAACAGAGGGTTCTTGTTATGTTGCTCACATCAGCATGATCCCCACCAGCACTACCTCAGCACAGCAGGCTCCGGGCCGTTCCGTGCGCCTGAGACCTTGTAGGGAAAGTAAGGTAAAGGCGTGAAAGCGGCCCGCACCACGCCCCAGGAGCAGGAGAAGCTCCGGGAAACAGAAAGAACGTGGGAGGGGGCGAGCCCTCCGGGTTGTTCCCAATTTGCGAGCACCCCCCCCCCCAAGTTGCGAGCCTTACGGGCGGCTGCTCGTCATTCTAGCTACGCCCCACTCTATTTCTAGTTACGCCCCCAAAGCGGTGGGGCTGCTTTTGACGGGGCCCACAGGGCCGCACCTGCGGAAACGGCGCGGCAAAGAACCTGGCCAGCCAGCCAGGGTTCCTTCTCAAGTTAAATCAGCAATACGGGTTCTTGTTATGTTGCTCACATCAGCATGATCCCCACCAGCACTACCTCAGCACGACAGCAGGGTCCTTCACTTTTTGGTTTTCCTCAACGTAGGCAATCCGTTCCTGCGTGGTTTCCCGCAGCGGAGTAGATATAAGTAACCCCACTCTCTAATTCACTACATTGGCATTTGTCTCTATCGTAGCACAACATAGTACTCACGCCACAGAGAAACGCAAGAGGACTAGCATATTGATCTAGATCATTTTTTCCTGGCCTTCTGTACGGTAGTCCATGTGCCGCTCCAGCATCATGTTGCTGACAACTTCCAAAGCAAGAAGAGCACCTTCTGCGCAGCAGCGCCGTACTTCCACTGCAGCTTGCACGGCAATGCAGCTTCTTCTCTCGTCCACCCCAGCTGTGTACTGGCCCTTTTTCCCCTCTAGTACAGCTATGTCGCTGACCCTGAAAAGTAAAATGAATCACAAACACAAACTTCACCAGAAGGTCCAGCAGCAGAAAAAGTTGCACAAGAAAATGAAGAAGGTGCGGTGCGTGGGAGGGTTGTGCGACATGTTATTACCGGATGAGGAGAAGCTCGACGAGGACCTTCTCGAAGAGGAAGATGATACCGAATACGGTACAGGAGCTGGAGGTCTGCCGCCCGACGATTTTCAACAAAACTCGACCATGTGCGCCAAGCTCTTTCCGACCGAAGAAGGGTGTGAAACAGCACGAGGCTGCGAATGGCTTTTAATATCCGAAGAAGATCTCAACAACATGGAAGAAATGAGTAGGTGTCATCCCATCGACGAGACTTGTGACGCGATCGCTTCGGAAACCTTGTGCGTGGAGACAGGGGCCTGTGTCTGGGTTGAAGTGGAAAGAACTACACTCACGTCATTGAATGTGACAGAAGATCATGAGGATCAAACTTTGTCGGGTAATATTACAAATTACATGTGCGTCGGAGACACGTGGAATAGCTCCAGCATGCCCCGGCCGACGGGATTCACGACCGAAACACCACGACCTGGAGGAGGTGGAGGCACGACCGCCCTGGGAGGAGCAGGAGGAGTAGAAACAAATTATGACCAAGAACAACAAGCCTGTCCCCCGGACAGTCCCCAGTCGCCGGTGCGAGTTTGCAGCTCTCGACGGCACCTGCCGTCGGGCAGCAACAACAGTAGCACGACGCTTCCAGGCGACCAGCTGCAATTTCCCAATCTGTGCGAGGCGGCAAAGGTCGGATTTTCCGCGGAAGACTGCGCAGAAATCGTGCCCTTCCGGTACTTATCCTGTGCAAAAGTATCGTACTCGTATGAATTGCACGTATGCATGACAAATCTGGTTTCCTACCCAAATCTGCATTACAAATTCCAACTTTCTTCCTGATAAAATTTGTCATGCGATTCGTACTCGTACGATTCTTTTGCAAAAATGCATAGTACTATTGGGAAGCCTCGCTGCGGAAAATTTGTGCGCAGGGCGACGGAGGGGACAGCGCGAATTGTGAGGGGAATGCCGCTTTATCCGCCCCGGCTCCGGGGTCGGCCGAGTGGACGGCGCTGGAGGATGCGTATTTGGCGGGCACAGGTCAGTACCCCATTTTCACCACAGAGGAGCGGGCGACGTTTACGAACCAATGCGTGTATGCATTGCAAAAGTATCGTACTCGTATGTAGTGAGGTCACCGAACGGTTCTAACCGGGGAGTTTTTTTGACACCCAGCCAGCAAAACGACCGGCAGTTTTCAAGCGGGCGGGAGTGTTTTTTGACGAAAAAGATTTTCAATTATCAAGCGGCCGGAGCTTTGCCAACAAAAAAGCCTGGTCGAAAACTATCGATTCCCGCTTGATAAAACGACGCAGGGGAGCCGGCAAAAGGGGCGCCCTTCTGAGGCGCCCGCCGCCTTAGTTTCTGGCGATTTGGGGCGCCCCAAAAGGGGCGCGCAAGAAACGCGCCCAAAATCAGAACAGCGAAACAGCATGGCACGGCCGCGATTTCGGAGCATTTTGGGCGGCCGCGAAAGCGGCCGCCTTTTCGCCGGTTTTAGAGCCTGGGAAGCTTTGCAAAAAGCGCCGGCGTGAAAGATAAAAACGCGAAAAATAAAAAGCGCACCAGACGCGCAAAGCCAATCCGCATGCTATGGGCCCGGTTTTTGTTCGCTTTTGGGGCGCCCCCCGTGGCACCCGGATCGGCCCCATAGCATCGGGGCTGGCTTTCGGAAAGGAATTTTGGAAATGTGGCAAAATTTGCGACGTTTCCCAAGTGGCCGCCATACCGTGCGGCATAACGTTACTCACGGTGGTATGGCGAGCCCGTAAAAAGCAAAGCCGCGGCCAAGGCTGCGGTCGGCAAAAAAACGCCCACGACCTCACTACCCCCGCCCCGGCGGCTATATTTGGTAGTATTGCAATACAAATTAGCTCAGCGTGACAAATGGAATTTCTCATGCTGATTTAGCTTGAAAAAGAAATTTGTCTTGCATGACTGTGATTACTGTGCGTACGATACTTTTGCACAGGATAGTGTGCTGCTGGTCGAGGAGGAGCGTTGTGCGTGGGAGGGCGACATTCGGTCGGACTGTGCTTCGTACAACGACACAACCGCCTGCAACGCCATTGGCAGCAGCGGGAGCGGACCCGGCCCCTGTCGGTGGAACCTCATACTGAACGTGTGCGAAGACAGGCCCGCCACCTGCGAGGAAGGGACTGAACCCGGGGACTGTGACAACTTCGCAGGTTCGGGGTGTAGCTGGAACCAGACTACGAGCCGTTGCGAGATCCACCAGGCAGTAGTTGCTTCTCCAGTCGTCACCGTGGACTGTGCTTCGTACAACAATGCCACCGCCTGCAACGCCATTGGCAGTAGCGGGAGCGGACCCGGCCCCTGCCTGTGGAGATCTTTTCGGAACGTGTGCGAAGACAGGCCCGCCACCTGCGAGGAAGGGACTGAACCCGGGGACTGTGACAACTTCGCAGGTTCGGGGTGTAGCTGGAACCAGACTACGAGCCGTTGCGAGATCCACCAGGCAGTAGTTGCTTCTCCAGTCGTCACCGTGGACTGTGCTTCGTACAACAATGCCACCGCCTGCAACGCCATTGGCAGCAGCGGGACCGGACCCGGCCCCTGCCTGTGGAGATCTTTTCGGAACGTGTGCGAAGACAGGCCCGCCACCTGCGAGGAAGGGACTGAGCCGTGGGATTGTGACAACTTCGCAGGTTCGGGGTGTAGCTGGAGCCAGACTATGAGCCGCTGCGAGATCCAGACAGAAGTAGTAGCTCCTGCTGCGCAACCACTTGCCGGCCCTGCCACCTGCGAGGAAGGGACGGACCCCTGGAATTGTGACAACTTTCCTGACTGCGTGTTCGATTCCGACCTGGAGCACTGCGTGCACGCGGCAACCTCCCCGATCGTGTCCGTGCCCGCTAGTACCTGCGCGGCCGCAAAAACGGAGGGCCAGTGCCAGCACGTCACCGACGAGGAGTGCGAATTCGTCAAGGGTGAGTGTGTGGCGAAACCACCTAGCGGGTTTACGGAGTGCGAGACCGCGGGCGTGACCACCGAGCTGGGCTGCGTAAATATCAACGACAGCCGTGGGCTATCAAAGAAGAAAAGCACTCAAGAATTTATTTTGTCCTCGGCGATTTAGATTTGTTGTCGAAGATTTTTTTATTGTTGAGGTTGTGCATAAAAATTGTCGGGATGATCTTCATCTGTGAAAAGATGAACAGAGATCTGACTTGAGAGTTGTTGATATAGATGAACTGTTTATGCGGCGGGTGGACAAAAACAAAAAGTCAGGCCGCTCAGGTGTGGATGTGCCGTGCGGGGAATTCAAAGATTCTTGTTTATTTTCATACAGGGTTTGCGAGTTTGTCGAGGGTGTGTGCAGACTGCGAGATGAAGAGAACCCGCCTGCACCTCAGGGTTGAGTAAAAAAGTATGGGATGCAGCTGCTGCATCTGTATTTTGAAAATACCACGACCAAGAGAAAAAGAAATATCTGTCATGCTGCTTTCCCGGGATGGAGAAGGAGAACAGCATGGAACTTCGAAAACCGCTTTCAACTAAACAAACCTATCTGCCCCCAGTAAAAAACCTAATTTATTTTCGCTATTGTCCTCTTCGGAATTGCAATTGTCACAAGAAGCATGTTGGTACCGATGTCATTTGTAAAATTCGCGAAGCGCAGCTAGCCCCCTTACTTGCGCGGCTTTCCACAAAGTTTCAAAGAAGCAGCACCTCGAAGTCGTGAGACGGGGGTTGTAGCTCGCTCCACTCATGATCGCGTTGTCTCCCGGAACAGTAAAACTACTCAAAAAAAAGGTCTTTTGAACGAATGCGAACACCAACACCCCTCGTCTCTTGAGAGAAAAATAAACATTTTAGTACGAGCCCCGTGGAGGTCCTACGACTGCATTCGCAGCCGGTTGGAGCGGGGCGGATGACGCTCGCAATTGCGGTCGATCTGTGTTGCTCGTCTTGGTCGTTCTTTATATTGCTTGCCTGTGGTGCGTGCTTGACGAACAAGATCCTTCATTGCTGCCGGACGTTGTCTAAGCGATGAGCATGAGATGAACTTCCCGCAAAGGAAACAAGAGAGGGAATTTATTTGTGTAGCCAAGTACGTAGTTGTGCTGTTGAGCCTGCGCGCGTGCAGCCATCAGCTGAGAGTAGACACAAGAACGCCTTTGATCATATTTCACTTATGTTGAAGAAAGACAAAGAATTGATACAGGTGATTAAGTAATACCTGGGTAGCGACGCAGTAGTGCTGTCTCTTCCTCGGCAACAAAAGCCCTTTGTTCCCGTGTTAAGTACTACTAAAGAGAACAATATGGTCGTTCGTTGTCTTTGTTAAGTAGTTCTTCGAGCAAAGCCTGCCTGCCTCCATCAAAGACAAAGCCTGCCAAGGGATGGACCAGGCGTTGCTATCGAACGCTGTGCCCCCGGGCCAGCATCTTCATGCGACTTCTACCGGGGGCCAGGCGCAGGTCGACGGCGACCCTGTCGTTCTTCCCTCCGCCCCACCCATGCCGGCGCCCATGCAGCAGCAAATGATGCTGGCGCAGAACTACCAGCAGCAGATGGGCGTCGCCGTGTATGAACTGCAAAAGTATCGTATTCGTATAGATGCGTGACAAATTTCGATTTCCTCAGCATGAGAAATAAAATTTGTAAATGCGGATTCACCTTGAGAAAAAAATTTGTAATGCATGACTGGCAATACGAGTGCGATACTTTTGCACTTAATATCGTGCCCACTACAGCAAATGGTCAACTACAGCAACCTATGCACGACTGCAAATGCCTCTGGATGTCTGGGAGAATGCAGCTTGTCATGCTAAATCTGGGGGATGCAAAAATTTGTGTTGCATGATTACCAAAAGTAGCAGCCGTCCATTTTTGACCAAGTTGGGAGTGAGTTTCTCATCGACAGGATAGGCATGGTAAATAAGATCTCACAGTAGAATCTGTCATGCTAGAAGATCCTGCATTGCAGACCTTGACCTCATGTGTCATGTTGAACCTGCATGAGAAGTCTTGTAATCTTCCAGACATCTTCCAGGGATATTTGCATTTGATAAAACCAACTACGTCGATCCAGAACAGAAACATGATAGTACATCAGCAACCGCAAATATCGCAAGAAAAAAGTGTTACAGTTACAACACATTGTGTTGCAGGCCAAGCAAGACAGACAAGCTCTGTCATGCCGGATATGCATAGGGGCCTCGTTTCATAGGTGTTTCCCCGTAGGATTTCTGCATTACAAGTTTTCTCTCTCATGCAGAGAAATTTGTGTTGCTGAATTGCCTAGAAATATGTAACTGTAACACTTTTTTCGTACGATAGCAAATGAACCCGCAGGCCAATGTCGGCTACCAATTGCTCAGTTCCCTGCAATATGGATTGCAAAAATGTCTGGGTCTGGAAACTTGTAATGCTGCGCTCGGAATAATGAATGCTCTGTAATGCACAGCCAAGCATGAGAAATATCTGCGCTTCTTTGTGTTGCGTTTTTCGCATGACAGACTGCGTTTTTGCATGACATGCGAAAGGGTCTCTTCTCGGACACGCATCACAATTTTTTTGGTCATGCCAGACAAGCATGACAAATCTCGCAATCTTCCAGACCCAGACATTTTTGCATTTGATATGCAAAAAATCACAATCCGCGAGAAGATCCGGCTGTCGCAAATTTTTTTCGGCTGGGAGCGGGTATGACAGTGCACAGTTCCCTCTCCCCCTCATTTGTATTGCATGAACCAACAGCAATGCAAACACCAGCACACGTAGAGCCTGTGCATGGGTGGCAAATTCATGGGCCTAGTGTATTACTGTGTGGGGTTCCGGAATCTGTCTTGCATAATAGTGATACATCAAGGGAAGGATTTTTTTGCATGAGAAATGAGAACGAGGGGGAGTTCTTGTGCACCCTCATAGCGGGCGAACCAGTACCAAATTGAGACGACTCGGACGGTTATTCCAGGCGCGATCGCTATGCAAGAAAAAACTGTGTACTTAAGTCTAAGTGTAGTTCTGTATATGCAGAACATGCAACAGAGTTAATACACCTGTCATGCCGGACAGGGACAGCCATGAAGTCCTCTTTTCCTGTGTGTTTTCCCTCACAAGTCACGCATGACAGGTTTTCTCTATCATGGTAGAGCAAATTTGTAACGCTGGCAGCCAAAGAAAGTTACACTAAGGCTACAGTTTTTTTCGTGGATAATCGTCGGGGGCGGAGGTGGTCCTGGTCCTCCCTTCCCGCCCATAGCAGGCATGGCACCGCAGCCCTCATCTGGCATGGCAGGACAAACCGATGTCAACCCGGTAACCACAACCGAGACCGTGATGTATGCGCACGAGAGATCAACGTGCCTCGAGAGACAGTGTTGCCCGGCTGGCGTCAGGGGGTACGAGATGACTATTTCCCTGTTCGTATCCTGTGGAAAATCGTCCCCACACCAGAGTTGTCATGCGAGTGCGCAATGACAGGAACATTTGTAATGCGCAGCTCCATGAGAGGCATTTTCAATCGTGTTTTGGAATTTGTAATGCAGAAAACAGGAAGATGAGAAAATTTGCAATGCGGCGTGCCTTGCCAACTAGCACTACATTGCAAAGAGAAAGTTGTCATGCACAGCTCCCAAAACTTGAAGATTTGTGTTGCTAGATCCCCAACTTGACTATGGGGTGGGGACGTTTTTGCTTAGGATAGTTCGGTGGAACCACCGGAGGAGCTGGAGTTCTGCCAGCTGGTAGAGTCATGCCAGGCTCAGGCACATCAAGTACTACAATGCAGATGCAGGGGCGACAACAAACCACCATTCCGACATTGGGCGGGTACCAGGACCCAAACCCGTGGAACTCCACGCTGATTCCCTACTTGTACTTCAAAAAGCCGACCGCGTGCGCGATTTGCTGCTTCTGTCGGCCGGAGATTGAATTGGTGGATTTACATTTGAACACGACCGCAGGATACATCGAAAACCCATTCAATTGCTGCGGCATGCACTATATGAGTTGCAAAAGTATCGTAATCGTACTCGTCGTATGAATGCATTACAAATCTCCTCAGCATGAGAAATGAAATTTGTAATGCGGATTGACCTTAAGAAAAAGATTTGTGATGCATGACTGCTGCAATACGAGCACGATATTTTCGCATTTGATACACTACGTGATTCTCGACGCTACTCGGCGGCCGATTTTCGAAGTTCACGGTGATTCGTGTCAGTGCGGGTTGATTTGCCGGTGTCCCTGCGGGCCGTGCAACAAGGTGGTCTTTGACGTGTTCGAATTACTCCCGGACGGCGGCGCCGGCCGGACCGCGCGGGGCTCAAAAGTAGCGGAAATTCGCAAGCACTGGGGCGGGTTCCTGCGGGATTGGATCGCCGGTGACGCTTATCAAAAGGAAAAATCTCCCCTTGTTCCCTTGCATATCGAGATAGAAATCTGTGATGCGGGATTTGTGTACACAAATCGGATTTGTTCTTTTGCAGTAGAAGACCGCAGGCAGATACAAAGCCGGAGTAGGGGCGTTTTGGTGTAGCCGCCTAGCAAGGCAGGCATATCCTCCGCACGCCATACAGCAGCACAGACTGCCTGCAGAACGCGGCGGGGTTTTTTGATCTGCCTTCTTGCAATACAGGGACGATGTGATGTGGCCTCAAATCAGCATCACAAATTTTCAGAAGTATCCCGTTTGGGTATGGGGAGGGGGGATTTTTCCTCGCAAAAACGCGGGCCTGTACGAGGTGGAATTCGGAGCGATTGGAGACGTCGCACACAAGGGGTTGCTGATTGCTTGTGCACTGTTTCTGAGTGAGGAATACTTTACCCGAGGGGGATTCGACCAACGCGATGAGAGCTTGCTCGGCGGGTTGTTTGGATAAAGGCTGTTTAGGCTGCATACTATACAAATGTTGTGTGAATGAATTAGAATGGCACGACCACGCGACGTGATAATTGAGCTTGTCTTTACGTGAAGTGGAAATTTCGGTGCTGGATCATATTAAGGTGCCGAGGAAGATGAAGTCTAGAGAAATGGAAATCAATACTTACCATCGACGTCCTGCAAAAGGAGATCGGCATCTTCTGCTGTCTCCATGTTCTTCTTCTGGAATAGACACGACTCAGATGATGTTGAACAGAAGCGCAGCCTGTCTGCCTACTCCTGCTTTGTTGATCCATGAAAAAAACGTTTTTCAGGAACGTAAATCTAAATTCGGTATTCTTGCTTGTCCTTCTAAAAAGGGTTCTGCTCTTGTCTCGCGACAAGGTTCGAAAGAACCTTTATATTGCATTCAGAACATGACGACCATTACCGATGATCGGCTTCTTTTTGTTGACGCAATTCCATGACAAACCGCTTGGATCATTGTCGGTTGTCGTGATTAGAAAATGTCAAGCGATCTGATTTTTTGAGAGAAAGAATGACCCATTTCTTGTCTCGTGATCTGGTAACATAATTTGCTTCCGAACCTTGTCGCGTCGTTTTGTTTTAGCCCACACGTCGAAGTCGATTCATTATGTGGGCCCCCGCGCGGCCGGGGGGTGCTGGTCCTCCTCCTCCTCCCGGGAGTACAACTTCTAGGGGCACCATATGGCATTCTCAAATGTTACATTCTTAACTGTTACATGATTTGTCATGCAAAATTGCCATAAGCAACCACACGACCAAGCGGCTGCGCATGACACATTTCCGAAGGACGAAACCGCATGAACCTCTGTGCAAAATTTGTGATGCTAGAGTTGCACCAAGACCCTCCCTTTCACTTTCGCTGCTCTGCATCACAAATTCATGTCACAGTTGAGAATGTAACGTTTGAGAACTCCATACACCACAAACAGACCGCCTGGCCCCGCTTCCTCCAGCAGCTCCTCCACTGGGAATAGATTAGACGCAGTCGACCACCGACGGCCCTATGCGCTACCGTCGAACCAACATGGGAATATGGCCACTGGTGGTTTCTCTACTGGCGGTACGACAGGTGCTGGTTGTCAACATGCTTCCGGCCGTCCGCCGGTAGTACTGGAGATGAATAAAAATGGCAACACGAGCAGTCACGCGACCGCAGCTGATGAAGGGCACAATACTAAATCGAAGCGCGGTCTGGTGTGTTTGCGGGACGATTTTTTTGGAAGCATGGATGAGCTAGTGCCCGCGGGAGCAGATGGCGCCCAACCCGACGAGCAGGAGCACACTAACACTGGACTGAACGAACGGCAGGACGAATCCAGAATCCACTTAATCCCCTCCCACGACCGCAGGCGGGTCGCCATTTTGTCGGAACAAGGAGGGGGCGACACCAGGGAGAAATCTGTTTTTACCACCAGAACCATCCGTGTGCGGGAACTGGACGATGGAGCTGCAAGCGGGAACGATAAAAACAAGGCACCAGCAGGCGGCTCTGCTTATCCCGCCCATGGAGATCATCATTCTCGTCGTGGTCCTGTGGACGTGGTCATAACGACGGGTAGTTCATCTTACTTGTGTGCACCTTCGACTAGCAAAAACGATCACGGAACGACGAGCACGACTGGCCACGACACGACAAGTGGAAGTTCGAAGCGAATCGAGAAAAAATCTTGTAGTAAAAGATCGATGCCGAAGATTCTCTGGACGCACATTGGCGAGTCTAAAGTGGAAACCTGCACAAGCGGTTCGAGTTCCTATATCCAACGAAAAGACTGTTTCACTGTGATGATACATTTTTCAAGATCTCCTGCGTCACAAGTTTGTTACTTACACATGATGACACATCTGGAGAAAATTTGCCATGCGCGCATTTCCCACAATAGAGGAAAACACGGTTAAAACTCCAATGCTCTATGTAGGTGTAGCAAGACACATCGTTCTGTGCTCCCTTCTCCGCATCACAAGTTCACAGTGATGAAACAGTTTTTTCTTGCCATATCCTACTCCTGTTTGGTACGGTTGACGGAGGATTGCCAGGAACTACGTTTCTTGAGATTCAAGAACGACGCGACGCATTTGCCCGATCTGCTTCCACATGACAAACAAGATGGAGAGAACAGAAAAGGGCAAAGACCTCCTGCGCGAGTTGTGGCAATAAACCAGATGAGCCGTGCAGCTCGTGGGCGGAATGATAAAGGCACTATGGCAAAGAAGCAGGGTATTCATGATCCCCCCACCCAAGCTGCAGAGGAAGACGAAGCGGAAGAGAAGCTGCGTTTGGAAAGACTCCGGGATTGGAAAAGGCGACTGGAAGAAGAACGGAAGATGAGAGGAGGCAGAACTTCTACCGATGGCCGGGGAGGTTTGCCACAGGAACTTTTTCATCTTGACGAGGTCCCGACTGAGCAGCTTCAAGCCTCAGCAACGGACGAGATGAAACAGGTTGTTCCTGGCGGAGCAAGCGGAAGGCAAGTGGTCTACTTGGACGGAAGATCTTCATCTGAGACAGGAGGTGGACATGGTAAGCACAACTACGATCCGCACGTCCTTCTCGGTCCCAACAAGCACTCCCCCGGGATTGGAACCACCAACGCGCAAATGTTTTCCTGTGCTTGGCAGCATCCTGCGCCTGGCGGCGCATCATGCGAGGAGCTGTTTGAGGAAATTCTACCGTTGAGAACCTTCGCCCCTCCGCCAATAAACCCAGTGAATCTTCATGTTGCGGGTCCTAGTCCTTCTACTTCAGCCACCACAAGTAGTACGACCCATGGGACCACGAGCGGTCATCATCTTCATCATCACCAACACCCTACTCACGCTTCGATTTTTGACGATCTCGGCGAGGAGCAAATCCAAAAAGAACCACGTGGTGGAGCTGCACCAGGGCCAGACGAGGACTCTCTTCTAGACGACCGCGCCTTTCTCGTGCCCAACACGAAGGATTCGTTTGTCTTGATCGTCAAGAGCAGTTTGTGTTTTGTTTTCAAAACGACCAAGGACGCGGTGATTCTGGAAAACCGGTTCTGGTTGCAGGATTACTGCGGCAATAGTGCCTCGTCTTCGGCAGGACGAGCTACTGGTGCAGGAGGGACAACTAGTAGAAGTACAACCGCTGCTTCATCTGAAAATAAACCTCTCGTTCGGTTCTACGACGTGAAAGCCGAGGACGGATGGCTCTTCGCGTTAACAACCGATGGGGAGCTGCTATTATGGAGCCTGATCGGCGTCGCGTGTGCCAGAGTAGCGGTAAATTGCGTCGCAGCTGCTGCATCCTCGGGTAGTTCTTGTGGGGGTGGGTCTGGTGATGAGGCAAGAATACCGTCGTCCTCTTCGTGTGCTAGTAGTTCTTCGGACGCAATCAATCGATCTTCTTCTTCTATGCACCCGCAACTGCGCTTATCCTCCTCCTCCATGACAAACGTCCAGGATCTGCAACATGGCAGAACGAATAGTTTTACTCCGAAAACGCCAGCTACTTCAAGTAGTCCTGAAATGAACCAAAGAATCACCTACAACCGACTCCGCGTTGCTTCGGACAAGAGCTTCGTGCTTCTACTCGGAACGGTCAAGAGCGAAAGTGCGGGCGGTGGTGGAGAAAAAACCAAATTTTCTTCAACCACGACTGCTGGTAGCTCTACTAGCAGTTCGGATTCAACGAACCAGAAGCAACGCAGTGTGGTGAAGTTTTTGTCTGTGGCGAAGCTTCTGCAGCGAGAGGGCGAGAAGATCCAGTGGGACGTAATGCGGGAGCGATACCGGTGCATTGCAAATACCCACTTTGTCACGTTAAGCCGTCTGGACTTCTTGCAGTACAGCTGCTTCCCCGACGCTTTTCAAGTGCAAGTGTCGGATAGTTCTTCCAGTAGGCACATGATATCAGCAGGTGGGGACGACCACCAACATCCGGGTCAAAATTATCGTGCGGGACGAGCGCAGAGTGGAATGAATTATTCTACTAGCAGATACAACGATATGAATGAGCCGAATGCATCAACGTCGATGTCTGATTTCATTTCCCAGCATCAGCATAACTATTCGGGTATAGTACAACCAGCGCCGACTGCAGCATCTGCAAGAATTTCTAGAAGAAAAATCACCACCACCGGATTTTTAGTCACCCGGGAGGCCGCGGCTGCGCAACAAGCGGCGCAGGCCAGAAGCACGATGTCGAGAGGTGGACACAGAAACTATTGCAACAGTCACATCAATGCGTCCTCGCCTCATCTTCAGGCGACGAACCGGCAACAAGTTTTGAAAACCCACCTCAACCTCGACATTTCACCGCAGCCCTCCCATCTAGAGCGGTTTTTTGTCGACGAGGACAGCTCAGCTGGTGGGGCCGGTTTTGGGTCCAATTCCTTTGCAAGCTCCGGCGGGAAAATGAATCAGGAAAGCGATGTATGCATTGCAGAAGCATCGTGCTGTGTCAGTCTAAGAGTGCATATAGAAGTTTTCTCAACAAGAACGGAAATGCAACTTGTCATGCTAGATCAGGTAGAAAGTTTAGACTTGTCATGCAGGATTGCAACTGCACCGACACAGCGAGACTTTTGCAGAGAATACGACGACGTGATTTTCCACGATGAGGAATTTTTGCCGGATCCAAGCATCAACGGCTTCCAAAACTACCAGTTGCTAAACACGAGCGAGCTGCCGGCGATGACGATGCAAAGCTTTCTCAATTTCGCTGGTATGGGATCATCTTCCTCGAAGGACAGTACGGGCGCGGGGGGCATGTATGGAGGACCAGAGTTCGCACGACCCGGGTCGTCTCATCCGGGTAGTTGTAACGACTTGGAGAGGACCTCCTCCTCTGCCTTGGAGAGGGTCGAACAAGATGTTTTGGTTTTGCCACGCTGTGGTGAGATGTTTGATTACAGTGGAGTGCAACGGCAAGAGCACAAGAATACATCATCGTCCCGTAATATGAATTCCAATGCTAGAAGCGATGTCCTTTGGTCGACGCTTTTTGTAGATGATTCAACTACTTGCCGGGCGGAAGGAGACCCTTATCACGCCAAGCCCAAGCCGTCCTCTCTAGTCGACAAAATTGGCGCAGCAGCAGTCGCGACAGGGGCGACCGCCAGGGCAAGTCATCATCCACAAGACGCTTGTTCCGCAACCGCAAATAATGTTAGCGACGCTA